ACTTCACATCAAGTTGTGTAAAGTGACTGGAACGTATAGGCAGGGGGTATATTCACTTGGCTAACACAGACAGACCCAAAACTCGTAATGGAACTAAATAAAATAGGGAAAAACGGAATAAAATTATGGCCAAACCCCAGCCGGGTACACATACTACGGGAGTACCGAAACATTTGACTTACGACTCCAGCTCTGAAATCGGTGCTCCCGAAGTATTTGTACTAAGATTGCGCACAACTTGAACGTAGTATGTGTACTAGGTTAAGGTTGTTCAGGTTGTGCGTCATCTTGGCACGAATACATCTGGAGCGCCCGGAAATCTGTCAAAATCCTATTTAACCTTCAGACTGTCAAAAGCGCTTGGTGATGCCTAATGAGTTTCTGCCATCACCGAACATTTAGAAACTCGATGCCGAGCCCCAAGGCTCTATGAAAGAAACATAGGATCTCCACGATCTATTCGTTTACTTATTAAAATACTGACTGCGTTAATTTTGTAGCTGTCCAAAGAAGCATTTACCGCATTAATGAGATTTGACAACAGTAGCGTCGAAATGTGGCAACAGGGTGGTAACTCAAATATGACATTATCTATAAATTCCAAGAGATAATTTTTATATATTTATTGTGGGGATGCGTAAATAAACCTCTTCACGTGCTCCATAACACCAAAAGTTCGAGAACGCATGGTTTGAGGCACCCCTTTTTTTCCACGTGAAATGTGTTTCTGATAGCCAAGCTACACAGTATTCTGCGTAGTTTCTCTGTTGCTTATACAACAATACAATAAGTCATATTTATATCCTTTTTTCTTAGTTGGTATTTATGTGACCTTCGTTTTCTCGGTGGGGTGCAATGTTGAAAATAATACACAAAGCAGAACATTTGAATATATGCGTTACTCTCAGTTTTATCCACCGACTCACATAAATCTTCTCTTCACATTTAGTGTGAAGTCATAAGATCGTATTCATTTGTGTATTTGACCCACTGTAGCTAGAGCTTATGCTCACCATCACGTACGCTTTATTGTCCGATGACGTTGTTTCTAGAATTTGTACTACTTAACGCCCCTAAAACAAATATAAAATCATACCGCCTCTGACAACAAAATAACAAACGTTAGCGGAACTAATAGGATTTAGGTGCTTATTCTGTTCATATGACCTAACAATAATTAAACAAGCATCATTTAGCTGATCTCATAAAAAATTGACGTCATATATTCCAAGATCTTCGGGTACATATGACTTTTAATGAAAAATTTTAAAATAATATAAAAATATGTGACATTTTATCGGAAATTCGCTTCAAGGTGAAATAAAAGTTCACTACAAACACTGCATGGGCCATGCATGGATCACACCATCGCATATATCAGTGGTTCCCTACCTTTCTTATCAGGCGACGCAAATAATATCTGGCTAGATTTCTCATGAAATGAGATAGGTTAGAATTTTCTATAACTACCAATGGAGATTGACCCATAGATTGGAAAACACTGGCATATTTGGCACAAAATTAGACCTTTACTTAAATTGGTCTGATGGCCTTATGACACCACTATAATTCGCCCTGGTCACCCATCCCATGCGGAGATAATTATTTTTTCGTCGTATTGGGCGTTTTTTTTTCGGGCGACCTAGCAAAGTTCAGGTTGCTTAGGTTAATATCGTAATTCCGATAATTTGAATATTAGTTGTAAGTCCTATATATTCTACCTATGTTTAGAATTTTTTTCTCAGAGTTGTTGTTTTGGTCTGTTGTGGCAATGACGCTATTATGGGATATCGTTAGACCAGTACTATAGACTTTTCTTGTTTTAATTCCGCAATACAGTTTAAAAAGGCGATTAGCCGACAAGGTAATGGTCAAAGCATTGAGCGTAATTCTACTAAAGGTACTAATGCTATGGTAGGCGCTCTCCACTTAAGAGCTAATGTTCAAAATTGTTTGATTTTGCTACAATGCTTGGAGATTCTGTAACTGCTAAAACCAGATAAGCTGCATTTTATTTTTTCGATTCAAGCGTATGTAAACTTTCTTTTCTAAGTAAATTGCTTAGCAGTCTGCGACAATATCTACACTATAAACAATCAAAAAGGAGGAAGGACTGCAGTTGAATACACAATATCCAAGTTCCCCTAGTATAAATAATCAGATATCTATATTTCGCCAACACTAACCAGATAAAATTACTGGTACTTTCACTGAAAATTTCACTTTATGGCACACTAAGATATCGGTTTTAAAATAGCCAATCAGAATATTAGATTGCGTATATATATACTACATTGGAGTATTTGAATAAAATTGCCGTTTCGATACCGGTATTGCCAGCATGTTAGACTAGACATGATCCGCGATCCTCAATCCCTTATTGTCCTTATCAAAAGTATTTAAATATCATTGACGTAATAGGTTTATTAAACTCTTCAGAATTGTTTGTTCTACCAATTTATATTCTCAATAACGTTACCGGGACTCGAAGTACTTTACGATATCATACAAGATACAAAAAAAGTGTGTGTGTTTTCAAACATTCGGATTTTTTAAGTTTACAAATTGGGGTTTCTTCTGAGCTGACTACTTGATATCGCATGGAAGAAACCTTGGGACTGTATTATGGCGACGTGCAAGAGGAATACTGGGCGGTCACAATATGGTTAACTCTGGTAGCAACGGCCTCTTTCGTCAATAACGCACATGCAAATGGAACGCTAAGGTGGTCGGGCTTTTCCAAAGGCTGGAAATCTGATGATCGCAGGGGTCTTAAAATAATGTTTGAGCTATATTGTCGAATTCGGAAAATTTCGTTACAGAAATAAAAATAAATAATATATATATTTCGACTTACCGGTACCATGATACCAACAACTTTGACTAGTTCTGAACCTGCAACGTTACCCGTAGTTTGATCCGGCAAATAGTCCCATAAAAGCATAGACTACCAAATGTTGCCTACTTTAGTCTGCTGATAAAAACTCAACTACGGCCTGTAACAACGAAATAACCACTAAATCTAATTAGCCAACTGCTGAGATACAGACTGGGTCCCTTCCGAAAACAGACTGTTGGACTTGCCATATCATGTTAATTTGTAAGCGGTAAGATTCGCTGCTTCATTCACAGCATTTTGTCGGATTGAACTCCAGCAACAAAATTAGATTTATCTAGTATAATCAGTATTTCTGCATTTTTTTTAATCCAATACATCACCAATTATAATATGCTATATTTGTTTTACTTATTAATTTCGGAAATTAACTAACAACACAGATTTCATTTACATTTAGTCATTGTGACGATTAGATGCTTATTACCGAACAATCATACTCAAACCAATGTGAGAAAGGGGTTGCCAGAAACGAACACGGCGTGGTCAGAATTTTATTATTATTTTTGATTATTTGGTACGTGCTATTTGGAAATGAAATAGATCTTTCTCGAATATCGAGTTTTTCGTTTATTTCCACAACAATGATCAATCGGCAATAGGTTAGCGGTGATTTAACAGATGAAATATTAATTAGTGAATGTCTGACCCGGGGACTCTGATGATCTTTGATCAGTATCCAATGCACGCATGATTGGGACATACCTTGTTTCCCGAAAATAAGACCTAACCTAGAGGTAACTAATTTTGTTCGCCTTCTTTACATCGAGTTGTGTAAAGGGACGGAAGCCTATGCGCAGGGGTTATATTCACTAACACAGACAGTCCCTGAACTCGTAATAGAAATAAAATAAGTAAAATCGGAATGAAATCATTGCCTAATCCTAACCAGGTACACATACTACGGAAGCACCAAAATGAGACCTAGTTTATATCGAAAAGTCAGTTAAATGAAATATTCATTTAAATTTATGAATCTAGTGACTTACAAGACATTAATGATGATATGGCCATTTTTGAATAATCTGTGTTTAGCAGTTTTTTTAATGTTGTTGCTATATGTTTTAAGGCGCTTATAACTTCAGTGGTCCAATACTAACATATTATGCAATATAAGGAAATAAATAATTATATATTTAAATCAATTATTATCAATAATAAGTAATTATTCCTAAATATTTCTGCCCATAAGAAAAACGAATTATATAACAGTTTCAATAATGTCCATGTATAATCACTTCTTCCAAAATCAGTTCAGTAAGTTTTCTGGCTTTGATGATCGTACTTGATGATTATATTGCTGGCAATGTAGTGGACAATGGGCTAAGTTCCCAGGTACAAAACACTGTTCGCAATATTCGTCGGAATGACAACTAATTTTAGGTAACTAAACTCGCCAACTACAAATATACAAAAAGACTCACAACCTACCTCGTCCAATAAAACAATTCGATTATTTATATTATTGCACATATTTATATAATTAAAAATTTACATCCGGCAAATTACAGAGATAGTTACTAATGCAGTTGAATATACACTTTACTTAAAGGCATACCAGAAACACAGAGTGACCCGAAATTCCAAAGTGACCCAAAAAAAGATTTGCACAAAAGTTAAGTTTAAAATTACCTGGGTTCTGTTTTTGGGGGTCACCATGTGGTTACCGTCGATTGGACTATTACAAATCAAAGTATATAAAAGCCAGATAAAATATAACAGAATATAATGAAAATTATAAAGTGAGGTCAATTTACAAAATGTATATATGAAAGAAGACAAAAAAATGGAACTGAGGAAATAAATGCAGTAACATTAGCAAATAAACGATCGATTTTGCTAGTATGAGATCAGCCGCCGTGCTGCTGGGCACAGAGCGCGATGATCTAGTACAGGGCTACTCACCTGGCAGACCGAATCCGGACATTTTGAGTATTTGATTCGGACCGCACCTAATTCTTTATTTTGGATCATTAGCCCCACTTTTGAAGTTTCCTTTTATATAAAATGACGTTTATAGTTTTGAATATATATAAAAACTATAACGCCATAATAAGCAATCTTGATTAGCTAATAATCATTAACCGGTCGAGGAATTGCGCGTTTAAGGATGCCGAAGTATAATTTCTGGAAAAATCGGACTCAAATAATTTTAAGTTTTGTATGCGGATATTTGGTAAAAATAGTTGAGTAGCCCTGACCTAGGCACGGGTCGGCAACCTTTAGTAACTCATGAATCTAGTTCTCACTTAAAAGTGTTTTGACAGACTTGCGACCTATTTTTACCGCTCTCGACTTATACTTTGGGAACCGGTGTGATGCGTAATTGGTGAAGTGTATCTGGTTTATGTCGACATTTCCATTGAATCCATACTGCTCCTAATAAGCTGTTGTTTATGCTTTGACTTACAGGAGCCAGAACTCCGAGAACAATTTGGACCCGATCACAGGTTGCCGGTCGCTGGCGTAGGGCAACGTTTCCTAACCGGGGTGGAATTTTGATGTTATTCAGAATAATTATCAATTTGTGTAGTTTAACAAATATATTTAATAATATTGTGATGCATGTTTTGGTGTACCAAAGTGGGAGTTGTGTGTAAAACTGGCTGCAGACCTATCAAGATCGCACAAATAACAATAACAGGATTCCATGCTTAGTGAGGGAGGATTGGAAATAAAGATTTCCAAAATACGCAGAACAAGGAATTTTTTAACCGACAAAAATTGGGAAGCACGGGCCTGTTATGGGCAACGTTATATTAATTATACCATCGTCGTTGCCAGCTTATTCATCCGACGATAACCCCGGAGTAGAGGTCGCATAGTTTGTCATATTGTAGGACACGAACAAAGCCTATTGATCATTTTGTTAAATTGTTGTTCCCCTGCAACTAATGAAGCAATCGAGTTCATATTTCCAGTACTCAAAGATGGGACAAAAGGCTAAGAGGCTATTTCTTTTCATTTTTACATTGTTTATGAGTCATATGAAACCGTAGAGGTTAGGTCTTCTCGGAGTTGGGAGCTTGAACTGATGTTGAATTCCTCTTTTACTTTGAGTCGGGAATCGGAGTTGTCCCAAGTTGAAAAAGTATTAGCTGTTTCTTCCTCATTTAACGATGAGAGAAGAGGTTAGAGAGGCAGGGCCATTTCTTTTCATTTTTATGAGTCATATAGAACCGTAGATGTTATCAAGATTCGGTTTTCTCAGAGTTGGTATTTGGGGCCGGTGTCAAAATTTGTTCTGTAACCTAGCGCAGAAACCTTTTTTAATTGCTCGGAGTTTAGCGTAAAATTTCTTTGACTTCCCTGCCCAGATTGAAATAGTATCTGCTGTTTCTCTTTCATACAAAATGTGAATACTGTTTGCAAGGTTTGAACTGTGAGTACCGGCACATCATGCAGAATTCTTTCTTCCCGATACCTGAAATAAGAGGAAATAAAGAATTACTGAGGAGGGCCGGATTGGTAAAATTGGTAAACTTTGATCCCAAATATGTATCGATATTGACTCCACGTTCATAAAAAATCCTAAAAATCCCTACACCGGAAATACTTTTAGAATATCAAAAATTCTGTTTTGAGTAACCCAAATCTGTATTTTCAAGTAGGCGATTGAGTACTCCGGTAGTATGTGTACCAGGTTAGGGTTATGCCATAATTTTATTCCGATTTTCCCTATTTTAGGTATATTACGAGTTCGGGGACTGTTTGTTGTAACCAAGTGAATATATCCAGTGTCCATAGGCTTATGTCACTTTACACAACTTGATGTAAAGTATGCAAACAAACTTAGATACTTCCGTATTGGTACACATACTTCTGGAGCGCCGGGGATTGAACTACAAAACTCTGTTGGCCAACTTGCCGTCACCCTTACGATAAAGCATAAATCTGTTTCCAATAAACGGAAGAAGATAAAGAAGCCGAAGACTAGAGAAAATTTGATAATCTCACCGACAAGCAACAATAGGTTACAAAATATAAAATATTTTTAGCGTTGGTATACTCTATCTCAGAGGGTGGGAAATTATTTTTCTGAGTGGGTCACAATTTAAAGCCACAAAAGCGATACTGATAGTAAAGGGAGGTACGAAGAAATGGTGGCGACTCATGTGAGTAGAAGTGTCGAATCTACTTTGAAAAATACCTTTAAAATATCCGCAGGAATGAGCGTAGTCCATGGTGTATCTCTTCCTTTTGCAGAATCGTTTGCAATATTTAATCGTCAACGGAGGGAAGAGAATAATCTGTGGGATGAAAAAATTTGTTTGTGTTATATCCACTAAGAGAAATTAAATGTTCTGTAAGCCAAATAAAATCAAATATTCTATCAGACAATGGACCGCTATGTATTTGAGCCTTTCTATCGACTTTCCTCTCCTGATAAAAATGAAAAATATATTTCTTTCCTAAAAGTATTAGCTATATAGTTGCCTTGTGTGTAGTATACTATGGTTCAAAATATTATTATACCGTTTTATCGGCTTTTCTTTTAACCGAGATAAACTTGGAACAAAAAATTTGATTCTATCTTAATGGTAGTCGCGATTGTAGCATCTCATCAGCTTTTCTTATCCGGGAAGATTATGAAAAAGCTCATCATATCCTAATAGCAACGGCCACCTGCATACTGACCCTAGGTGTGTTGACTTTAGTTGTAAGCGTAGCCGTCGTAGTTCTGGTGGTTGCGGTAGTTGTGCTAGCTGAAGTAGATTCAGTTGCTCGCATTGTTGTGACAGTGCTGGTGGCTGGAGTCGTTCTCGTAGTAGTCGGAGTGGTTGTTGTGGTAGTCGGAGTAGTTGTTGTGGTAGTAGGAGTGGTTGTTGTGGTAGTCGGAGTGGTTGTAGTGGTAGTAGGAGTGGTTGTTGTGGTAGTCGGAGTGGTTGTAGTGGTAGTCGGAGTGGTTGTTGTGGTAGTCGGAGTGGTTGTAGTAGTAGTCGGAGTGGTTGATGTGGTAGTCGGAGTCGTTCTTGTAGTGGTCGAAGTGGTTGTTGTGGTAGTCAGAGTGGTTGTAGAGGTAGTCGGAATGGTTGATGTGGTAGTCGGAGTGGTTGTTGTGGTAGTCGGAGTGGTTGTTGTGGTGGTCGGAGTAGTAGCTGGTGGAAAAGTGGTTGTATGTTCTATTACATTCATCCATTGCACATCTGGATATAGGTGTGACGGGGGGGTTGGCTCTGTATGTTTCGACACAATGTTTGATTCGGAGTGAGTCGGGTAGAGGTGTGTCGGAGGCGTTGGTTCAATTTCTTTCGATAAAAATATTGTTGTATTTTTATTCATATCTGTCAATGGGGTGAGCTTTGCTCCGTCTTCATTTCGCGTTAGCACTTTTATTATTGCTGGATTTGGGTTTCTTGTTGAAATAGGTTGCCCCGGTAACGCTGGTTCGGTATTTCGATTTTGCTGTTTTGACTGGGTTGGAGTTTGTGTGTTGCGAGCTATAGGTTTTATCAGCAACCAATTAAATTCTTCTGTGGTGGAAGGAGTCAATTTTATAGTAGTATCCGGTTTAATTTGTTTTGTTGTCTCCTCCGTGGATGGCGATGTCACAGTCTCTGTTTTATTTGTCTTTGTTGTCTCTATAGTGGTTGGTGATTTCACAGTATCTGTTTGGTTTGTCTTTGTTGTTTCTACCATGGATGGTGATGTCACAGTCTCTGTTTTGTTCATCTTCGTTGTTGTTTCTTCGTTTATATTGTTCATAAATACAAGTGATGTGGTCTCTGGTACAGGAACGCAGAACTGCAAAAATAATTAGACATCTTGAAATATATTTATTGTTACGTCTGTTCAAAGCCTCGTGCGCAACGGATGACTCAGTAAATGCGATAAGACGACTTGGTCCTATATAGCGAACCCCGGCCTTTCTTCCAGTTACTAGTCCTTGTCGGGTATGGGATTAGTTAGCCAGTTATTTGTTTCAGGTGCGTGGCAGATGGCACGACCAGAAGTAGTAAGGAAAACTTGAGTATCCTTAACACTGCTTAGAATCAAAGCAATAGTTCATATTGGAGCAAGGGATCATTCAACTGTATTGGACGGGGTCCCTAATAAACTTACCCCATGTTTACCAATCGGGGAAGTATTCTTCACCATCGGACAATATTGACATTCTTAGAGAGAAATTTGGTTCGTATTCGCTGTAGTATTACTTATATTTTTTAGTTCTTTATCATTTAATAATACTTATTATAAGAGTGTTAATCCTGTACTATGTACCAGGTTAGGGTCAGGCCATAATTCTATCCCGATTTTCCTTATTTTAGTTCTGTTACGAGTTTGGGAACTGTCTCTGTTAGGCAAGTAAATATACCCCCTGCCTATGGGTTTCAGTCCCTTTACAAAACTTGATGTACACAACTTCTGGCGCCGAAACTTGTGGCAAAACTCTAACGATCCATAATAGATTGAACAACAAGTAGAAACAGGGAGAAGGAGAAATTTAACCTAAAAGGTTGGAAACCACTGCACCGACCTTTATCTTTTTGCATTCTTTCTTAATCTTTCTTCCATTCCGGCACAAAGTCTTATCTAATGAAGGTTGCCAGATTGCTGATCTTCGACTTATTTTTCTGAAAGAAAAATCGACAGTTTGACGGGAGGTTGTATTGCTTATCGACTTTGTTCCACACTTGTATATGATATGGTTTGTTTTGTTCGACTGAAACGACTAAACTATTTTACTGGCTCTCGTCCCCTCTGGCAATAGGGCTTGGTTATATGCTTACACCAACTATTGTCAAAGTTCAACTCGTTCTATGCAGACGCGGCCCGTCACCTTGACAAGCTTTCTCACCTTTCTCCCAAGTGTAGATAAATTTTGAAATGGCTACGCTCTTGTAATAGTGACTTCTTTTACAATGCCTTGTTCGGGGCGAATAAGCGTAGCTACATAAAGAATAAAATTTCCTCACCTGCAAATAACTCCAAATTCCGATTCTGTCTTCATATTAATAAACTCATGATGAACGAATCCATCCCGACACGTCAAAGTGCATTTCGATCCTGCTTTGCGACTTTTAGAGCATTTGATGGTTTTGACTTTGTCGGGCAGTGCTCTGCATTTGATATCTGTAGAGTTGATATTCGATAGAATAATGCAGTGATGAAAAAGGCGAAAAATAAAATTTAGATAATCTAATATAAAATGTATGACGTAGTATTTGATGACATCATTGATTTTTTGGGGTGGATTGTTTAAAATTGATTGATTCGATGACGTAATGATGACTCGATGACGTTATACAACTTTAGCTCATTGGAGGAATCATTTAAAGTCAATGACGTAATATTTGATGACTTCATTAACTTGATGATGACAGAACCAAAGTTCAGTTTCAACGTTGGTTGTGAATTTCCTCCGATTTCATTTAATGGGAGACTGTGAAGAAGTTGTCCGGGCACAAAAGCAATATTTGACGTCATATCACCATGACGTCGTATGTAAGGTTAGGTTGTTCATCTAAAACTATTATCAACCCTTTCTTACCTGGCGTTTTTTCAACTTTGTAGTCCAGTATAAACGACCCTGCATTTTTCTGTACCACGATTTTAAGATACTTTACGCCGCGGATTTCGATCACTATTTCCGGCAAATTTCCTGTTAATTCCCGGTATGTTTCCCATGGTGATTTCAAGTTCTTTTTGATTGTCTCGATCTATAAAATTAAAATACTATCTTTGAAATTTTATAGAGTAGGCTAGATCATGATTGAGTCCTGGACACTGCCGTAAATGATATTTGAAGGCTGAATGAACGAGGAGTGCCTGTCATGAGACATTGAATTACTTTCGACTACTCCTAGCACTGCAATTTGGACAGTAATCCTGGCTGCTATTTATGAAAATGAATATAAATGAGAATTAATACCGCTAATATAAAAGAAAAGGCATAATGGATCTGCTCTTCTAGACTATGAGCGAGCAAACAAACAGTTTTTGGCGTTCCAGAAGTGTGTGTACCAATTTGGAAGTAACTAATTTTGTTTGGTACTGAAGCCTATGGGCGGCCGTAACTTTTAATGGCCGACCGTAACGTTGCTTTTACTTCTGAGTGAGTGTGCCTAATACATAACCATAAATAGTTCAGTAGCCTTTAGTATTTCAGTGAGTGGGTTTATTTTATTCTTTTGAGTGAGTGAGCCTGCTCTGAGCAGATTTCTCCAAAATATTAAATAAGAATATTTACTTTTATTCCGGGCGCTTCTATTACAATGTCCTTGAAGGTGAGAGCCAGCGATTTCATGTTGATATTTTTAGCGTAAACGCATTTTGCAGTGAGGTTCAATCCGTCCGTGTAAAATGATTGCAAAACTGTCTGTTGTAAATCATTTGGAAATGTAACGTTTCCTGATTGCCCCAATAGATAGTGTTGACACGGGGATGTCGTGGTTACTGAAATAAAATATATTGTTGTTGTTAAATAGGTTTATACCCTTCTATTGGAGTAGTGTACGTGTGGATCGTTTTGTTATTAAGTTGTTGTTTTTGTTGTTGGTATTTTTCTTCTCGTTGTTGTGCAAAAATCGCAGTAGTTTACAAACGAATAGATCACCGAGAACTTAAGTCTCTCTCGCGGAGCCCTGTAGCTCCGTATGAGGCAATTTGAGAACCTACTTTCTAGAGAATATGGACTTTTTATTCACCTATTTTTGGCTGTTTTGGTGGTTTAGCATTTTTTATGATGTTTAACAGTTTTTATACGTTTTAGCGGTTTTCTGATTAATTTCTACAATTTTAGCTCGATTTACGAAGTTGTGCGTATGAACAATGGAGAATCGCGAACTTCAAAAATAATCAAAAGTCCCGAAATTCAAAAACGTCAGACTTGACATTCCGACAAGGAACGGAATAATCTGATCTACGTGTTCAACAGGAATAAATGACGTGCGACGTGACCTTGAACAACAATAAATGACCTTAAACGACCCTGTTGACAATGAGTCGTCGAAATTTAGTGTTGCTAGCAACTTTGTCGACATTTTGCCAATTAAACAATGGTTGGCTCTACTATAATGGATAATCCGAAAATATGTGTACCAGGCAAATTTTTTTTTCCAATTTTCCGTATTTTAGTTCTATTACGAGTTTGGGGACTAGCAAAATGACACCCGTAGTATTTGTACCGGAGATTTAACCCGGTACACATACTACGTTCCGTTGTCCGCCATCTTGCTCACATATTTCCGGAGCGCCCTATATTTATCAGGTAGTTTGAATATCTTGGGTTCACGTTTCCGAACTCACTAACATTATAAAGCAATAAAACTTGGTAGAAGGGGAGTTCGTTGTCAAATGAAAGTATAAATAACTCTCCGTGGATAGTTTGGTTCGTGGTTTCTCACACATCAGTGGTTTCTTATACAGAGCCTTATTCGCAAGGAAAGGCGTTTACAAATCACGTTAAATGAATTTTCGGGAATCAACTCGCACTTCGGCTTATACGCGATTCGAATAGTTTATGGTATGTGCATTAACATTTTTTGTTTTCTGGCAAGTAGTTCCTCTTCCTTTGGGAAAATTATGGCCTTCGGGTCGGATCCGGCCCACCGAAGTGATTTATATGGCCCACGTGTGTCTGTTGTAATTACGACTGAGGTTTGTATGAATATAAAATTTCGTTGAAAATATCGATGAAAATTACGTCATAATGACCCAGATTGTCGCTTTGTGCTTCTTATTATTATAAAAACGTTAGCTGTTGTAAATTACCCTGTTTTACTTATTTATTTTTTTTAAATGAGTTTTGAACCTCCGGCCCAGTTTTTAAGTCTGTTTTGTGTAAGTGGCCTACGCAGGAAAGTAATTGCTCCTGGGTTTGAGTATTTGCACAAGACTTGAAAGAAGATCAATTGAAACAAAACAACAACAAAAAAACGAAAAAATACACTTACCTAACGTCATTGACGTAAAGATGACAAAAGTGAAACGTAAAATAAATTCCATATTATAGATCTATCTAAACTTAGTAAATAATAACTGAAAATAAATATAAATTGAGTAGTTTTTGTTAGAGATAATAAGAACGGTACAAACGGTAAGAACATTATAGTTTCTGAGAGAACATAATCAAAGTAAGGTCTCTCACTTTGACCCAACGTTGGGAATGCTCGGGTCTTTGACCCAGGGTCGGATCATGCTTTTCAGAGGCCCTAAGCCCTTAATACTTTGGTGAGCTATATGTAAAAAATAATAATAACGAAACTGGTGTTGTGTGTTATGTGAAATTGAATAAGTAAGTTTCAGTATTCATTGCTAATGGAGGGCAAATTACGATTAATTTGCATAATTTTTTTGTAAACAGTTCTCATACTCACAAACGTTAATAGAGAGGATTAAGATGATACTTGAGAACTTCATTTCAACCCGGACTTAATAAAGGTCTGACCGACCCGAATTGTTACATTTAACATTGGGACTCCATTGAAAATTGCCTACGGAAATTTCTGTGTGGTGTCCCCTTTCCCATGGTGCTCTAATTACGTGCTTATTTTGCCTAATGGTTAATCCAGCCCTGCTTTGACATGACCCAAGTTGAACTCAAATTACCAACCATCGAAGACTTGAAATGAATCGAGTCGTCTGGATGAATGACTCGAAATCAACTAACCGCTATTGATACTTGACTCGACCTAGAATGACTCGTCTTGACTCGCTGGTATGAAAAATAAGAAATTTTTCTGTCATAAACATTAGCTTATCGGCGGATGCTTACAACTTTCGTGTACGTGCACTTCCCAATTTTAGTTGAAGAATCGGGTCGGGGCCCTTAGTTTAAATAATAATAAAAATCTGGGATAAAAATGCTTCTTTCATCCGAGTTCAAACAAGGAGAATCGGCTTAATTATCGAATAATTATCCGCTCTTATCTAATTTCCAGAATTCAAGCCCAACAAAGGTAACCAACCGCAGATAGCAATCACTTTCGCTTTCAACACCCGCGCACTTACGCGATAAGATTGCTGTGTTTATAACTATAATTAACTTGATGCATCACGATTACAATAAGGGTTTTTATATTAAGATTTCTACGCCTCGCAAGTATAAATTGCGAGGGCAAATTAAAACAATTTTGCTGCCTCGTATTGTTGTATATCGCTTCACCTCTTTTCTCCATTTATTTCCCCATATTTTACTGTTTTAAAATTACCATTCCATCGGGATTATTATAGATTTTAACAAACAGATTTTTGGTGTTCCTGAAGTAAGCGTACCAAGATGGCGGACACCGGAACGTAGTATGTGTACCAGGTTAAGGTTAAGCCATAATTTTAAGTACAAATACTACGGGAGTCACTTGGCTAGTCAGAAATCGTAATAGAACTGAAATAAGGAAAATTGGAATAAAATTATAGCCTAACCCTAACCTGGTTCACACACTACGTTCCGGTTTCCGCCATCTTGGTACGCATACTTTGAGAATACCAGATTTTTTCAATAACTTGCTTGTATACCATATCTCTCTGTAGATATTTATCAGCCCTCACCTAACTCCACATGTTACAGTTGTCGCCAAAGCACAATCACTTTTTAACTACTCAAGCAGCTGCGGTTAAACTTCTGGCAGTTAAAAAAAGTACACATGAGAAGACTATTACTTTCATTTGTTTCCAAATTGCGTCCTCATTCTTTGAACCCCGTTGATTAGGCCGGAACTTTGTTAGTTTCAAAAATTGCGCTACCGGCACGTTTTTAGTGACTTCATTCACCAAAACATGTAAATGGAAATCACGATGCCATGCTTTTTTAATCGATACACTAGTAATCCTAAAAATTGTATTTACTAAATTTGTTTTTGTTAATTATAATGTTATCGATAAGAAACAATTTTTTCTTTAAAATTTTCAGTAGTCCACTTTAAAATTTTCAGTAGTTCACTTCAAAATTTTCAGTAGTTAAAATTAAAAGTGGCCCTAGAAAAGTCATCTCATCAACATGTTTCAAAACTTGTAGAACAGTTATCTCTGATTTTTGCTATTTTAATTAAAAATTCCATTTCCACTCGAATTTTAGCCGCCACATTCTACATTTTTTTTTTTTAAATTTAATCCTCCCTCGCTGGAATTCTATTCGTCTATGGATCTGACGACTTCAACTGTTTTTGATTTTCTATTACATTACACGGGCCTCGTTGTCTAGCCCCAAATTTGGCTAGAAACCCCAGATTTCACCATTCATCCCCAAATTTAGCTAGAAAACCCAGATTTCACTATTCATCCCCAAATTTAGCTAGAAATCCCAGATTTCCCCATTTGCCCCAAATTTTTTATTTTGAAAAATTGTCATACCGCCAGGATTTTTACGAAATATTTTGTCGATGATGTTTTTCATACCGACCAAGTATTTTATTAACAGACTCGTACACCATCCTGACTAATTTATCCTCTAGTTATGTTCTAGCTATTTTTATTCATTTAATTGTACTAATTGTACGTAAACACGCAAAACGTGGCATTTAGTGTATAATTATTACTAGTACTCAAAGAGTTTTGAAAAACTGACCGGGTAAGTTCTAAATAACAAACATTTTGACTGATATCACGGATATTGACCATTCCGGACCGGGAAAAGTTGACTCCGACTACGCAACTCAAGGATAACAAATATTGACGGTCTGCTGCTTTTAGTCCAGAGCCGATAACTTTGCATCACGACTCAATACAAAGTTTTGACTTAGTTGAATGACCGGATTTGGAGTTCAATCCCGGAGTATTCAACTCCGGAATAACAAAAATGTCGACTCTCAACTCGGAGTTGTACTTTAGCGTATTTGGGCTTCAAATTTCAGTTGAAAATTCAATTCCAACAATGTCTGACAAGACGAACATTGAATGCTTTTTCTCTGTTTTTTATTCAGGATAAAAAGTCTCATCTCACCCAAAATAATGCTGAATATCGCTAATTTCAAAACTATCGCCACCTTTATTGTTGCGATCAAATTAAATATCGTGCTCAACGTACTACGCAACGCAAATGTACCAATACTTTCGTGTTTATAGGTTTAAATTTTGTCTATTCAAGTACCGCTATCTACCTATTTTGGTTACGCTACATTCATTGTTGGAAAAAAATTGTTTTTCTCCGACTTCTTGAGGAACTGTTTTTAGTAATTGAATTCCAGTTTTAAAATTTGATCTACCGAATAACTCAGATTTCTAAATTTTCTCAAATCTTGCTGTTTTATAAGTTTACATCCTACACGGATTTTTATCAATCAATTATGGCGATCTCGTTTTCAGCGGACGACGCAAGACCTAGATTATTCACCATTTTCAGTGCTCCAAAAATAGGCATTCTAAATCAAAGATACAACTGAATAGTAACGGTACTTTTGTGTTTGTAAGCAGAATTATTTTACATTCTAAGTATCCTTAATAACAGGCTAGTATACCGTACATACAAGTTGCTCAAATATTTGTCTATTTTTACTTAATTGTATGTAAATGCGCAAAACGTGGTGTCCTAGTGTATAATTATTACGAGTGCTCAGAAATTTTTGTTGCCCGAAAACTAACTAACTGGTTTATCTCAGAATATTTCTCCTTATCACATTAATTTTTACTCCAACTACCGCTTCTGACTCCGGAACTATCTAATCTCAACTTGGAGATTTTGACTACAAAAGATGATCGCACTTGCAATTCTTTTTCAATTAAGAGTCTGAAATTCGAATTCGGAAAAATTTCAAAATTCAACTCTAAATCTGATTTTGTTACTAGAAAAAAAAAACTAAACTCTGACCCTATGCATTTATCTAATTCCCTGGCTTCGATTTTTTGTTGGATTTAGCTGTAAAAAATTTGACTCAAGTAGGGTTTCCGAGTTTAAATAAATCATCTCTGAATCAAGTTGCCCAGACCAATTTCGTTATCTTATCTTGCTATCACGCATAATTCGCCCCGAAAACGCTTATTTAAACTTCTACTATTACGAATATCATGTTACACTTTGAAAGTTTCAGCTACATAAGAGCACAAAGCCGCGCTCAACGTATAGGAGATCACATGTTTGCAGAGGGTAATCAGGGGGATGGTTTCTCCGGAACTCCACCCTCTTTTTTGAAATGTAAAAAACAAAAACATTTTTCTCTACCATATAAAGCAGGGGTTCTCAGACTTTATTGGCAGCGGGCCAAAATTAGAATCGGGGGATGTTCGAGGGCCGGATAAGTGTAGCGCCCGAAAGTGTGCGACGGTTGCCAAAAAATGTCTGTTTACAGAGTCTAGTTTCCGTTTGTGTTTTGATATCTCTAAGCTTTCTTATGTGGTTGATAACTAAATTACTGCCCTATGTAATCCTAATACCGGTTCGTATGATCAATTGAATTGTTACAATAAACACATGCTTAAACTGTGATAGTGACGTAACTCACTAAAACGCAAACAAAATCTGTTGACCACTGTTTCATCTGAGCTCAGGGGGCCATTTTAAATCGTTATGCGGGCCGAATGTGGCCCGCGGGCCGTGGTTTGGGAACCCCTGATATAAAGCAATTTTTCATAGCATAAAACGCTCTTTAGACTCCTCAGAACCCACGTCTTCCGGCCCCCAGTCGGACCCGCTCGCTGTTACGATCTAACTTGGCCATTAGAATTTTCAGATTTTTAATGTTTTTTTTTCGAAATACAATTTTGCGGCATTTGAATTGAGACATAAATTCTTACGCCTTCTTTTTTTTTCAACGCCATTTTAATTTATTTTTAATCGACTTACTGCAAACCGGACGTTTCCTGGCTCACTGTCAACAAGAGAGTTATGCTCAAATATATGGACACGTAGCATAATTTTGCACATAATAAAAAAAAAGTAATAGCCTTCTAGAGAAAATTTTTATCTTTAACCACTGAAAATTTCAAAGCAATTGGTCTAGTATTCGAAGAGAAAAGCGATTTCTTCAAAACGTGTTGACGGAGACAAATAATAACAATAAAATTTTGAAACGATCGTTATGTCCACTACGTGTCCAATAACTCTTTCCCCAAATGTACCAAACAAGATATGCGCGCTTTTATATCTTGGATAAAAATAAGTCTGTTCACAGAACCTTGTTATATATCAGCGCCTGCTTTTATCTAACCTTATTAGCATAAAAAAGCACGTATTAAGTCAATATACGAAAAAAATTGCCCTCATGCACAGGGCGTTTGGACGTCGTGAAAATGTATTTAACCCGCAAATACAACATGGTCCGTCTAACCACAAACTGCCCACCGCCTCAAAATGTGGCATCTAGCTATCAAAACCCATAATCTGACAAATAATCTAACGCAAACAGGTCAATTTAAACACAATAGCGCTTTTCATTTTTCAATCGGCTCAACTAAAATCACACTTTTAAAAATAAATAGTATATCACCACAATTTTACTATCATTAGTTGAAGTTATCACCCAAAACTAAAAATGCAAATTTATACATAATTATGGATAAGAATTTTTCGGGGGGGTGAATTTTGAATAAAATTTTAGTGACACGCCTTCTAGTGGCCTGATTTTATTCGACAATTTTTGACTTACACTAAAATGCAATTGAACATAAAATTTTTACTGTTTTTTCAAAGTGATATTTACGTGTTATCGCTCATATAATTAATTGTCGCGCCCCGGGTTACGCGTAAGCCTTAGCCGGACGTCAGTTCTGTTTATATAAAAATAACTTGGGCTCAATAAAACTGAATTTTAAGCATTCTTTTAATGGTAAACTACGCGTGAAAGGGCGAATCGGGTTTTTGTATGAAATTAAAATTCTGTGCTATGAGTCATATTTATCATTCAAACTCGTGGACGTGGCTCGTTTATTAATTCAATCTGGCCCGCCTGATGCTGCCACAACTAAACCAAAACCAACTTTTGATGTTTTAGCTAAAGATTAGAGCAAGAAGTTTGTTGATATTGCAATTAAATTTACTTTTGGCGCAAGGCTCATTGTCTACCACTTTTTCTTTTGTAACACTATAAATATACATTGTTCATAAAATGTAACATTTCACGTCACACTTACAAGGCCCTTCATTCTAGGTGGAATGCTAAGTTATGCGTTATATTTGGCGTTCAAATTTGAGGATTTTGTTATCGGGCTCAAATTGCATCGTTTTGTTCGGTGTGTTTTTCTATTGTGTGTTTTCACACGTTCACTTTAAGTAGGCTCTGCATAATCAATTACTGAAAAACTACTATTTTGGACTGTGTACAACAGTGTTCCCAACGTATAGGTCGCCTGAAAATTCTCTTTCGTCGCTCGTTTTTCAAACAATTTCATTTATTCATCGCAATTTATAATAAAGTTTCTGGTTTTTGAAAGTAAAGCCACGCTACAAATTCAAAAACTCTAGTGCTTCCTCACTTTGAAGTAATTTCTGGTAAAATAAATACCCTGTAAAAACGATAGTTTTGTATAAATAAATTAATTCGCGGCAATAAAAGAACTACATGCCGTTCAGTATTTGTGTGTATACTTTGGTCCCGAAATTTTACAAAAATATATATTTTTTTAAATTTGGGTCAAAAAAAGTTGAGCTTGTGTAATTCCACAGTACACTTGCAGTCAGTGCACACGGACTCGTTAACATTAAAACAGATATAAAGGTACACTCTGAAAAAACAACGCAGCTATAGGTATTTGTTTATTTATAAACTAATTATCACTTCACACTTATTAATAATTTAATTTCAACTTAATTTCAAACAAAGCGGATGTCGGTGGTAGATGCTCTTTCATTACGAACGTTTATTTTGGGTAATTTACCAAATATTTCAAAAAAACTTTTTTAAATTATTATTACACAAATTACGTCTTTCGTCATCTAATTAGGGGGCGTTCCAGAGATATGTGAACCGATATGGAGGTAACTAATTTTGTTCGCCTATTTGACATCAAGTTGTGCAAAGCCGGGTTTCCAGGATTGTTCCAGTATTTTAATAGAAACGATAATATGTCTCAAAACAGAAACTTTCCGTAGGGCGACTTTGACTAATTACAGAGCAGTACTGTGTAAACAAAGTGGAATTAGGAAAATTGCAATCTTTTCGAAATTAATAGCCGCCCAACCAAGTATCAGTGACTACTTGTCTAGCTATGAATACAAATATTTTCATTCGACATTTTTGTATCAACGAATATGAAAGTTTTCGAACTCAAATTTTTTTCACAGTCAGCTTGCATTGTTGGTTTGTGGTCTAAAATTCTGGAAAATGACATTACGTTTATAATTTTTCACATTTTCTCGGTGAACTATATTTATGTAGAGCGAGTTCTTAATTTTGCCACAAATTTTGTTAGTTAACTCCGACACCAGGTATATTTCCTGTCATCAATTTCAAAGAACGAGTGTTCAACAATCGTTATTCGAAAATATATATATTGGTACAACACATACAATGTATAGTACACCAAAGTAATTTTTCCATCTGCATTTTCATGATTCTGCGAATAGTAGTTTTCTGCGCTGAACAAAACATAAGAGCTAAAAACGATTAAGACCACGAAACCTTGCTTCCGTCTCATTTACAGATGAAACGCATATTGTTAATAAAACGTTCTTTGTAATAAATGTGCCGCGGCTTTTTCATCTCGTTGTTATTGTGTCGCAAGCTGAAAAAGTTTGGGAACCCCTGGTGTAAAGGGACTGAAACCTATGGACGGAGTATATTCACTTAGTTAACACAGACAGTCCCGAACTCGTAATAGAACTAAAATAAGGAGAATCGGAATAAAATTATGGCCTAACCTGGTACACATATCACGGGAGTACCAATAAGAGATGGACCTGTAATGAAATTTAATTAGCGCCACCTAATGGGGCCAACGTGGTATCATGACCGAGCGATCTGAGAATATCATTAGTCGTGTGGCGAAGCGATGGTTTTATTTGGCCAAGATCGCTACATCTTGTAAGTTGTTCTTTCTCTTAATTCCTTATAGCAGTAATGTTTAAGTAAAAGCCTAGAAAACGGTCCAAAGGAGTTTTCAAAGAATTTTTTTGTATAATAACGTAATACGACGCTCACACGTGCTTTTTGCTCCGAACAAGGCTAGATAAAAGCATCCACAGATATCTAACTAGAATCTCTTCACAGACGACATTCTTCGTCGAATTTTTATCCGTCTCGTTTGGTTTATTTGGTAAAGGAATATTGATAGCAAGCCAGGTATCAATAAATCGTAAAAGAATAGAGGAAAATGGTGTTAGAGAAGGCGTGTCCGCCTGGCTACGCCTCCTTGCATATCATTGGACGACTGTACAGGACCTAAGCGCGAAACGCTTTATAAAGCCATCTTATGAAAACATACAGTAGTATTAATTTGGAATCACAAAATCACATGAAAACTAATTCATGGAACTAAAAAGGCAATTCAAAGGCTTGGGCCCACTAGGTTAAACCTGCGCTAATGATTTGGTTTCTGTGTGACTAACTACTTATCTTTCTTCTGTGCTTTTGTGCCGACGGATTCGCATGCATATAATGCAAGGATGCTGTAGCAAGAGTTAAGATAACTATCCTAAGTGATTCAAGAGTCTTTCTGCACACGAACACAAATATATTTCTGTAACGTTTCGTTTGACCAAGGTCAGACTTCTTCAGACATACATAGTTCAACTATAACAAGGAAAAACTGTTTTGAGAAAATGTATAAACAAATATATTTTTTTAATTTTTCAACCCCTAATAAAATACTTTGCTCAATATGGCCTCAAACTCTGACTAGATACCAGCCTGAACGGTGACCGTACATTTGAACCCATGTACATTTGAACCCATGCGTATATCCACGGGTTCAATCTATATGCGGGTGCTAAAACCCATGGGTTAGGGTTAGTATGGGTTTAACTATCCGTGAAACAAAAAAAATTCCATAGGTGCAATAGCATACAGGTGCAATTGTCATGGGTTCAAATGTACGTGGGTTCAAATGTAATGGAACCAGCCTGAACAGCATCTGAAGCTGTTTTGAGAAAATAAGGAAAACTCATATTTACAATTTTCAACTTTTGATTGAAATATTTTGATGAATATTGCTCCAAACTAATATTAGAAACCAGCTTAAACGGCATTTATTTATTATTTGCAATATTCTTAAATAAAATTCAGCTTTCGCATTTTTGTCTTGAAACTCTCAAATTTCTGGCAACTGTCTTTCTCGAATCAGGAATTCCTCATTTAAGCAGAATGCCTCCTCCAGAACAAAAACGTTTGGGTGAATATCTGCATCGAATGCAAGTTCGCTTTGCTTTTGATGCTGAAAAAATATGAAGGTATTAGTTGCAGAAGTTTTTGGGGTATTCGATCGAAGTCGCGTTTTTTTTAAGATCAAAATATACTCAGATCTTTGCGTTCTATAATTCTAGTGGTGCCGGTGGTCTTCTCCGGAGCCGGAGTTGAAAATTTTGACTCCCGCACCCTGGATTTAAATTAAGCTATTTATGTACTAGTGATTTGGCGTTTCTGGTTCTAGAACAGAACAATAGTAATGGTATCAAATATTAGTTCTTTGCTCTGAAAAAACTGAAGCTGAAAACGATTAAGACCACGAAACCTTGCTTCCGTCTCATTTACAGATGAAACGCATAATGTTAATAAAACGTTCTTTGTAATAAAAGTGCCGCGGCTTTTTCATCTCGTTGTTAGTGTGTCGCAAGCTGAAAAAGTTTGGGAACCCCTGGTGTAAAGGGACTGAAACCTATGGGCAGGGGTTATATTCATTAGCTAACACAGACAGCCCCGAACTCGTAATAGAACTAAAATGTGGAAAATCGGAATAAAATTCCGGCCTAACCTGATACACATACTACGGAAGAGCCAATAAGGAATGGGCCTGTAATGAAATTGAATTAGCGCCACCTAATGGGGCCAACGTGGTATCATCACCGAGCGATCTGAGAATGTTATAGTCGTGTGGCGAAGCGATGGTTTTATTTGGCCAAGATCGCTACATCTTGTAAGTTGTTCTTTCTCTTAATTGATTATAGCAGTAATGTTTAAGTAAAAGCCTAGAAAACGGTCCAAAGGAGTTTTTAAAGATTTTTTTTGTATAATAACGTAATACGACGCTCACACGTGCTTTTTGCTACGAACAAGGCTAGATAAAAGCATCCACAGATATCTAACTAGAATCTCTTCACAGACGACATTCTTCGTCGAATTTTCATCCGTCTCGTTTGGTTTATTTGGTAAAGGAATATTGATAGCAAGCCAGGTATCAATAAATCGTAAAAGAATAGAGCAAAATGGTGTTAGAGAAGGCGTGTCCGCCTGGCTACGCCTCCTTGCATATCATTGGACGACTGTACAGGACCTAAGCGCGAAACGCTTTATAAAGCCATCTTATGAAAACATACAGTAGTATTAATTTGGAATCACAAAATCACATGAAAACTAATTCATGGAACTAAAAAGGCAATTCAAAGGCTTGGGCCCACTAGGTTAAACCTGCGCTAATGATTTGGTTTCTGTGTGACTAACTACTTTCTTTCTTCTGTGCTTTTGTGCCGACGGATTCGCATGCATATAATGCAAGGATGCTGTAGCAAGAGTAAAGATAACTATCCTAAGAGATTCAAGAGTCTTTCTGCACACGAACACAAATATATTTCTGTAACGTTTCGTCTGACTAAGGTCAGACTTCTTCAGACATACATAGTTCAACTATAACAAGGAAAAACTGTTTTGAGAAAATGTATAAACGAATATTTTTTTTAATTTTTTAACCCCTATTAAAATACTTTGCTCAATATGGCCTCAAACTCTGACTAGATACCAGCCTGAACAGCATCTACAGCTGTTTTGAAAAATAAGGAAAACGCATATTTACAATTTTCAACTTTTGATTGAAATATTTTGATGAATATTGCTCCAAACTAATATTAGAAACCAGCTTAAACGGCATTTATTTATTATTTGCAATATTTTTAAATAAAATTCAGCTTTCGCATTTTTTGTCTTGAAACTCTCAAATTTCTGGCAACTGTCTTTCTCGAATCAGGAGTTCCTCATTTCAGCAGAATGCCTCCTCCAGAACAAAAACGTTTTGGTGAATATCTGCATCGAATGCAAGTTCGCTTAGCTTTTGATGCTGAAAAAAATATGAAGGTATTAGTTGTAGAAGTTTTTGGGGTATTCGATCGAAGTCGCGTTTTTTTTAAGATCAAAATATACTCAGATCTTTGCGTTCTATAATTCTAGTGGTGCCGGTGGTCTTCTCCGGAGCCGGAGTTGAAAATTTTGACTCCCGCACTCTGGATTTAAATTAAGCTATTTATGTACTAGTGATTTGGCGTTACTAGTTCCGGAACAGAACAATAGTAACGTTATTAGATTATTCGGGGACTCCCCGACTCCGGGTTTCAAATTAAGCTATTCAAATACTCTGATTTTTGTGTTTTCGGTGTCAAAGCAGAACAATAGTCACGTTTCACATTCTCCAGAGCCGGATTTGAAATTCATGACTCCCGGAGTGTATATTTTAAATATAATCACATCCCTATTCGGTTTGTCAATATTATTAAACCTGTTACACTTCGAAGTTCCTTTTTTTGCCAGTATTAGGTTTGCTGTTACAATTCTACTTACACCCTTACAAGTATTACACAGTGGTTTTGTGTTTCAAAATTCTAGTGGAGTCGGTCTCCGGAACCGGAGTTAAAAATTTTTACTCCCAGACCTCTGTTTTGCAAATTAAACTATTATTGTAGACTGGTATATATTTCATAAGTGGGAGTAAAAAACAAATTACTGACCTTTCGGAAGAGAACACGGTGTATCGAAGATCCCTCCGCTCCTGTTGCAATATTTTTTGCATTTCGGGGGAACTTTGTACAGTTTCAAACTTTGCTGAAAAATTTGTGATAAATTAATAACGAGAATATCGGTCAGAGACCGAAGACTTATCGATCAAAAGTTAGGGGATCCCCCAAAACAGCGCTCTCACTCCATAGTGACACCTTGTGTCCGATCACTAATTAATTGATAACTCGCTAATTATACGACATAATTCATCCAATAGGCTTCTGGTCCGAGATATGATGAATGCACATGCAAAATTTGGAGCAGATTCAACCACGCCTTGTGAGATATCGCGTGCATCTAACAGACAGACAGACAAATACCTATCAACATACTTACCGATCTAGAGATCGATGAGTAAAAAAGAGAGCGATGCTCAAATATAAGGACACGAAAGCCAAAACGATATTCTCCACAGTACAGTTTGACCACCAGATCAGATGTGATCGCGGAACCACGACACGCTTCAAAATTTTGATGACGTCATTGAAAATTAATAAAAAAGACAGCAATGATCAAATATAAAGACACAAAATCCTAAATGAGGTAGTAATAAATTTATTACAGTACCGGTAGTTTGACGTCAAACTTCTAATTGAAAAACGAATCCCATAGATCCCACAGAAAGTTTGGAAATAAATAGCAGTAATAGCCTTCTAATAAAAAAATATGATCTTGAACCACCGAATTTATTAAAGCAATTAGTCCAGTAGTGATCGAGAGAAGCAATTTTTCGTAACAACATTAAAAACCACAACAACATATTAATAATACCAAAACGATCCACTTCGTGTGCAACAAGAAAGCAATCTTTGAATAACATGGGTACACATCGGTACCGGTATGGCTTTGGATGGTTAACTGAACACCGGGTTTACTGGAATAATCGGCGGTCAAGCGTGACAGTAGATAAGTGTTCCCATATTTTAAAAAGTGTTCCCATGGATTAAGATGAAATTGCAAAATTTTCACGGTGAAATAACGAGTCCCATGGCATTTAAATAAATTGAAAAATTCGACTGTCATCTGAATAGTTGAAATCAATTGTTCAATTCCTAGCTAAAATAAGTGATTTTCCCAAAAACTACAAAAACAACAACAACAACAAAAAAACATTGTTGTAAACTGCTTGTCTCAGAAAGACTGATTTTGATCAGAAGAAACATTACAGAGAATACATTTGTGTTGTTAGTGTGTAGCAGAACTCTTGATTTGCATAGTATGATATTTTTATTCCTGCTACAGCACCCTTGCATTATAGTTACAAAAATAGCAACACGAAATTAGCGAGTCTTGTGCCAATCCGTATCAGATACGACTGTCCACTTTTAGTTTATAAACTGACATTTCGTTTGCGGGGTACTCGTATAAATACATCAGACATTTGACGTATTTTTGTGTCATTTTATTTCAATTTTCACAGTCAATGAGGAACTTCTGAACTGAAAATTCTTACCGTAAGGAGGACAGGCGCCATCCGTGGTGCCTCCTGTAGCGCCTCATGTGGTGCCAACTGCGGTGCTTGATTCCCCTCTGACCCCCCTGATCCTCTGACCTCTGACCCTTCTGATCCTCTGACCTCTGACCCTTCTGATTTCAATCCATCTTCGCCAAACAGTCGCAGCAAATCAGAAAGAGAATACGGACACTTGTCAGGCTGGAATAAACAATGTTGGGTTTAAACTAAATAAACGTAAAACGATTTTTAATAAACGTAAAACGAAAAATAGACAGTTGCGCAATCTAAATGTATATAATTTTGGGCGCTCCCGAAGTATGTGTACCAAGATGGCGCACAACTATGTTCAGGATGTGCGCCATCTTAGTGCACATACTTCTGGAGCTCTTAATTTTGTTCCATTTTTCAATTTGCCGGCAGTGTCTCATTTGGGCCATCGGTTCTCAAACTTTCAGCCCCTTGAAGTGTTTATCCAGCCCACTTGTGGCTGCTAAATTTATGACTATAGTTTTTATGAATATAAATTTCTGTTAAAAATATCGATGATAATAACGATTCGTCGGCTAAAATTGATACGTCATTGCCCACGTTTTGGATATTGTGTGTAAAACGAGCCACATATACCTCATACCCGTCCGAATCATTAATCATTGTGCGACTTGGTGCACTAGTGGTTTGTTGTACATTGTTTGTTACGCAAAAACAAACTGTTTTTATTCATATTGAGCCTTGAGAATCCGGCCCAGTCTATTATCTGGAACCGACCCACACAGCAAAGTAATTGCCCACTCCTGAGCTAGGCCATATCTAACCGAGCAACTAGAGTTGTTTTATAATGTCATAGTTGTGCTTCTGATCAACATGAAAACGTTAGCCTAGCTGTTGCAATTAACCTCATTTATTCATAGTTTTTCATATTCAGTTTTGAGTCTATTATCTGTAACTGGCCCACCCAGAAAAGTAACGGACCCCCCTTGCATGAATCATGGTGTCTTTTATCAAGACAGACAAGATTCGGATATTCAACAGATTCAAATTTTTGGAAATATCTTGGTCACATCTTAAATCTACCCGCTTGTGTTAAAAGTATTCTTTGTTTCAATGGTGAAAGGTTCACGACGAAAATCCCCTTCTCCCAAATCAAATGTTAAAAATGAAACAATCCATGGTTCTACTATGTCAAAAGTAAGCGGTTGTTTGCCAGAAGACTTGCAACAAGCTATTTTACACCGTTCTTTGTAATATTTGCGGGCTTTTCCATGGGACACTTTGTTCCATTCAAGTCTATTCCGTGAATTCCAGCCCATCTGATAAGATTCTTATTCCCATGGACAAACCTGAAAATTCATGTTGGTTGCGATAAGTCGCAATAAATGACCTTCTGAGTGAATAGATGATACTTTACCTTAAACCAATTAAAAACAACACGTTACCTGCCGGGGCTTCCTTTCTCCTAAGCAGTCTCTGTACACAACAGACTTCTCAATGCAGGCCGTTTCCAAGTTTCGTCTATGAGAGTCCCATCCGTAAGTCGAGTCTCCAGTTACGATGCTCAGAAAACCTCGTCTGTGGAATAAGAGGCGGAAGAATATAAGGTGCTTCTAAAGCACACACACACACATCCAAATACAGGAACATACGCACACACATACACATGCCCACATTGACACATACACATGCAAACACACGCACGTACATTCACATACTAACGCGCATTGTGCATGTTGTCTTGGGTCGTTCAATAAAGTGGAAAAATTTCCTTTACCACAACCAAATATACAATAGGAATCAACGCACACACATACATGTACACATACACATGCCAACACACGCACGCAATTACACATACTCACGTGTAATGTGCATGTTGTCTTGGGTCGTTCAACAAAGTGGGAAAATATCTTTCCCCGCAACCAAATATACAATGTGAATCCACCGCACACACATAAACGCACATACACGTACATGTACACATGCAAATACACGCACGCACATATCCAATTACGCAGCCAAAAGTACAATGTGAATCCGCATACACATACTTTTGTGCAATGCGCGTGTCGTCTTGGGTCGTCCAATAAAGCTGTCACATATTCTATACAATGTGAATCCGCCACACAAATATAAATACACACACACTTCCACATACATATACTCACGTGCAATGTGCATGTCGTCTTGGGTCGTCCAATAAAGCTGGAAAATATCCTTCTCCGCATCCAAATATACAATGTGAATTCATGTGAAATCCCTTCGTGCAGGCAAGTGCGGTCATCATGGGTGTAGGAGGAGAGCATGTTATCACTATAAATAGGAAGTAGGAAATTCTTGAACTCATGGTCACGAAAGTCAAATAAATTAATATATCCAATGTTAAGTAAGCAAAAATCGAGGCCAATGTGATAAAAGAATTGTGCCGAATGTCATATGAAGGTGTTCCCATGATTTATAAAATCTTACATGATTTCGGGTGAAATATTAGGATCAGTAGGAGCAAAAATATGAAAAATATTAGAATGTGGGAAGTTCTGACGACCTCTTTCTTCTTTCTATGTTTTTTTTTATAACAAAATAGCGATTTTTTGAGTTAAAAATTGTTTTATTTCCACTCACATTTGTAATCCATGGCGAAAGATCCAGCGTTCTCCGGAACCACAATTTTAACATTTGCCTTTGTAGCGTGAACGTCAATTCTTGGGATGTTACCACTCAATGTTTGAAGAGTCTGCCATGTCTGTTTGCCCTCTGCTTCTACTAACTCTTTGATCTGTTGAGAGGGAAATTTATAACATAGGTCTTTTATATGTGGTTTTTAGACTTTAGCTCTAAACAAGGCTCCAGGTAGGTTTTCACGGGTGCGTAGAAGATTTTAAATTACTAATATATTTTGAAAAACCTGATTCGTTTTTTTTAGCGCTCCGGGATGAGTCGCCCCGAGAAGCACGTTATAGGGGTGAGATTGTTGCTTAGTTTGATGATTTAAAGAATTATTATACGAACTTTTCACTTTTACTTCGTAAACGATGTACATTTTGGAATACCTGATTCGGCATTTTCATCACTCTGATTTGAGTGGCGACAGAGTGAGTGTAGAGAAGCTGCCCGGGTAGCGCGTTATAGAAGTGAGATTATTGCTCAGTTTGTTGATTTGATTGATAGTATTACAAACATTGAATTCTAACTTCGTAAGGGACATCATTATCAAAAATTCGCTCCGGGCATCAGTAAAGTTTGATACACCATGTTTACTAGCCTATAGATACATAGGCCCATTACCTCAATGTTACTTTTCCCAACTTTTATATTCCTAAACGTCAATACAGTGTCTCTGGATCCATAAGTTTCCATATAGAACACACAATCTGCTTCCATGTTTTCTCCCTTAGTATAGAAAGGGTTGTCATAAGTCTCTGAAGGCTTCGTATCCGGGAACATGAAAGACCCTTCCCATCCACGGAGCTCTCTTAGGCATAAGTCCGCTGAAACATGAAAGAACACAAATTTTACACAGCCACTCCGCCAGTGTCCTCCCGGACTTTCTTTTTGGCGGGAGGGCAGAAAAACTCCCCTTTTTTGCGTGATATTCTAAACGTTATTCTTCAGAAAACACATTTCATATTACTCAAGTTTATTGCAGTTATTACATTTCTGATTTACCGCAGTATAACAATTATTTTCATATGTTTACGAACATCCCCCCAATTTCTTTATACCCAGGCAAAAAATTCAATACCTATGGCAACAATAATTCTCATGATCTTACCTGCGCTTGTGAGTCTCCCAAACGTAATCAAAATCAACACAAAATGGTAGATTAAATCCATTGAGCACTTGCAGTATTCTTTATCAAGTTACCGTATTGGGTGTGTATTATGGTTATAACTGGAATAAAAGATCGAATATTTTGCTTGGATGAGATATTTATTTATTTTTGCGACTTTCTTCGTTCTATACAAAGCTGTAAAGACATCCATTTATAGGTAATATTAGGCTTACCATACGTCCCGGTTTTAACAAGCAACCCGGTAAGCAAGACCTAATTAATTGGAGTAGCGCGCACTTAACTAATCCCATGCACTGACCGACTGTACTGGCACTGTAGCAATATTATTGCTGTCTGACAAAGTCTAGTTTCGGCCAGTCTACACTTTACAAAATGAAATTTGTGAAATGTGATGCAAAAAATTCGAACCACTTACATTTACTTCCTAGTTCATTGCCTGGAGGCTCGATTACGTGCCAGTTGTACCAGTTACTGTTAGTAAATACGTAAAAATTGCAGCAATTGTAGAGAAATTCAGACTTTTTTGTTGTGTTTATTGTAATAGATTCCAGTTGCTTCGTAGTTGACTGTATGTTAGTAAAAGACGATTAATAATAGGATAGGATTTTCACATTTATCACGGGGAAAAAAGCTGATAATACGGTTCAATCATATGGCGAACCACGGCAACTCGTCCGATTACCAGTCCATGTCGGGTATGAGATTAGTTTGCCAGTTAACTTATTCAGATGGATGGATTTGATAGTGGAGGAAGCCGTAACCGACCAGTGGTTATGTGAACAACTAACTCTACGGCGGCGAGGAGTTAAGCAATCCTCTCGCACATAATTGCCCCCCAAGCGATTCGAAAATTGCGGACCCACGCAGGGTAATCAGAGGTGCTGTGCAAGCGTATTCCAAACGCTAGATCGCCGAGCTAATAAACCAGCATGTTCATGAAAACCCCATAAATGGCCATTTTACGCGCATAAACAACAATGTAAGCAAATTTAACGTTTCACACGAACGAGCACATCGTGACGTCATAATTATATCAAATATTTTCGCGGGCATTCGGCGCATCACGTTATTACAAGGAATTGCCTTTATAAGAACTTTTCCGATTTCTTGAAATGATACTATGACGTCAAAATTGACAGGTATGGTGACGACATAATAGATTTTTATGAATTGTTTAAATAGGCGATATTTAGTGTTTTCGCGTAGTTTAGCGATTTGGGAAGCTCTAGGAATTAGGTTTTTGGGTAGGAAAATGAAAAATTCGAAGTCTATCCCCCGGAAAGTCGGACAAAAGAAGTCAAAGTTCGTGAGCACGTTTCTACGACAGCCATGTAAAACGAGATCAGGGCGAAGGTATTCCCGACATAGAGCCGGGTCGTCGGAAGAAAGCTTGCTGGGGTCTCTTGCCGCGAAAAATCGAAAGAGGAAGCAAGTGTCGCGAAAACGAGGTCGTAAGAAGAAACGAAAATATAGGAAATGTTACTCTTCGTCATCGTCTAGCGGTGGAGGATGTGAGTGCGAAAACTGCGTTCGCAGCGACGCTGAAGACAGCGACACAGTTCGTAGCCGACATCGCGGAATAGACTTGCTGTTCAAGAAAGAAAAACAGCCCAAGAAAAAACGTTCAAATACCGCGGGAAAGAAAAAAGAAGCAAAAAAGAATCGCAGCAATGTTACATGTTCGACTTGCCTGAGCGCGAATTCACTTACAAAAATAACATCGAAAACACAGAAAGGTAAGAGACAGCAAAAGCGGATGAAACGTAAAACCAAAGGAGCGAATAAAAATCTGAGCTTATTGAGATATGTCCTAAGTAAAACGGGTTCCAAATTGTTCAGTTCTGATAGCACACTGCATAAAAGAATCCGAAAAATTGAGCCGGATACGCGTTGCGCTTGCTGTGGTGAGTTTTTCATGACTTTATCAGAACTTGAGCACCTTGTGCCGGAAGATTTATTCGACAACGGAGACAAAAGATACAGAAAACATATCTCAATGAAGCGTTTGAAGAGTATCCTGCGCGCAATGTCAGCTCGAAGAAAGAGTGTTGCGCCGAGCGGGAGTGCCGGGTGCATAACGAAATCAATTGGGCAGCAAACTTCCAACACACCAAAAAAAATGCTCCCGGAAACGCGTTCTCACGCGCAAAAAACACGCAGAATCATAAGAACCACTGGCAGACCAACACGTGGTAAAAGTGTTAGCTCAATTTTATTTCCAAGCACAGGGGCGAAGAGCGTAAAAAAAGTGAACCAAGTCGAGCCAACGGGCCAAGATTTAAACACATTGATAAAAAGAATCGTCGGGGGCAGAAATATGGCGCCGATACCAAGCGCAAAAGCGTCGGATATCGAATTACAAATTGCGCTAGAGGCGGAGCTACAGGCCTCCCCTCCCCCTTCATGCAGTCACCGTTTGCCTACTTTTATCGTCATGATCAAAACAGCTATCCGAGATTTGAGACCGTTTAAAATAACATCCATGGAAGCGATTTCAAAGTACATTGAGTTACGATACAGAGTAAAAAACGAAAATTTATTGAATTACATCTTGGAGTGGATGGTGGACATGCGAGTATTGCGCGCATGGTCAGGTCATTATTACTTCACAAAGTCAAGACTTGTTAAGAAGACAACAGTTGCTGTTCTGGGAAAGGGTGCCGGGAAACATGGAAAAAATAAAAAGCTAAAAAAGGTTACTTCGAAACAGAAAAAAAAGAACGCAAAAAAGCTTTGGAAAAAGGGGTTTAAGCAATGTAACGTGCACAAAAATGGGGTTCAGTTCGCGCAGAAGGGGCGCGGAAAAAAGGGAAAACAAATAGACGAGTCGGAGCTTGACGACGAACAAAATAATGCGCCAAAGTCGCGCAAAAATAAACATAAAAAAGGTAAAAAAAGTGGACGCAAACAGAAGAAAAACAAAGATAAAAAGACAAAATGCACTTGCACAAAAGAGCTGACATCAGCAAAAAATAGAGTTAAACTAAAAACGAGATATGTCCGCAGGAGAGGAAAGATTTACAGAGAAGAGGAGTTTGTGTAATTTTTTTTATGTGGGGGGGGGGGGGAACAAAAATTTGTTGCAATTTATCTTGTATGTTTTATTTGTGGATTTTTCTATTATTTCATGACAAATTCGATAATATGATATTGAACAACTTTTTTTATTAAATTTGACTCAATGTTGTAAATTTATGGGTATTGCGTGCTCCATTGATAACTAAGTATGTGCTTGCCTGAAGCCCTATTCAGAGTAGTGAGTCAGCACAATGGTCTATTTGTCAGAGTGTTAGACTTAACAATGTTGGCATGGTGGTTGCCCCCCCAGTCAAGGGTGCAATAATTGGGTAGGTACCGTCGATGGGTAATCCCGTAGTATGAGTACCAGGTTGGGGTTAGGTCATAATTTTATTCCGATTTCCTTATTTTAGTTCTATTAGGAGTTTGGGGACTGTCTGTGTTAGACAAGTGAATATACTCCCTGCCCATAGGTTTCAGTCCCTTCACACAACTTGATGTAAAGTAGGCAAACAAAATTAGTTACATCCACATTGGTACATACACTTCTGGATCCCCTGCCAAAGATACTAGTATTTCTAAAGATAGTAACGTTCGACCGGCTCAAAGTGAAAAAATATCAAAGTTACTTCATATAAGATAAGATTTTGAAATGTGGTTCAAGTCGCCTGGAATAAGATGATTTTTAAACTACACATGTTTAAAAAAAAAATTATTTCTGAAAAATAAAGATGTTTTTATTTTCAAACGCAAACAATCACATTAGACACAGTGCAAATACTACAGAACTATATGAAAAAGTGAAAAGGCACAAAAATAGATTTTTAAATGAAAACAAGTTTTCTTTAATGGAGTGTGCAAAACCATCAACCGGGGCTATGTGGCCCAGCAAGAGGGCCACAGAGCAATTGAAGTAGGGCCACAAGGTTGGACGCAAAACTGATTTTACTTTCCACTTTAGGAGAAAAGTTCCTGTTCTTCCTAGTTTTTTTCAGTGTGGTTTTGCCTGAATTCTTTAATTCTTTGAAAATTTGGGATCTACCAATCAAAATACCACTGGAATAACAAGAGAGCAATGCTCAAATATATGGACACGTAGCGCCACTCAATGGCAATAATTTTAATGACGTCATAGCGAAAAAAAAAGTAATAGCCTTCTGGAAAATTTTTTTATCTGTAACCACTGAAAATTTCAAAGCAATTGGTCCAGTATTCGAAGAGAAAAGCGATTTTTTAATGATAATGACGAAGAAAAATAACAATAACAAAATTTTGAAACGATCGTTATGGCCACTAAACGTGTCCAATAAACAGGGAGCCATTATAGCGGAAGGGGACCACGAACCATGAAAGGTTGGGCACAATCGACCTCTCCCTTCTCTATGCCTTTGTGTTATAGGGCCCATGTGCACTGAATGCGAGAATACTGCAGCAACAAAGTGAAAAAGGGCGAGAATATTACATGAAAACGACAAATAGTCTTTTAAAAGGATTTAATATACAGTTTAATATAAAGATAAATTGTCTTAGACTTTCCTCCCCCAAAAAAAAAACTAGGAATATTAATTGCGCTGTGACTTGTCATCAAAACTGTAATATATAGCGACCTATGTTGAAAGGCACAAAAGAATACGGTAATTAAAAAATATAAATATTCACATAATACATGGAGAGCAAATTTTTGTTTGAGATTTTAGAAGTGCTCACAACTAAAATAGCAAAAAAAAAATTGAAGATAATTTTATTTCTTAAAAAATTTACATGAATAAGAATTCTAGTGCAAAGATTGAAAACATCAAAAAATTAGGTAAAAATTGGAAAACATTAGTTTTAATTCAATTAAAACAAGATAGCAATACTCAAACATATGAACATACGATAGGGCTTGAGAGCACAGAGTTCGATGAAAAGATCTGCAGACTGACTTGAAATTAAAAAGAAGTAAACAAAATGAAATAAAAAATTTCATGCTTAAAAATTAGCATTGATGAGAAATCTAACTATCAGTAGAGATCGCACGAGACTAACACACAATTCTTACTCAATGCCTTTGCAAGATGGATCTGTATGCTCACAATGCAAGGATGCTGTAGCAGAAATAAAAATATCATAATATGCAATTCAAGAGTCCTGCTGCACACTAACACAAATGTATTCTCCGTAACGTTTCGTCTGATCAAAATCAGACTTCCTCAGACAAGCAGTTTACAACAACTTGAGGACAATCTGATGACTTTGGCCAGATGCAACATCACAGAAATACATTTGTGTTAGTGTGCAACAGGACTCTGGAATTGCATACGTGAAAAATCTAATGCGAAATAGAGAAATTATATGAAAACGGAGAAGCGTGGTGCAATATAAATAACGAGCAAAATCCGGGGTAGATTTTCGGGTACTCCCATGGTATGTGTACCATGTTAGGGTTAATTCATAATTTCATTCTCATTTCCCTTATTTTAGTTGAATTACGATTTCTAGTTAGCCAAGTGAAAATACCCATAGGTTTCAGTCCCTTTACACAACTTGATGTAAAGTGGGCAACCAAAATTAGTTATCTCCATATCGGTACACATACTTTTAAAACGCCAAATATCAGGGCCTTGTAGAATTCAAGCCTATTCTTTTGGCTTCTTCCATTTTTAAGTAATGAAAATTGAAATTGATTGGTCCGTTAAGTGCTGAAAAAGCAATTTTTTACAAAAACAATTTGGAAAAACGATTCATTTTTTGTCCAATAACAATAATATAATACAGTAAAGAATCACACAAAAATCATAGGAAAAAAAGAAAATTGAAGATTTTTGACAAAAACTGAAGTCAATTTAATTCAAATGAGCATTAACGTAAAATCTAGTGCAAAAATGAAAATATAGAAAATCATAAAATCCAATATGAATATAAAAATATAAACATTTATTCTATGTACTGATTTGCTTGAATTTATAGACTTGAAAACTATAGCAAAACTTGGCATGTTCAAAATATTTCGATAATAATAATCATTAAAAATTTCTTTGTTTATTAATAGTTCTTATTAGGATCGTAGTACTCATTATCATACAATAAAATTTAATTGAACTTTTCTATAAAATCGGGCAAAATTTTATACTATTTAATATTTTATAAACCCTTTGAGTAGCTTGCGAGTGCAAAGTTTTTTATCATCAAAATTAGATTTTCCAGAGTTACGCAAACTCACTCAGAAGTAAAGGTGACTCATCTGTGAGCAAAGTTACAGGCACTCACTCAGAATTAAAAAGGACTCATCTCTCAGCAAAGCTATGGGCACTCTCTGAGAAGTAAAGGAGACTCATCTCTGAGCAAAGTTACAAACACTCACTCAGAAGTAAAGAAGACTCATCTTTGAGCAAGTCACAAAATTTCCAACGACCTGGATCTTTTCGAATGTTTTAGACCTTGTAAATTAGAAACTTCCTCGAAAACAAAAGTTAAACATCAGAATCAGAGGAGCTGCTACTACTACTAGTGGTATCAACAATAACATTAGATGGGGGGACGTAAGACAGCGCTGTATCCTTTGTTGGGGGATTGAGTACAATCTCTGTCGCTGATGGTCCGTGGGCTTTACGAGTCCTGGCCCAAATTGTCTTCATACGTATTGTACTTCCTGGACCTGAACGAGAAATATTTCAGAATATAAATAAATGAACTATTTATTTAGACCAGTGGTTCTCGAATGGTGGCACGCACCACACAAGGGGGCCGTAGAAAATATTTTGAGGAGACACAAAGCTAATTGAAAATGAAAATATTTGTAAGATTTGATCTTGCCCACTTTATTTTGGATATTTTACATTTATTGCAGGGAGCTGCTGTTCTTGTTGGTATTTTTATTTTATGTTATATTGCATTTGGAATGTTTCAGAATATGAATTAGTAAACTAAGAGTTAAGACCAGGGTTTCCCAAACTTTTTGTGCCACGAACCCCTGTTTGTGAATCTTAGTTATGCAGACTCCCATCCCAATTTTTGTGCCAAACTTACAGAGATAGATGATGTTTCATTTACAACATAAACGATTGATGTGAAGGATGAGGCTTCAGTTTCCCTGCACAATTTATCAATTTCCAGCAATAGAATTCTGACAATGACAGCAATGGGTATTCGTCCACTCAATCAAAAAAATACAATAGTTCAATCATTAAAAAATGATTTTTTGTATCGACACCAGAACCAAGTTTGGGGAACCCTGATTCAGACCATAGATTCTCAAAGTGCTCCATACAGAGCCCTGCATTGGTATTTCCACCTAATGACTCAGAGTATATTAGATGTATCACGTATATGGCTGCTTGACAAGAGCTTCGTTCAGCGTAAAAACTAATCAAAAAGCAGGCTTACGTTTCGGATTAACCAATAACTCAGCATTTCTCTCAATTTCTTCAAAATTTTTAATTTTCACTCCCTCCTTGGTGTAAAAAACACGAGCAATTCGTCGAATTCCGAGACGAGATGCTGCATCATCCAACAATGAATCTAACGAGTTTCCCCAGGCATAGACGGACACCGCTTGGTCATCCACTGGTCTCACTGTGATTCGTTTCTAAAAAGATAAACGTGTCATATTTTTTTAAGATTTGAAAATAAAGTGAGGAGGAGCTATAGCAGAAATAGGTAAAGTATGGGGCCCTAGGCCAAATCCAGCCCTTTGGGTAATTCAATCTGTCTTGATGCTGCCACAACCTAACTGAAATCAAATTTTGATGTTTCAGTTAAAATAGCTCAGGGAATTTGTTGCGATTAAATTTTGTTTTGGCATGAGACTTATTGTTTTACATCTTTGCTTTGTAACACTGTAAATATTGTTCAGTAAAAGTAACTTTTTAACGTCACGCTTACAAAATTTTTGGCTCCTGGTTTATAAAACTTGCCCACCTCTGGGCTATAGTATAGTTGGCAGAAAGAATAAAAGTATAAGTATTCTATAATCAGCATAACAATAAAAATGATCGATAAAAACAATTAAATAAAAACTGATTATGAAATCAGGATGGCAAACGAAACCTTAAATAAGGTTTAAAACGTACAGAAAATAAGATGGAAGGTTTTGCCAAGAAGAAGTGCACTCACCTAAAATAATTGAATTATTTTATACGCGCTCACACGCACTTGATAAAAACTCTTTATCACCATAAGATTGAGCCATTCTATCAGCTATCTACTCCTTATGATAAATATACAAATCCTATTCTTATTCTCACCATTTGTGGTTGTTTATAGATTCCACTCTTCAGTCTTGAAGCTGATTTAGGTCGTTTAGGCTTCTGATCTTCTTTTACCTGGTTCATGATGACAGCTCGCTCATCCTGAATTTCCAAAAAAATAATTTCTGAATGAAGAGTGGGAAAAACTTCGACGCTCCAGTGTGTGAGTGAGTGAGTGAGACCAATATGGAAGTAACTAATTTTATTCGCATATTTTACATCAAGTTGTGTAAAGTGACTGAAACCTATAGGCAGGGGGTATATTCACTTGGCTAACACAGTCTCCGAACTCATAATAGAACTAAAATATGAAGTATCAAAACAAAATTATGCCCTAAACCTAACCTGGTACACACACACTACAGCCTACAGGAGTACCAAATCTTTGGGCATTGCGATATCTTGATCAAAAAGTAAGAGTAATAAGCATTATTCCATGACTACTGAAGCTCTAAGGTTATGTCCAGTTTACCTTCACAGAGCCATGATCGTGGAAAACCTAATTTTTTGAACCAAAATATTCTGATCCTTCAAATAATGGTAGCTTCCTGAATGCTATAAGCTACTTATACTGAGCTAAGGCAAGGGTGAGCAAGGTTTTTGGACCGGGGGCAAAAAATTTTGCCCACCCACACTGGCGGGCCCTGTAAGTGTGACGTAAAACGTTACATCTTATGAACAATATTCACAGTGCTATACAAAAGCAAAAGTGAAAAATAATAAGCCTGATGCCAAAACTAAATTTAATCGCAATCTCAACAAATTCCTTGAGATATTTTTAGCTAAAACATTATAAATTAAGTTTTAGTTTGGTTTAGACATTATCAGGCGGGCCAGATTGAATTAGCCTACTGGCCGGATTTGGCTTGCAGGCTGTAGTCTGCCCATGTCCGAGCTAAAGTGTTGTTGGAAGCGAAATGTGAAAAACATAAAAAAAGCACCACCTCTTCTCTAGTCGCCTCTGTCCACCCTCCAGTGACGACAACAGGCTGCCTTGTATCTTTAGTTGGAATAAGTTCAGCTGGGGCCATCTGACCCCGTCTACGTCCATGGATTTGACGAATAACGTGACGCTGAGTGTCAACCACTAGATTCTTGGCGTTACGCTCAGTATGAACTGCTAGGCTCTCCTGGAGGTAGAAAAACAGAATATTATTCAGTGGATGAAATGGTCTAGAGCAGGGCTACTCAACAGGTGGATCGCGGTCCAAATCCGGACTTTTCACGTATTTGATTCGGACCACGTTTGATTTTTTTTATTTTGGGTAATTGTCTCCGTTTAACTTTGGATATGTAAAGGGATGTGGAATATTTTGCAGTTACTCAGTTTTTCATAACTTGCGTTTCCTTAACTTTTTAACTGCAAAGATAGAGTCACTAAATTATAGTTAGGTGCAGTATAAAATACATTTTCTGGCCAGACTGGAATTTCCGGGATTTTTCAAGTTCTGTTTACAGACATTTAGCAATAGTAGTTGAGTAGCCCTGGTCTAGTGTAAGAGTGTACAACCTTTTTCTTCGAACTGTCACAATAGGTTTTTTACTAATTGTTTGACCGCCAGTGAGATTAAGGTGATTTATGAGTCATAATCAGTTGAAGAAACAGTGAAATCAGTGTAAAGAAAGGTACCCCAAACATTGCGGGAAAAAACACTATGAAATAAAAATGAAAAGTTGAAAACAAAGAAACCTAGCAGTTGCGACGATACCATCAATTCAACTACTTAATTTCAGTCTTTCAATTTTAGGTCATTGATTAATCCTCAAAGAAAAATTTTCATCAAAAAACGATCAATTTCTAAAGATTAATGAGAGCCTCAGGAAGAATCACTCACTGCTCTAACCCATATATCCCGGCGTTATTTTCGGCGCTCCAGAGGTATGTGTACCGATATGGAGGTAACTAATTTCGTTCGCCTACTTTACATCAAGTTGTGTTAAGGGATTGGAGCCTATGGGCAGGGGGTATATTCACTTGGCTAACACAGACAGTCCCCGAACTCGTAATAGAACTAAAATAAGGAAAATCGGAATACCATTATCACCCAACCCTAACCTGGTATACACATTACTGGAGTGCCCTATTTTTTCTATGTTTAAGTATACCTGTGACATCTTGTCTGCCATGACAGGGTTAATAAAATTCTCTCCACACGAGACCCATATTTCAACTATCGGTAACGCGGGTAATTCTTGTGCGAAACTTTCGGTCATGGTTGGTTGCACATGAGCGGGCTTCGTCTTTTTACTTTTCCTTGTCAAATCTTGAGCGGCAAACTCAGCCGTACTGTGATCAGGCGTCCCTTCTGTAGAGTTTGTCCCTGTGAATGTAGATTTGGGGATTTAGGATAAGATTTTCATATTATCTCGAGCAGAAGATGACTATGAACCAATGCCGGAACTCCGGAAATATTTGTACCAAGATGACGCACAACCTGAACAACCCTTACCTGGTACAATACTATGTTCAGTTTGTGCGCCATCTTAGTACAAATACTTCGGGAGCACAAATGGAAATTATACTGTAAATTCTCGCATATAAGTTGAGTTTAAAACAATAAAAGGTTGCCAAACTATTGGCTCGGCTTAAACATGCATAACTACGATCGCACTAAAAATTTAGCCCATTCGTAAACTACTCTGATCGCGACAAAGGGTTTGACAGTGATAGTGAGAATGAATTAGAAGTATTTTGAGACACTAATGGTTATCATTTTCATTAATTCTCTTCTGCAACCATTTGCTTTGATAGGTACGTACGGCTTGTTGTGATTCGTAGGATGACTGATATGTAATTTCTATAAATCACTGTTCTTAGGGGTTCAACTTATATGTGAGGATACACAGTAATTTAAATTGTCAATTACGGCTTCTCCTACCATCGTATTCATGTATTTAAAACAAATAACTGGACATGGTCTGGACAAGAAACGTTGGTTCGCCATATGGTTAAGCCATTTGTCCGGCTTTCCTATCACACCCCCCCCCTCGAGATAAATATAAAAAATGCTGTAATTTTATCCACAGCTACTCATTTGACCACTAGTCCAGATTAGAATTGAAACATAGACATATAATGCACTTGAAAAGATTTAACTGCCCTATTGATTTTCACCCCGATATATTCAGGGCCTTCTCAGAGAAATTTATTTTTTACCATCATTTGCTTTATCAGTTTTCACTTCTGTAGTGTTCCCATTCTGTTCATTATCAGTGTTCACTTCAGGTTGTTTCACAATGGCAATCTTTTTCATTTTTTTGCCAACTTTCTGAACCCACTGCTTTAACTGGTCCATATGTAATATCTGAGTCCCATCCTCTGTGTACAAACGCCGAGCCGCAGAGGTGATTCTAAGCTTGTGTGAACATTGGTCTAAAATCTGTTAAAAGTAATTTATTCGTTTGGAGGCGTTTTGTGCTTTGAATATGGCTCAAAATAAGGCTCGACAGTGTGGCGCACCTTGTCGAGTGTGAGGAATATGCTTACCGCCACACATCTGATTACCCTGCATGGGTTGCCAGGTTGGAATCCCATGCAGCGATAATTATGTGAGAGGGATTGCTGGACTCCTCGCTGCTTTTGTACTAATGTGCCGTATTGTAAATAAATTCACAAACAATAACATTTTGTTTCAAAATTGCCAAAAATTTTTTGGCCGCAAATCTAGAATTTATAATAAAAAAACTTACCCCGGTTACGCTACTCCCAACGACAATTTCAGGTTTACTTTTATATCCTTCTCCGTTACGCCTGATTAGTAATCTCCACGCTTGATTGCATTCTGCATTGTTCAGGTCACGGTTGATTGATCTCACACTTGATTCTTGTCGTAGAGTATGCAACTGCGCCACCCAGTGTTTTAACGTTGGCTCGGCTTCATATGTTGACAAATCGACTTTCCCATTTAAGCATTTGAATGATCCGTGGAGTTTGAGGCCTGGCGAGAATAGGTAAAAGATCGAGATTTACCCGAGGGAAAGGTAAGCTGATCAGACATCATTGGGGGAGGGAAATATGGAATCGATTTGAACTTAAGGGTCCAAGTTAAAACCATTTTTGACCAGACCATTTTTCGTATCAATTGCTTGTACTGGGTCATGTCGGAATAAAAGCATGGCATGCAAAGTCGAAGCCGAAAGATTCAAGTCGCTGCAACCCAATGAATATCGAGTGAGAACAAATTTCTAGCTTCGACTCCGGAAAAAAATAAAATTAAAAACTTATATCATGTATATATTTACCATTTTTCTTTGGATTCCCCATCGCACATATGAATAACCAATTAGAAGGGGCGTGTGTGAGTGTGAATCGTCCACGCATGACGGTCGCGCATGATCGACAGACCATGACTGGGTTGCTAGGCGACGCTCCTTTTAACTCTACTATATATCCGTCCTGATTCAGCGGCTCTGGCCCACGTACTGTGTGAGTGCATATTGATACCTAGAAGATGAGCAATAGCAAATCTTGGAACAGATTCAGATTTTTTTCGTTGTGCAACAAAGGGGAACAAACAGACAAATCAAACACACAAAATGACAGGTCAAACAATCAGACATCAACTGCAATGGGTGAGGGGCGCGAAAAGACTATCAAAGTTATCGAGTCAGCGACACAATTTTTCAGCAGCAGATGACATCAAACAGTTATAGAAGTAGTTTGGCATTTGGCGCATCGTGATAGGCATTTGCAATAGCACTTTGATTACCTCACGTAGGGTTGCATGTTCGAATCTAGTGGAGAATAATTATGTGCAAGAGAATTCCTCGTAGGTGGTTCACATAACTGCTGGTCGGTTACAGTCTTACTTTACTATGTTGGCACCACCGGTTGAATATCTAGAATTTATCTCCTGTGGCCTCCATCTCAGTCATAGGAAAGAATTTACATATTTATCTTGGGAAAACGGAAAGCTTACAAGACGGCTTAATCATATTGCAAACAACGGCCTTTCATCCAATTACCATTCCATGTCTGTTATGGGATTAGTTAGCCAGTCATTTGTTTTCGGAAGCATGGACTTGATGGTGGAGGAAGTCGTAACCGACCAGCAGTTACATATTCAAACCTGCAACCTAAACAAGATTATCAGGGGTGCTGTGGCGAGTGCATTTCTAACGCTTATAACTATGCGCCATCCTGGCTCAGCCATGAAAGATATACAACTCTCTCAAAGTGAGGGGTTCATATCAGTGACTGTTTGTACATAAGCTTGTTCAGAGTGACATTGAGTGAACAACTCCTGAAATAACAAAACCACTCACATGATTAGCTGCTGTGACTTCTTTATCCACAACACTCGAGTAAAAAGCTTTCAATAAATGACTTTCTGGTTCGAGTTTCCAGTGTTGATTTGCTGAACCTGCTGCTTGAGTTCTGAAAAAAGAAAAATTCGATAAAAGTGACTTATTTGAAAGGAAATGCTATACAATCACTAGCATTATTCTTCATAGAACAACTGCATAGTTCTTGGCTGAATGTTCTTTCTCATTGTTCATTACACCATTCATCAATCAGACAGACAGTCGGACAGACAGCTGGATGATCAGACACACAGACAAAAAAAAAACATCACACAGGCAGACAAAGCAGCCGAACAATCAGACACACAGACAAATCAAACACACAAAATGACAGGTCAAACAATCAGACAGACAAAGCAGCCGAACAATCAGACACACAGACAAATCAAACACAAAAAATGACAGGTCAAACAATCAGACAGACAAACCAGCCAAACAATCAGACAGACAGACCTTAGTTTCTGTAGAACAACAGCATAGTTCTTAGGTGAAGGTTCTTCATCATTGTTTATTACTGGCAGACAGACAGACAAACCAGCAGAATGGTCACAGACAAGACGAATGGTGCCATCGCTACAGATCTCCCATCGTTGAGCTGAAGACAATAAAAGTTACCATGAGAATGTGGAGTTCAAAGGAAATTGTTAATGTAGAGTGATTCCACTATTAGGCGTTATGTAGTAAAAATTTAGCAACGAGTAAAATTTCCCTGTTTTTCACTGTTTTTAAGCGTTTTAGCAGAGCTTGAAAACAGTGACAAACCGTCTAACCAAACACTATAAAAACTGGTCACTCACTCATATCATCTTTATCTTTCCTGCACAATCTAACTTCAGTGGTTCCAGTCAATGCTTCCAGATCAACCCCAGGGACCCCAACAGCTAGAGTTGGGTCAATCTCAGGCATCAGGTACCCATCCTTGAACACTAACTTCTGAAGCATTGTGGGATTCTTTTGCCAAGGTCTTGGAGATCTGTGAGTGAATGTAATTCATAAAACAAGTTTCATAGGTTTTACTTAGAACAAGGCCCTGTGAAAACTGGTTGTTCAAAAAATTTCGCCCAATTCCATACATTGTTTTGTTTATATTTCAGCTCTTATTTTTTCGCTTTATATATTGTGGCCCCCTTCCGGAGGCTTTTATCACTTATGGCCCCCTGTTTCTCCTTCCAGTTGTATTTATAGTGTTATTTTCATTGGTAGATTCCAAATCACATTATGTTCAAACAACTCATGCTCAACAAAGTGAAAACACTCTGTGAAACTAAGAAGAAGGAAAAAGTAAAATCAGTTATGCGGCAATCATTGGGGACCCCTCCAACTGCCCTCGGGCCCGCTGATTCATGTCCATAGCCAGAGAGAAAACAAATTCATGAAAAGTAAAGGAAGTAAAATCGACCTTCGTCCAGATCTAGGTGTCCCTGGCGACTTCTTTTCTTCACTTTGTTTTTCTGGTTCCACTTCAGTAGTTTTCTCAAGTTGCCATGGGTACTTCCGTGATATCATCCAGTTGTCTGAAAACTCATGGGATTTCTGATGCCAAGATTTTTCATTTTTTTCTTTCTCCTCTGTTGAAAGTCGGTCCTCTGCTTCAGATTCTTTTGTTTCTTTTTTAATTTCTTGATTGTCTGGATAATATTAGATGTAAATTTAATATTCATCCCGAGGAGAGGAAAGTTGACCAAATGGATTAATCATTGGATTTTCATATACAGAGTGTTGTCCAAAAAGTTTTTTTTGTCCATTTCTAATCCGTAATTATTAAAGTATTTTTACTTCATTCAATACATCTGTGAGGGCTAGAACAATATATGGTATCGATATATTCCCTTTACAATTTTAAAAATTTTCAATATTCAATGGACACCCTTATAGCAAGGAGATGGGGGAAAGTCGATAAGATGACTTTATATTATGATGAAATGGGAAACTGTGTACTTGCTCCAGAAGTATAGACTTTAATAGATGAATTTGTAACCAATCGCCCAAATTACCCTATGTATCAGTCAATAATATTCCATACAGTTGTTTTTACAAGTTGTGATCAAAGCGTACTCAGGGGGTGGTTTTGCTGGTCTTAACTTCCACCCTTGCAAAATGTAAAAAAAAAAAATTTTTCTGAACAGTACAATAATTTACTATTTATATTAAGAACATTCTGAAGTGAAATCAACTTCCAAAAATCAACTAATCACAAACCTGTAGCTGGATCCTGAACTTTGACCTGTTGAGTAACAACAAGGCGAGATCCTACGACGGCTCCTGATTCCATTGTTACAACAACCTGAAAAAATAAAGCATACTTTCATGTCTTCTTAAAACAGGGATGGGCAATTACTTTCTGAGTTGGCAAGTTACTGATAATATACTTGGTTACTGGGTCGAAGGCTCAATATGGAACTTTGAATAAAAAACAGTTCATTTACAACAGCTAGGCGTTGTTATAACGTTTATATAAAAGGGAAAAACAATGTAACAATCAGGGTCATTGTGACGTTATTTTCATACAGATTTTCCATGTGAATTTATATCTATGAAAACTATAGTCATAATTTCAGCAGACTCAAAGGAACGGAATCCGGCCCACGGGTCGTAATTCGCCCGCTCCTGCCTTAAAGGGTTTTAATACAGACTCATTTATTTGTTTTCGCTATGTCGAGCAATGCTACAATAGTCAGATCATTTCTAAAAATGTTGGCCACAGATGACACTAAATCAATGGAAAGATGATGATGCATTACGCACTCAACTTGTCCGTGAGCAAAATTATAAACGACAACAAAAATACCAACAGCTCTTTGAATATGATGGCGAATTGTGTGCCAGTCAATGCAGATTAACACTAAATTTGAAGCAGTTCAAGCTAAATTCTAAACAATGCAAATTGCAAAATTTCCTCACATCTCCTGGTTCTCTTAGAATACAATAATCGTTGATTTTCTTGACGTCAGCTGTCAACTTAGCAAGTAGTTGGCGTCGTTGAGCTTCTGATTTAGTCACAGTGGGGTTCTGCCAGGTTTCTCCGCAAGTTACGAAAACGACTTGATTCCGTTTCAATTTACGAAGGGAGTAGACTTCAACACCACGATCATTGAAAATTCGTCTGAAAGGGGATAAAAAAAAATTCGCCAGAATGAGAATGATACTATAAGCCAGCCTGGTGCACAAAACTAAGCCAGTGATAAACACCATTAAAATAATAATAATAATATTGCTCTAAGCAAGCGATTGACAACATGCTTCTACGGAGCCGCATGTAGCCCTCTCTTTGTTCTCGTAGTTCTGGCTCATGTGCATTAGCACGTTTTTGAAAGGTTTTCCATGTTAACTGCTGTTTTTTCACAACTGGCTAGAGCATTTTTTTGTTAGAAGCAGTGGGGATTCAATGAAAGTCGGGGGCAGAAAGACGATAACTACTCACTAATTACATACACATCACAGCATGTAAGAGTCAAGAGCGGTTAAAATAGGTCGCAATAAAATGATTCAAATCTTTCGAAATAAACCTCCATACGATAGCATGACAGAATTTGAATAAAGCATAGTTCTCATCAATACCAACCTTGCCGCAAATGGTAAATTCAGTAAACTCGTGGCTCGTTCCAGGAACATGTTCATTTCAAGCTTTATGACATTTGTCTCTGAATCGGGAGAATTTTTCTCGTTTGCAAGAGAGGATGAAGAGAGATCGGGAACAACAACTGTCACAAATCTGTAAATGTGAGTTTCAATATTTGTTTTAAATGAAGTGTTTTCACAACCTACCCTATGATTAAGGTATGGTACATTGTTTTTGTTCGGGGGATTTTGACAATTTCGCTCTACATAAGTATAAATAAAATTAAGAACACCAAACTACAATTATGTGGCGATTCTTGCTCTGCTCATATAAAAAGCTTAACGAAAGAACTGTTCACATTGTAGACTTGCTCCGTGGTGTGGCGATCTTGCTAAGGGTTAGAAATCACTCGCCACTGCATATCTAATTACTATGTGTGGTTTCACAAATTCAAATTCCATGGAGGAAATTCGGACTCCTCACCGATGTAGGGTGGTAATGTAAACGCTGGTTCGAGCCGAGGTATAAAAAGAAAGGCCACAACAATTTCATACCAGCTCTATAGTATTGGAACAATTCAAACAAATTTACAAACCAACCTGTCCATGTTCTTTTCACCATTCCTCATAACCTTGAGTGGAACGGTACCAGTAGTCTCACTCTTTGTCCCCCCTCCTCTAAGTGGCGGAGGACAATTCAGAAACGTCCCCTCCATTGGCCATTTGTATTCCAAATTCCAGTTTCCGTCTGGCAACACTGGCCAGGAATAAGCTAGTTTCTTCCATGTTGGATTTGCAACCTTTAAGAAAAAGAATTATTCCTTAATGAGGGACATTACGTGGACTGATTAGGGGCGATAATAACCAGCTGGGGACAGGGGTTCTCAATCTTTATTCTATTGTTCACCCATTAGCAAATTCCAAATGTAAAGTTCTCTTCCTCAACTATGTGCGGGGATAATTATGTTGAAAGGGTTGCTGGGCTTCTCGCCACTGTATGGTGATTCAGATAACCATTCATCGGTCTTTGGATAAGAGGCCATGGTACGCCATTATACCATCTTATTGGTTTTCCTTTTCCTCAGGATTAATATGTAAATCGTATCCTATTTATCAGCGGAATAAATAGCATTTGTCAAGCATACCTTAGTATGTTTCCATTGGTTAGGTATGCTATCCTGTTTCAAAGCCCATCTTTGGAATTTAGCTCGCGATCCTGACATTTTTTCAAGAACTACAATTTTCACCTGTAAAGGTAAGAAAACGTTTTATATTCATTCATTCAAATAATCCAATCGCAAAAATGTAAAAATATTTGAGGAGCTATAAGAAAATTAACATGCATATGTACAAAAGGCTATAGCAACCATTATTAATATGTTGTGGCAAGTAATTTTGTACTTTTGTAAACTGGCACTTTTTTTATTATTTTTGTTCACTATGTAACTTATCTTGAGTTTATCGCTTTTTCTTACTTTATTATAGCCCTGTGATTGTGTGTGTGTGAATGGATTCAATAGTTTTAGGTGAGTAAACACGTACCACTTCTTTCTCTGTACGTTTTAAACCTTGTCTAAAGCTTTGTTCACTCTCCTGATTTCATAATCAGTTTTTATTTATTTGCTTCTATCAATAATTTTATCGCCTGTTATATTGATTATGGAATCGCAATAAACTCATACTTTCTTGTTTTACGTCAGTATGGTCTTGCATACATCATGCTTACAACATTAAAATAGGCCTATCTGGATGTTTTTCCCAAAATTTTATCTCTCTAATGTATATAAAATGCTACCTTAATGAAGGGGGGCATAGTTTAAAAACTGTGAATAAAATATGGTTCATCTGTTGCTTTTCAAAACATTTCAGAAAATTCATAGAAGTTGGACTTACGGAAGTTCCAGCATTTTCTTGGTTTTGTATAGTTTGATCCTGATTTTTGCCAACTTCCTGCTCCATTTCCTTATGACCCTTAATCTCTGTCTTTTGACCTCTGCACTCCACACTTGAGAAATGATCAGGATCAAGCATGGTTATAACCTGAATATAAAATTCATAGTTGAAAATGGATGAATAAAATTGGGGGAGGGAGGTCTCTCGACTACAAGGTTTTAATTTCCATGTTGTCATCGCACATATAGAGCTCACAGAAATTTTTGAAATAAATAAAAGTATTATCTTGCTGGAGACAACAACAACAAGCTTTAATTGCTGCTTGAATTCAGCAATAAGGTGTCGCTAACTAGATGACTCACTGAGTACTCATCAATTACTATGAATCAATGTGTTGTTTTTGTAATTTTTTTTTATGCGTGGTAATTGCTTTATTTTGATTCCTGACACAATGATATTAAATATGTGAACCTTAACCACTGAAAATTTCAAAGCAATTGGTCCAGTAGTTGGAGATAAAAGTGATTTTTTCATAACAACAACAAAACGAGAAAATTGGTCGGAGACCGGAGACTTATTGATCGAAACTAATTAAATATTAACACTAATCACTAATTAATTATTAACTTGCATTATTATACGACATAGCTCATCCAAAATCAATAGGTTCCTGGTCCGAGATATGATGAATGCACATGCAAAATTTGGAGCAGATTCAACCTCGCTTTCGTGAGATATCGCGTGCATCTAACAGACATACATACAGACAGACAAATACCTATCAACATACTTACCGATCTGAAGATCGATAAGTAAGAACAACATGATCTATAGGTCCACACCATGTCCAATAATTTTATCTCCATACCTGTGTTGCACTCTGACTATGCAACGAACAAATCTGTCCGGAGGGATTGAATTCCCACTGCTGAGCTGGGTTTCCGCGAGTCTTCTTCTGGAGAGTTAGAGCGTAACCAGTGACCTCTGCCCCACAACTCATCTCAACTGTGATTGGTTGATCTTCATCCAATGAGAGTGCCAGTTGAGGGTAATTCCTAGATGTGATTAGACCACTTCGATGAATCAACCAGGCCTGCAAAATGAAATTTGTTTCTCTTTATGCTTTGTTCTGCGGTTGGGACATACTGCTTTGCGCTGGGAACATTGTAATTTTTGAAATATATTTTTCAAAGCTCACCCACTCAGATGAATGGGACTCATCTTTGAGAGAGGTTACCCGTGGCAACTAATAGATGACAACTGCCAAGAGATGCATAAATTAAATTAAGGTACCTCAGTCCAGGCACTCACCCAAAGTAAAGGTGACTCATCTCTGAGCAAAGTTACGGACAACCACGTAAAAGGGTTAAGAAATTATATAGCCTTGATCCCAGTACTAGCTAACCTGTGAAGTCCCAGGTTCCTTCTTCTCTGTTTTCTGATCACCCATGAGCATTGGTTTGACAACAATTTGAGAATCTTCCTTTGATTGCAGGTAATGATCAGCCGATGGGAATGTCTCGGATTTCTGTGATCAAGAGATGTATGATATCAATAAGTTAGAAATATGGGATTTCGATATTTAGGGGCTCCCGAAGTATACGAACCAAGATGGCGGACATCGGAATGTAATATGTGTACTAGGTTAGGGTTAGGCCATAATTTTAGGTATAAATACTACGGGAGACTCTTGGCTAGTCTTCGAACTGATAATAGGACTAAAATAGGGAAAATTGGAAAAAAATTATCGCCTAACCCTAACCTGTTACCCATGTTACGTTCCGATGTCCGCCATCTTGGTTCGCATACTTCGGGAGCACCGATATTTATCCCAGGAAAACAAACTTTATGACCCTGCACCTCACTTTGGATATTAATAATAAAAAGGGCAGCATGTTTCAGGCCTTGAGTGACATAGCTTGGCAACTAAATTTAGTTTTTAGTGACTTTCTACACATAGAAAATCCCACAAGAAAATATTGTGCGACCATCGGAGTAGTGCCAATTTGTAATGGTGTTGGCCCCACAAGTCTTCAATTTACTTTAAATGGTACGTGCGAGTAATTCCAATCCCTTTACAAAGCCTATACCTGAGTCCAATTTATTATTTATGCCTATGACGTTACAATGTCTTAACAGCTTGTGCGAACAGCGCATGTCATAAGATTAATAATCAAAACTTTTGTGCCTGTAACTACTAGAAAGCCTATGTGAAATAAAGGTGCCCCCCCCCCCCCCCCCTGTATTAAAGGTTGCAAACCCCTGCCTAAACATATGGACAAGAAAATCGGTCGGAGACCGAAGACTTATCGATCGAAAGTTAGGGGTTCCCCCAAAACAGAAACTGCAGTTTCGATCAACCGCTCAATTAACTAATAACTCGCTAATTATAAGACATAATACATCCAAAATCAATAGGCTTCTGGTCCGAGATATGTTGAATGCACATGCAGAATTTAGAGCAGATTCAACCTCGCTTTCGTGAGATATCGCGTGTATCTAATAGACAAACAAACAAATACCTATCAATATACTTACCGATCAAGATCGATAAGTAAAAACAATCGGAAGAATGGGGGCAAATAAAACACACCTCATCAATATTCTCAACACGCAGACAATTATAATCTTCTGGGAAACCGTTTGTAGCCTTCCATTTAGTGTTTGCTTGAACTTCTGCGTTAGTTTTGATGACGATTTTCTCATCATTCTTCAGTCTGAATGCCATTACTGGATGCAACTGGACATGAAGAGCCATAACATGAGCTGACTTGAACTCTTCGCCATAGGAAAGCCAGATCTAGGGCAAGAAACAAGATCAGGATTATTGTGGAAATTCTGAGAAAGTTACACTGATGTTTGCTAAGTGAATATACCCCCTGGCAATAGGTTTTAGTCCTTTTAAACAACTTGATGTAAAGTAGGCCAACGAAATTAGTTACCTCCATATTGTTACACATACTTCTAGAGCGCCGAAGATTCAATTGTTTTTTGACAACTCTGTACTCACCTCCTGTTCATTCTGTAACTCATGTACATTCATGATCTCTTCACCATGTTTATCAAACATTCTTCGAACCATTGAACTCTTCGCAGGCCCTGTTGGATCGACTGGTTTGTGCCAGTGAGACAGATGTTCCAAAAACTGAAAAAAAAATAACAAACTAGAAGTCAAGGCATTAAATACATTAGAAACTCATTATTTGACTTGTTAATAAGTGATATATCTATCAAAGTTCGCTCAAAGAAAAATCTCAAAGAAGATTCTTCAAAAAAAAAGTAGGAAGAAAACTAATAAAAGAGTTGCAAGTTTGCTTAAAGCAATGTCTTGAGCCTTCAACTAAAAGTGGGAATGGTACTAATAGAAGAGTTGTAAGTTTGCCCAAAGCAAGGTCCTGAGCCCTCAAAAAGGAGAAAGTAAACTAATAAAACAGATGTAAGTTTGCTTGGAACGAGATCTCAAGTGGAGAACTGATAGAAAGGTTGTAAGAACTCACAGAAGCGCTAAAAACTATATTGGCCTTGTTCGGGATGAATGTATAAAAATAGCTAGTCATAAATTGAAAACTCAAACGGCAGTCCTTGCTCAGAGTAAAAATTTCAATGCACTTACCCTAGTTCTAACTAATTTTTCTGTGTCCTGGTCCTGTCCAGTTCCTCGCAGGATTTCCCTCATATTCACGAAAACCATCTGAGCATTGGTGTCCTTCCCGTTCTCATAAATTTTAAGACGAAGACCATGTTGCCCAACAATTCGGTCATCAGATTCTGGGAGAGTAAAACAAGAATTCAGAAAACTGCAAAATAAGGCTAAATTCAAATTTTTTGTGAGCTTTGGAATGATGCTCAAAGATTAGAAAAAGCTTTGGCAGATATAATATGCTGAAAACTTGTAAGGAAGTGTGAATACAGGGTGTCCAGAAAATTTCTCCCGATTTTATATTAATAACAATTAAATATTTCTTTGTCTTTGTCTATTAATAGTTCTTATCGTGCTTGTAGTTCTTATTTATCATGCAATAAAAATTATTTAAACCTAGAATTGTTATTACTATAAAATCATGATTATTTTTTTTTTTTACATACCCTGCAGTTTAAAAAGTATTGGAAGATCCAATAATGGTGTTATGGTGAGTTTGCAGTAGAAGCAGGGGCACAGGGAGAGTACGTGCACCAAGATGGCGCACAACCTGATCAACCCTAGCCTGGTACACACACTATGTTCAGGTTGTGCCATCTTGGTGCGCATACTTTGTGAGTACCAACGCAGGTATCATTAAAATTATGGATGGACATTAGAGAAGGGAATACAAGCTTTGATAGAGCACTGGAAAAGACCAAAGGATTCTGTAACATGCTGAGAGCTAGTTTGATTATCTGATTCTGAGAAATTATCACAAAATACTCGAAAAAAGAAGAATCAGAATTGGCAATCGTTAGTGGTGTCAATGAGGTAATTTATTTTTGGAATAGTCAGAGCTTTTGGGAAAGCATAGTTTAGCAAAAAAGCAGAGGAAAATGCCAAGTAAAAACATGGCAAGATTCGGCAACAGCTTGTTTAAGTTTACTTACTTATTTCTTTTATATGTTGCATAGTGTAATTGCTTCCCTGCTTTCTTTGCTTTTCATCCATTTCTTTCAGTACTTTCCTTCTTTCCTTATATTTTTTCTGTGCTTTCTTCATATCTTCAATTTCTTCATCAAGCTTTAGAAATAATTAAATGTATGAATTTCAGAAAGGGATGAAATCTTGACCAAGGAAGAAAAATTTGAATACAATAGGGATTAGTAATCGTTTCTAGACAATAAGGCGATTGTTGGAATTTCAAAAAAGTTTTCTTAAGTAAATTGCAAAAAAAATAGGTTTTTGGTTTTTGCAAAGTTTTTGATAGTTTTTCACAGTTCTCCAGGGTTTTTGATGGTTTTTCCCAGTTTTCCAATGTTTTTTCACAATTTTTAAATTTTGAGAACCACTGAAAAAGACTGTTACCTGTTCAATATTGCTGTATATCTCTTCCATAGACATTATCACGATATCAGGTTGTGTGACTTTATTCATATCACCATTGCATGCATGGTCCAACTGTTCACTGTGATAATAGTAAGGTTTAATTCCTAGCTGTAGAAATATCCTGATGCTATTTAATCTTGTTTCTTAATTGAAGTTTGGGTACTCCCGAAGTATGTGAACCAAGATGGCGGACACCGGAACGTAGTATGTGTACCAGGTTAGGGTTAGGCCATAATTTTATTCTAATTTTTCCTATTTTAGTTCTACTATTACTAGTTCGGGGACTAGCCAAGTGACTTCCGTGGTATTTGTACCTGAAATTATGACCTAACCCTAACCTGGTTCACATATTACATTCCAGTGTCCGCCATCTTGGTCCACATACTTCGGGAGTACCGAAGTTAGAGTCTCAGTGATCTGGTGCATCGGCTAAGTGTTAGGAATACGCTCATCACTGTACCTCTGATTAACCTGTGTGTGTTTCTCGGCTTGAATTCTATTTAAGGGGTATCCTATCTAAGGGGGATATTTAGGTGTGAGAGGATTGCTGGTCTCCATGTTGCCGTAGCATCGTTCACATAACCGTTGGTCAATAACGGCTTCCTATACCTTCAAGTCTATTCATCTGAAACACATAACTGGCTAACTAATCCCATATCCAACATGGAATGGTAACCAGACGAAAGACTGCGGTTTGCCATATGATTAGGCCGTCCAATCAGCTTCTTAAGAGATAAATATGCAATTCAATATGGAAAACCTTCGCTCAAAAAATTAAGAATATCCAAAGCTCCAGAAGTATGTGAACCAAGATGGCGAACTATCTGAACATAGTATGTGTACCAGGTTAGGGTTCAGGTTGTGTGCCATCTTGGTGAACATACTTCATGAGCGCCGAAAACCCAGACTAAGTCAAATACTTTCTGATCTTTGCAGCCTCTAGCCTCTGTTTGAGTCCCCATAAGATGCCTTCCACAAAGTTGAGAGCCCCTGTTGGGTTGAATCCCTCACCCGCACTGACCCATATTGGACCCAGGATTAGACTTGAACCGTTCTTCATGCAGGAGTCGAGTTGTCGAACTGAAAATAAGGCAAGAATTCAGGATTTGTATCAACTGTATGGTGAACAACACCTCTTGTCCGGTGACTGGTACATGCCGGACCGTTGCCATTGGTGATGATTGGTTATATGTAATGAAACACCCTACAATCGCAAGAAGTACGATTCTTTTGAACTTTCTGGTGCAGGCCTGCATGAGAACAGTTGACCAGTTAAGTACAGATGCATGGACTATTATATTCCAAATATCCTCCCTATATGAAATATTTAGCATAGTTTGCAATAAGATTAAGATAATTGAAGTCAACTCCAACGAAAGAGTAAACTTTTATTCCATATAATACAAGTTTTACTAAGCTTTTGATGAAGCATAGCTAGCGGTAGCGTAATTTACCTATGTCGAGTATAGTATATAGGTTTTATTGAGTGGAAAATGATTTGATCTGTTTTAGCTAACAAAGGTTCTTGCCTACCTTCCTCAAGATTGCTGACTTCTTTCCCATCCCATCCATATGTCGTGCGAGCAGCAGAAGTCATTTTTAATTTTGATGTGGATTGATCAAGAAGCTAAAATAAATAATTTTATAAATTTATAAACCAAAGTCAATGAAGTTAAATTGGCCAATTTCGTACACAGTGCGAACAACGTGAAGGATATTCAAGCGTTAGAGGGTTGCTGAACATGTGGTTTCCACTATCCCAGCCCACGCAAACAGTGGTTCTCAAACGATGTGGCGAAGGGCAAGAACAATATGGACATGGATAATTTTTGAGGGGGCGCGAAGCTGATTAAAAAAAAAAATATTTACCAGATTAGATTTTGCCCGTCCCATTTTAGATATTTCCATTTCCTTATTGTTTATAGATTTCAATTCCATTTACGTATTTTTAACATGTTTTTTTGAATGAATACATAATTTCGCCTTACTATCTGTCATCTGTAGATTATTGTTATCTAGTTATTTTTGAGGTGGGGCGCGAGACTTTACAAATTTTTAAAAGGGGGCGCGAATTAAAAAGTTCGAGAACCACTGCTTAAACTAAAATTAGTATATTTCAAGACTAGACTTGTTTTTACCCCGTTCATACAAACTTTATAATTTCCCAAATCTTTTTGTGACCCTCGAGAGATAGGACCTCCTGTTTGACAAGCACTGGTCTAAAGCATTTTCAAAACCAAGATCAGCAAGGAAACTTACCCTGTTATATCCATCTGAAGTTAGATGAATCACATCGTGCCCATTTGCTCCATCACCATTCAAGAAGACAAGAATCCTAGACGACTTTTTTCCTGCGAGACGTCTCAGTCGATTTGTCATTGTTCTGCGCACTGGTCGTCGTTCACCGTCCAACACAACACCTTTCATTGTCCAGGAGTTTGAAGCAATGAGACTGCCTGAGTCTTTAAAAAAATTCAAATTTTATACTTTTTCATAAGGGAATTTATTATAAGCAAGCTCGCCCCCAATCACTAGGATGGTAAGAAAACTGACTGATCTCTAAGCAAAGTTACGAGAAATCACTTTAAAATCATCCAAGAAGGCAGGGGGGGTGGGCCGCAGGTTTAAAATCAGGCGGCAATAATTGTGCTGTATTGTGTTGTTACCTCATTCAACCTTACTTATTTTACAATCGACGAGCTTACTGTTAGCGTCAGCAATTCGATATGTATTTGTTTTTCTTATTTAGTAACATTTTGTGTTTTTCTTCAGATTTATTCTAAATAAGCTTTAGGATTAAGCTGAATAGAGCATGATATCAAGGTTCTAATTCACTACATAGATTAAAAATTTATATTTTAAACCTGGGTGTAATAAATTGCGCAAGCAATGCCAAGCAATCAGTAAGATTCCTGGTCATTCCAAAAAAGAGCTCCTCCTCGAAGTGGAGGTGTGAAAACGCTGTATAAACGCTCCCCAGAAAACACTTGACCTAAATTTGCCTATTCATCCACTTATGAAGAGGTATTTAAACAATGACAGGCTATCACACTTGAGGTGGGTAAACAGCACTTCAGAATAATTGACTAATATAATCTTTGGACAAACTTCGGGATATAGCCAATTACTGAAAACAGATCGAAACCCGTTCCGTTCGGTTATAAACTTTCTAAAAATATGTGCGGCCCGCCAATGATTTGCAACCTTTATTCTGGCCCGCGAGCGACAAAAGGTTGCCGACCCCTGATTTACATAATTATCCCGAGGAGAGAAAAAACGATAAGGTGGCCATAACTGACCAGCGGTTACGCAAAATACCCCACGACGACGTCCAAAACCCTCTTGTGCTTAATTATTCCCCACAGCATTCGAACTGCAAATCCATGCAGAGTAATCTGAAGTGCAGTGACGGGCATATTAATGATTCTTAGCATGATGCACCGCACGCCAAACCATTAGTAACGCCTTCATTCTTAGATTTTGGGCATGTTTGTCGGGTCTCATCATTCACTCACTGGTTTGAGTTGGTAAATGGAAGAAGTCAATGCAATATTTATATGTGCAAGCAGAAGGCTTTAGAACATACCACTCTCTCTCATATTTCAATATAAATATATCAACTTACTGTTCAGCACTTTCTTTGGGTCTTTGAACTGCTCTCCACATGATATGAAAACATCAGCATTGTACGGGATATCTTTGGCTCTGAAGGCTTCTGCTCCATTGTCAAGGTAAACTCTTCTTGCCGCTGTGTTAAGGCCAAGCTTGCGAGTTGCTTCGACTAAAAGCTGGAAAATTGAAATAAAATTGAAGATTTGTGTTTTTGGTTTGAGGGTTTGAATAATCTGGGAGATTATTATGTGAGAGAGCATTGCTGAACTTTGCTGTCGATGTTCTTGTAATCTTCAAAAAATTTATGATTAAATAACTTTATATCTTGTGTTCGACCTTCGAATCTGAGGTTTAAGTGTGCGATTACTAACCATTTCAAGCCCGTTTTTAAGTTCGTGTGGCCATGCTACAGTGCTTCATTTGTGGATAGAGAATTAGCCTAGTTAATAGATATTGTACTTTGATGGCAGAGGAAGCCATAACCAGCGATGTAATAAGTACCTGAAAGTAACAATAACCAGTACAGGCCTACAAACTTTTCGCCCGACTACTCATTCAACCCATGGACTTTTCCAACACGCATGCATCTCTAAGCAAATTACAGGCGACTATGGGGATGACAAGAGATACTGAAATTCTATATAAAATTATGGCAGTGCAAACTGAGAAGTAAAATAGACTCATCCCTAAGTCACAGGTAGTCACTATAACGATACTGGGGATGGGATTCCTCACTCGGTTAGGAGCAAAGTTCAGAGCACAAGTACCTGTTTAACATCCGGTGCTACGAGGGTAGCAGGATCAGTGAGAGATCCATTCCTATAAGCTGTGCATCTGATGGTCACAGGTTGACGCTTGAATACTGGAAGATCTCTCTTTCTCTCTGATGTTATGGATACTGAGTCGATGGATCCTTCATGTGTGTGTCTGGAAGTATTATTATAAAACAGCGGTTCCCAATTAAAGTATTATCATAAGGTATTTGCTCAAATTCATGCCATTTTTCGTTGCTGTTTCGTGGGGTCAATTTTTGGAATCGGGGCTGTGGAGTCAGTATGATTTACAATTGATTCGTTGAAAAATTCACTTTACAGGAAAACTCCCCATTCTCCCTGGTTTTATTGTTGATAAGGTTATTTCCCAGGGTGTTTTCGCTTTGTTGAGCATTAATTGTTTGAACATAATGGGATTTGGAATCTTCCAATCAGAATAACAATATAACTACCACTGGAATGATAAACAGGGAGGCCAAGGGAGTGCTAAAACCCATCAGGAAGGGGGGCACAAGTCCTAAAACGTTTGGGAACCATTGGATTAGACCAGTGGTTCTCAACCTTTTTTATCTCGTGGCCCATTTTCGTTGCATAAAAATTCTGTTGCCCACTAAATTTCTCATGCAAGGGAAAAACTACAAGAAAAAAAGAGACTTTTTTTGCAAAAATAAATACTTTCACTGTAATAACTAGAATGAAAAGCAGCAGCATCACTCATTGCTACTACAATAAAAATTTGACTATAATGACACAAATGAAACCAAACTTTTCAAAAACCGTAGTAATTTTTAATAGGCTTGTGGCCATTTGAAAAGACTCTATGGGCCGACAGTGAGCCATGGCCCACTGGTTGAGAACCAGCGGATTAGACAGTCAGGGGGGGGGGGATCCCCCTTCCTTCAAAATAAAATCCCACCCAACCTTCTTCTATGCATAGGTGCAGATGAAGGCCTGTTCCTCAATATCGATTTCATTTGTTTCATTCCTCTATCTGGGTGATTCTCTTTTTCATTCGAGTCCTACAGGAAAACAATCGGAACATTAAAAATGTTAATATGATTAAATATAATGAAAAATTCTAATGTCGGTGTCTAGTGATTGGTCAAATAAGGTCTCACATCATCCGAGTTTGAATTTCTAGCAAATTTCAAAGTTCGAGTCATAAGTTCATGGCTTCACCGCACATCTGATTACATTGCGTGGGTTCGCAGGTTCGAATACCATGCAGGAATAGTTATGTAGGAGAGGATTGCTGGACTCCTCGCCGCCGTAGGGTGGGTGGTTCATGTAACCGCTGACCAGTTACGACTTCCTCCACCATCAAGTCCATGCTTCTGAAACAAATAACTGACTAACGAATCCCATATCCAACATGGACTGGTAACCAGACGAGAGACTGTGGTTCGCCATATGATTAAGCAGTCTTACCGGCTTTCTTCTTCTCTGGGATAAATATGTAAACCCTATCCTATCCAAAGTTGAGTCCGGGTAAATTTATTCAAGGTCTAGTGATATTCACAGTTAATTCAGGTTGAATAAATTTATCAATCCTGAATGGTACACAGTGAAAACCCTTGATAGTGGTCCCCACCTCATCCCTCCTTCTGAAAAGAGGCAAGTTTGAAAATGCCTGCACTTGAAGTAATCAATAGAAGAAAAAGGGGCGCTCCAGAAGTGTATGTACCAATACGGAGGTAACTAATTTTGTTTGCCTACTTTACATCAAGTTGTGTAAAGGGACTGAAACTTATGGGCAGGAGGTATATTCACTTGGCTCACACAGACAGTCCTTGAATTCGTAAGATAATATTCTCAGTTCAACTTGAAAGCTTAAAGAAAATCGAAATAAAATTATGGCCTAACCCTAATCCGTATTTGCCCTGGTACATATACTACGGAAGTGCCGAAAAAAGTGCTAACTAATAATAATATAAATTACTGACGTCACTGTCGCTGCTTTCAAATGAAGATGAGTAATCCCCTCCGTTAGTTCGACCTTCAAATGACTTTGACATGAATTGTGTTGAGCTGTCTTTTGTGAAACTTGTGTGTCGTTTACGCCTGACATGTTTCTGAGCTGACTGGGGTCGCTGTACGATTGATAAAATAATGAATAGTCAGTCAGTAGTTTATTTATCACATTTCGAAAATACGAAAAATGCATTTTCGCGTGGAAGGAACCACTGATGGTTATCGAGCAGCGTCACCTATGAGCGAGTCTAACATTGAATAATGCTGAAAAAAAAAGCCGAAGATACTGACAAAAGATACATTTAGGTGACCGGATATTTCCAGTATCGCTTGTTCCAATGGAAGAAAATGACCCCAGACACGACAGGTGGAGTAACCATGACAACCGCGGTTAATGAAATGATATATGAAAAGTAGCTATTTGAAGGCTGCCGAATATATAAAGAGTGAAATATCGGGTTCGATGAATTTGTTATCAAGTTGGTATCACATATTTAGGATTTTGGGTTCCAATAAGTTCTCTGGGTTAGTTGAATTCAATATGTGAGTAGAAATTCATCAAAATCTTCAACTAAAGTCGTTTCAAAAATTTTCAAAGATACCTGTGCCAAGTCATATTTATCACTGGTTTAAACCTAAACTTGTCATAACCTAGGTAAGTTTAGTTTATTACTTCACAAACAAATCTTTGAGTTTCACCGATATTAGGCCTTAATTCATTTGAATGTTGGCAGCACTTTAGCAGTACACAATAAAATGACGAAGCACCAACAAAACATGACTCAGATAAAATCAAGCCAAGTATGACTCAGCAGGTAAAATTACTGTTGCCAGTAAACAGATAAAGTTAGGAATAAGAAAATATGCAATATAAATTACCACAGCACTCACCCTTGAAAACGCTGAAACATGTCTTGGTGCAACAGATTGTAGATATGGACTGATTGATGGAGGCCTGCGAGTAAAAAATACAAAGTTTATATTATTAAATTTATTACATAGTATTGGTTGGTGAAATTTTTTGATAATACGCAGGGAAGTATCACTCGTGTTGATTTCATTAATTTCAAGTAAATCATTTGTTTTAATCTTTGACTTTTAAATGTGATGCATAAAAAAACTATTAGAGAATGGTAAAATCAAAACTATGTATTTTTGTAAAAGAGCACGGGTGGTCCTAGGGGAGGACCATAAGGGCAGCAGATGCATTGGGTAGCAGATCGAAGCTATAATATTTGCGATATTACACATGTTTTTTTTGATGTATTTTCAAGTAAAAGCGGACATTATGTGTATAGTGTTGTGTGACTGATTGCGGTGATGGTGTGTGAGCAATGGCTGACTGCCCTTTCCTGATAATGCGCTCATCTGGTCATTGCGTGAGAGTGCGATACAGTAATACAAACATTTCACTTTTACTTGACCTTTAATTTATTCATTCCCATGTAGTACAACATCTACAATTCATCCCCCGAATTATTTTGAAGTTTGGTATACGGATCAGCATTATCAGAAACTCGCCTTGGGCAGCAGAAAAGTTTGACACAGCCCCACAAATATTGGGAATCTTTGCCCCATGGATCAGTTTGAGAACCACTGTGACCTAATCTTTCCTTAGGTTGGCCAATCATTAGATGTGGATGCTTTTTATCAGTCTTGTTCAAAAGCAAGAGCAATGAAGGATAGGATAAGATTTACATATTTATCCAGGGGAGAAGAAAGCCGGCATCACGACTTAATCATATGACGAACCACCGACTCTCGTCCGGTCACCAGTCCATGTAAGGTACGAGATTAGTTAGGCAGTTATTTTTTTTTCAGATGCATGGACTTGATGGTTGAGGAAGCTGTAACCAACCAGCGGTTATGTGAACTACCCAACAGTGACGAGGAGTCCAGCAATCTTCTCGCACATAATTATCTCCACATAGGATTCAAATCTGCGAACCCACGCAGGGTAATCAGAGGTGCAGTGGGAAGCGTATTCCTAACGATTAGCACGCTGAGCCACACTGCCGAGCAATATTAAAAAAATAAGTTCGATATAAAATACGATTCAACAAAATGCCATTATTCTAACCTTTCTCTTGGTTGGTCCATCATTTTCCTTGTTTTTTCATCAAATTTTTTCCGATATTCATCCAGAATTCTTTCCTCTTCATAACTTGACATAGAAGATCTGCGGCGATGGTGATGAGACATGATTTTTATCAAATTTCAATTCATGATTAAATAAAGAAAATAATTCAAAATCTAACAGGAGAACAAAAAGTAATGAGAGAATTCAAAAAGAAAATTGAGTGAATTCAATGCATCTGAAACAAATAGCTTAAAAATCATTCTTCTATCAGTACTGCAGTATGGCACTGTTCTCTAATTCAAGAGTAACCCCCACATTAGGAGACATCGATTATAACAGTAATTGCAACCCCCTCTTTGAGAGACAGTCTGGGCCTCCATATCGACAAGAATCTGCAAACCAGCACTGTGCAACAAACTGAGAAAAGTGCAAAAATGTCACCACTGGATTGCACTGTGAAAACAATACGAAAAACGGAAACATTTGCTTGGGACTGTATCTACTTCAGTACTTGACAATTACAGATATGACTAACAGGCTAAGAATTACTGAATTATGGTAGGCTAGGTTTTGAAGATAAGTTACCATTGATTCACCCACACCCTGTCTAACAGTACACAATTTCCTGTTGCATTTCACACAGTAGCCTACAGCTACAGCTAGCTGCACGACAGTATGGCGTTGTAACACTTACAGACTTACCGTACAGTCAGACTTGCAGTTCTAGCGTACCGTAATTCTCTAATTACAGAATTATGAAACCTGAGAATAAACTTGATTGTCACAAACCTGGTGTACTTTATTATAACATGTCATTCTCATCAATGGACTTTTTCTTGCCCCAAACGCTAACTTTGAATTCCTGGAATATCGCTCGCGCTATAGGCGCGGCGGTGTGGCTCAACGGGCTAAGCGTTAGGAATACGCTCGCCACCGCACCTCTAATTACTCTGCGTGGGTTCGCAGGTTCGAATCCCATGTAGGGATGGTTATGTGCGAGAGGATTGCTGGACTCCTCGCCGTCGTTGGGTGGTTCACGTAACCGCTGGTCGGTTACGGCTTCCTCCACCACCAAGTCCATGCTTCCGAAAACAAACAATACAGTAAAAACTAATCCCATACCCGACTTGGAATGGTAACCGGACGAGAGGCCGTGGTTCGCCATATGGATAAGCCGTCTTATCGGCTTTCCTCTCCCCCGGGATAAATATGTAAATCCTATCCTATCCTATCCTATTCAGCACGGCACTGCAGTAAAATACTTTTTCCGTACCAGTGGAAATGTACTAATAAGCACAATGAAAGTTACCTCGAGTTACAATCAACGGACATCTTTCCGTAATTTAGTATGTTCGTATTTTGTTGACGTCTGACGTCAGGTGTTGACACGCTGCCATGGAGACAAAAAAATCGTTAGATTTCATGAAATATCAATGTAACGTTTTCTTATTTTAAAAAGATGACAATAAAATAGGTTTATTTATTTATGTTAAATATATTTAATTTGTTTTATCCGCTTTTGGTTGTATTCAAATAATATATAAATAAGTATGCGTGGCGAATAAAAATGTGACAGGGGAGAAGCGAAATCCGGACGAAGCAGCCAAATGGATCGTTTTGTTATTACGTTGTCGTTGTTCTTCATTTTTCTTCTTAGCGGTATGAAAATCGATCTTCTCTACAATTTCTCGACCGATTGATTTGAAATTCTCAGTGATTTAGGATTGTATTTTTCGCTAGAAAGTTATCACTTTCATTTATTTCAAAAATTTCTGTGGGCTCTATTAGATTTGCTTTTTGTGTGCGACGACTAATCAAAATTTGAAATTGACCTCCTTTGACGATTCTTCTCTTGCGTAAGTTGGTTTTTGGTGGCCAGCCGTGATACAGATTACATGCCTTCTTCGTTTTAACTTTCGCATCCATATATTTGAGTATCGCACTTTGCGCTAAATTGTTGTTGTTAGTCCTATTGTTGCTCCTGCTTCGGTGACTTTTTGGCGAGAAAAAAATTGCTTTTCTGCAAACTAATGCACGAATTAATTTAGAATTTTGGTCATTTGTCTGAAAAATACCCTATTAACCATTTTCATATCCGACATGAATGGTAATGGATGAGAGGAAATAGTTCACTACCGTGTTTCCCCGAAAATAAAACTGGATCTTATTTCAATTTTCTTTCGAAAAATAACACTAGGGCTTATTTTGGGGGATGTGTTTTATTTTGTTTCCAATTATACATAATATGAAAACCGATATCCATTTAATTAAATAACACGTTTTTCTCTTTCACACGTTTTAGATTAATCTTTTAAAACGTGAAGGAGAGATTTCTTGCTATCGACTAGGTCAAAAAAAATCGCGGTATTGACTAGGTCTTACTTTAAGGGGAGGGCTTATATCAATATTTTTCTTAAAATTCAGGCTGGGTCTTATTTTCAAGGAAACACGGTATAATCAAATGATGTAATGGATTTCGTGCCCATATATTTGAGCATTGCTTATTGTTATTGTTAATCGTTACCGCTCTTCTTGTTAACTGCAGCCGTAATCACATTCGTACATTGATTGCTTTATCATGAATCTCGTTTATTTTTGAAAAATTACATGAACATGAAACTAAATGCCGATTTTCAGTTGCGATTCCGCAAATCTAGCGTTAAACTAAAGGGTTGACGCGGTAACGAAACTATGGCCCAAGGGCTCTTACTAAACGTCGATTTTTGATCGCGATCCCTCGGATCTAGCTTTTAACGAAACGGTATACGTTCACGGTAACGGTACCTCCTCCTGTTTATATTTTTAAGTATTTTTTTTTTTTTCAAAAAATGTTTATTTACATCAAAACTGATATTGCCTACTTCAAATTAGCCATGTCTTTAAATAAATTTCTATCACAACGGGAGTATCTTTTTCTAGTTTGAATTAATGCTTTAAATACGATAACAAATGAGAATCTTCTGTCGCGATTTTAGTAATCTTTCGGACAACCATGTGTTCGGGTTTTCGGACAATTCTCTAATATTTTTATCAAAAATGTTTTCATTCAGAACAAGAGAGCTACGCACAAATATATGGACACGTTAGACCAGAGCGAATCAGTCCTTACCGGTACCTTTGACGCTACCGGTACCCTCAAAAAAGTTCTGAATTTCCAGTAGCAAGAATTTTGCAGAATCAAAACGTACAGCCAGTCATGACACTGACTAAAATCCGTGTTCCCATGGATAAAAAATAATACAGCAAAATTTTAGACGAAATATCAAATTTCATAGAATTCACGCAAAATTTTGAAATAAATAAAAGTAATAGCCTTCTAGCGAAAAAATTAATCTTTAACCACTGAAAATTTCAAAGCAATTGGTCCAGTATTCGAAGAGAAAAGCGACTTTTTAAAAACGTGTCAAAGAACAAGAACAAGAACAACAACAACAACATAATATTGAAACGATCGTTATGTCCATTTCGTGTCCAATAAAATAATCTCATTCCCGAGCAGGGGTGGGCAAGGTTTTTGAACAAGGGCCAAAAAGTTTGCCTACTCAGACTGGCGGGCCATGTAAGTGTGACGTAAACGTACTTTGCCTATGTCTGCTCCAGAGCCTACGTAAATTTTTTTTTCAAAACTGATAATTTTAGCTCGTTCTAACGCATATTTAACCGCTTTTTCAATTAATTCCTCTTAATCTGGGCTGTTTATATTTACAATAAGAGGCGTTAACAAAGTGAAGTCATTTCTAAAAATACCGACTTTCTGGAAAATCGAAAATCTTTTGACGTCAGAGATGCCTCAAACAAAACATGTAAACACATAAATCAAATGAAATTCTAATGTTAAATTTTGGTCGTTCCAGGAACAGTGGCCAATTCCGTATCACTGGCTGTCATGCTGTTTACAGTTTCAGCGCCAATTCGAAACCGATCATGTTTTTTTTTCAATGAAATGAACTATATTTGACTATTGAGCATTACATCCACGCACAAGAGAGCGATGCTCAAATAAATGGGCACGTAAGCCAAACGAAGTAGTTCAGATATCACTTGGCTAGTCCCCGAACTTGTAATAGAACTAAAATAAGGAAAATTGAAATAAAATTATGGTCAAACCCTAACCTGGTAGACATACTACGTCCCGGTTTCCACCATCTTGGTACGCATACTTCCACCCAGCAAATTCTACTTTGAGATATCACAAACAAAAATTGTAGCAACTGCGCACTTGTTGAGTGACATTGGCCCTTTACAATAAAATCGTGAGCAATATATTTTGACTAAAAACTGAATCTGAATTTGACGTTGTCAAAATTTCATAATCAGTAATATTTGTATTTCAAATATTTTCCCCCATTTATTGGGTCCTTTCCAATACAATTAGTGATATTTCTTTGAATTACACGCCACGGGAGATAAATTTGCGATGAACTAATCATTTTTGGAGAAATTGTACATTATAAAGATGATTTATGCCTGGCATGTCAGTTAACAGTTAAAATAAATCGTAACCGTTAACCATCTAAAATTGGTTATCCGATTAACCGGTTAACCATTCCAAGCCCTATTCAAAGCAAAATTAACAGCGTCGTCCCACGCCGAACTTTCTCGAACTAATTCCTCGTTCCTTATGACTTTTTGTTCAGGACCTTTTTTAGAGAAATTATGGAGTGTAAATGGGAGTGGCTAATTGTTCAGAGTGAAGTCCAGAAAGGTGAGGTTAAAAACGTCATAGAATGTTAATTACATATCATGTATATAGATTCAGTATTTACTTACTCATCGATGCCAATCAATCCTGTCAAATAACATTGATGCAATCTAATGTTTAACCTCGCTTGAACGTATTGTGGCTTCAAGGTCGGGCGCAAGGGATTCACAAAAAGGGGAGGGAAGTTGGTTCTGAAATTATTAATTGCTAAGTTAGACACTCGAATCAACTCAACTCGAATCAACTCGAGATTCGATGATGACTCGCTGCTGATTTAGCCTTGTTCGTTTTGTCGCGAAAAACAACTCGTTGAGGCAATACAATTTTTTTAACAGCCCACCACGTGTTAATCGGTTATTTAAAGCTAAAATTTGAATTTTTATTCATACAACTCCTTTTTTTGAAAATCATATATGGGCGATGCGTGGACCAGACATCCGCGCAACAATGTCTTAAGCCGGTTTAAGTCTTAGATGACAGATCGGCGGTTTAATGTGATTTGACAGACACGATAAGCATCTGATACTTTTCATTCATTGCTGCCTTAGGGCTATTTATGTGGTGAACATGCGGCTAACGCTATTTGAACTGTTTGCAAAAGTGTAAATTTGGCTCTAATATAGCTAATTAAAAAATAATCTTTATACATATAAATAAAAGTAAAATTGGCGTCCCTTTTCAATAGCAAACCATAATAGAGTAACGCGAAACAGTTTTCAAAGTATTATAAATACACAAAGGGTTGGATAAGTACGTAAAGAGATGCGCTTGCGGGTTTTCCTTGAAATGCAATTTCAAATTTTAAGCTTTTTTTAGAATATATTGGTACAGAAAAATAGGAAACCAGAGTTACTTTCAAGACGTATTCTAGATTTATTTGTAGAGATTTATAGAGAAAGGCAAAACCATGTGGTACGTAAGATAAATATACAAATAGGTCGAATAAGTACATCTACTAAAGTACCCTCGCTAGTGAGATATATATATATATATATATATATATAGAACTGTAAGCATAGAATCAAATTAATCCAGCCATGTAAGAACGCGTGGCAAGGATGGTTGAGGATTTTTTGCGAGTAGAAGTGGTTAGTTACATGATTAATTATCAGACAACTGGTCGAGGGGGCCGAGTGTGGTGCTTTTTGTGAAATTTGTTCAAAGCAATGCCATGTGAATCAAGATGGCGGGCACCGGAACGTAGTATGTGTACCAGGTTAGGGTTAGGCCATATTTTCAGGTACAAATACTACGGGAGTCACTTGGCTAGTCCCCGAACTCGTAATAGAACTAAAATAAGGAAAATTGGAATAAAATTATGGCCCTAATCTGGTGCACATACTACATTCTTGTGTCCGCCATCTTGGTTCACATACTTTGGCAGCGCCGTTATGGCGACCACTGGAATGTCAAGATCTACTTTAAACCTTGAACCATATATAGAATTATCGAGATGCATTACGCGCCAATAAATGCCGACTGTTCGTAAGATGACTAAACTTGGACTTGATGAAGTGCTTTAAATTCATTAGAACATGGGTGTGCAACCTTTAATGCAAAAAGGCCAGATACAAATACCTGGGTGAAATCGCGGGCCGCACCTTCATTTACCATGGGCTGTAGCTGCGATCGTATTGCAATTACTCGCAGATTAAACTTAATTATTAACTCGTTTCCCGGGACGCATTTAAAATTGGCGCTTCTCCACGGGTCGCACACTATTTCCATATCGGCCGCATTCGGCCCGCGGGCCGTAGGTTGCACACCCCTACATTAAAATAATGATAAGATCTTTACGAAGGCAAAGAGGTGTTTTATGCGATTCTAAAAGCTCCTAACTTATCGTTGTGAAAGAAACTGACTGCAAGAAAGTTCTATTAGATGATTAGCATTATGATTGGGTTGCTTTAGTCTCGCGTCACTCGGAAATTACTGACTGGAATAATTATTATCTTTATTTTCTACAAAGACAGCATAATCTAGTACAGTAATCTACTGCTGCTATTGGAATAGCAGACGATTATTTAGAATGGACATCTACATTAGAATATGTTTTATCATTGCGTTATGCCTAGGTGAGTAGTTGAGGTTATGAGCAGGGTTGCCAGATCCCAGTGATCAAAAAAGTCAAGGCAAGACACAAAAAAGCATGACCTCGTAGGCCCTTCTTGGCCACGCCTATGCTCCGAACGAATTCCTCTGGATTTTGAGTTAATCGACTCAGAATTCAGGATAACCAAATGTGTGATTTATTGAAGCATCGCCTTTTCCATTCCAGGTTTCTCTCAATCCTGTTACATCGAGATTAAAAATGAAGGCGACCTCGATTTCTCATCGATGATCGAAACCGCTGCCCCTGTCCCGCTAACGAGATGGTTTGGGAAAGTTAAAAAGGAAAGATGCGCGATCGCGAAGCGGCTAAATCCAAGACTCACAACTGAATTAGAGTTTAAGGAAATGAACCTTTTTGATGAAGAGATACAGGTTGGTATTATACAGTTGTTATAAAAAAAAATTTTCATATTTACCCAAGGGGAGAGGAAAGCCGATAAGACAGCCTAATCATATGGCGAACCTCGCCTTTCGTCCGGTAACCAGTCCATGTCGAGTATGAGATTAGTTAGTCAGTTATTTGTTTTCAGATGCACGGACTGGTGTACAGTCATGCTTAGAGTAAATTGTTTATAAAAAAAAATGAAAATAACTTCGGCTGACTAACAATTACCAGTATATCTATCTAATCCACTAGATTAGTAGATTTATGTCAACAAACGACGTTATTGGAAATCAAGAGCTTTATGCCCACCATATATTCAAGCCATATTATCCCTTTCCTCTCCACGAAAATGAATATGAAATTCCTTCCTTATCTTAAATTTATCAGGTTTATGTCAACAAACGTTTCTACTGGAAGTCCTGGGAGTTGATGCGTTCATTCAATTCATCGTTCGGTAACAATACGAAGTTGGTTTTCAACGGCTACAGAGCTGTGAAGATTGTGGGAAGCAAGAAAGACCAGTTTAAGTTGAATTATAAAAGTAAGTTTAGGAGTGGTGCTCGTGTATTTGAACACGAAGACAAAACAAATTTAAAAGTACGTCAAGATGTCATAAGAAAGTGTGCCGTGTGTCATAAAAAGTGTTCCCAACAAAATTCATATAAAAGTGCTACAAGATGTCATAAGAAAGTGTGCCAGATGTCAAAAAAGTGTTCCCAACAAAATTCATATATAAGTACTACAAGATGCCATGAGAAAGCGTGCCAGGTGTCGTAAAGAGTGTTCCCAGCAAAATTCATATCTAAGTGCTACAAGATGTCATAAAATTGTGCCAGGTGTCATGAAAAGTGTTTCCAGCAAAATTCATATAAAAGTGCTACAAGATGTCATAAAAAAAGTGTGCCAGGTGTCATAAAAAATGTTCAAAAAAATGTATGTTTTGAAATAATACAAAAATATTACGATTTTAAAGGTTCTTACTGCCCGGTACCCGAGTCAGTTAAAGTTGACAGTTGCACAAAGAAACGCAACAAAGGTTCAACTTGCAGTTTCAAATGCAACGTCCCGGAATACGTGTCGTTAAATAAAGACAAGAAAGCGTTCAGAGTTAAATGCAGGTTTGGTTTAAATTTTTTTCATTCTGAATTAAATAACTGGATAACTAGTTCTATACGCAAAATGTACTGATGCCCAGTGGTGATTTCAAGCGAACCCGTTATTAGAATATCGTGGCAGTTAGCGAACCGGTTCCATGATATATATTCATTTTCTAAAATCAGGGAACCTGCTGTTAGTGGTCTCGATACAGAATAGAACCCTGTCCTTAAAATTTACACAGATAACTCTCATCGTAGTGATTGTATATGACTTCGGAATAATTGCCGTAACTTTGTTCGAAGATAAGTCTTATTTGCATCTGAGTAATTTCGCGTGATACACCACTATAGCACCTCATAGCTCTTGGTACTTGTTAATAACTCCCTTGTGTACGGCCTTTGGACATTTAAAAAAATAATGAATCCATTTTTTCAGACGAAATTTTACTTGGACTCTAGATAGCAGTCACAAATGCATTTCATTAGCAAAAGTTATCGACTTATGTTTGTCAAAGTACTCAATAGAGGTAGGTGGTGTCTAATAGAGATGTTAATTCTTGTTTCTGTCCGAAAAACGCTCTAAACAGGCGTTAATAGCACAAACCGTTGTCCAGTCGCCATGTGTCAAAGACAGGGATAGGAATTCAAGGGGAAACACTTTAACCGTTAGCCGGTAAAATTAACCGGTTACTCGCAGCGTGACGTTTGACGTATTTAGGTCACAATTTAAGCTTCTCACGCCACAATGGTTCCAAAGCAATTTCGTCCAGAACTAGAATTTTAGAGCAAACGCTTTAACCGTTAACCGGGTATACTTAACCAGATAACGGTTAACCGCAGCGTGACGTTTGACGTATTAAGTCATAATTTAAGATTCTTACGTCCGAATGGTTCCAAAGCAATTTCGTCCAGGACTAGTATTTAAGTCTAAGAGGAAACGCTTTGACCGTTAACCGGGTATACCTAACCAGATAACCGGTTAACCACAGCGTGACGTTTGACGTATTAATTTATAATTTAAGCTTCTCATTTCTCAATGGTTCCAAAGTAATTTTGCGTGATCTAATCGCTTGAAATTATTCACGAATTGAGATAGTTCCATAATCGCTCTACTGCGGGGTTCTCAAACTCAATTTTCCTAGGGGCCAATGGAAGCAGAGCCTGGGTGGGTCGGGCCGCATCAGGTTTTCCACAATAGAAGCTTAATTTAAAAAATTCTAATCTTATCTACTTTATTTTTGTTCAATCAAGCATTTTTCGATGGGCAGTGATGTCACACCACATGGTTACAAAAATACAAGGTATTAATATAAATCTAAGCGTTAGTGATTGTGACGTCAAAAATCCGAGAATTTGAATGTATTAATCATTAATCTAACGAACTGAGCTAAGTGATTTGCGGGTTACACTAACATTGAACTTTCATACTAAGGCGGGGCCCACAAACTATCGTCCTGCGCGACGCAACTGGCCCCCGGGCCGCGAGTTTGAGACCCCTGCTTTACTGCAAGAAATTTTAAGAGTACTATGAAATATGAATATTGAATGAATTAAGCGGAAGTATGAAATTTCTTTCTTTCCAAACTCAAACTTTAATACAAATTACGGCGCATAGAAAAAGAAAGTCGTTTTTATTACCGTTAACGCCACAGGAGATAAATTTGGAATAAACTAATTATTTTTGAATTAATTGTACCTGAGATGTTGGTTAACGGTCAAAATAAATCGTAACCGGTAACAATATAAAATCGGTTAACCAATTAACCGGCTAACCAATCAAAGACTTCTAAATAGAATGACTTCTCATTAACTAAGCGCCAATGTTCGAACACAGTATGCTTCCATTTCATTTCAGCGGAGTGTTTCCAAATTTAAGGGGTGATTGATTTATTAGTGATAAAATTATTTGTAACTTGAAACAATGCTTATGTGTTTAGAAATAAAATTTTTGATGGGGGATTAGGGTTTTCATTCTCTGTAGGGTGGTGTAATCACCAGTGGGTTCTTGCTCGTATAAATCCTGGAAGGCGCGAATAAGCACCGTATAATAAATTGTGTCTTCAGATTACAAAAAGCGCTACCGCGAACTCCAAATAACTGGTTTTGTTTTGATTTAGGAGGAATGCCCATTTGGTATTGATCACTTGGTGACGCTCTTCCCAGAACCCGAAATTACAGATAATTCTCCGATCGGACTTGTGGAATTCCTAGCTGGAGCTACAAGGGTAAGAATCTAATTTTTTAGACGCGAAGAGAATCTATGAATTGCTGTTGCTAAATCAATTCAAACAGTAATTTGTTCGAATGGGACTCGTGTATTAGGGACGTAGTCAGAAATTTTCAAAGAGGGGGGAGGGGGGGTTCCAATTTTTTTTTTGCCAAATTAGCGAGACAGCTAGCGGGTCCGACCGAACGCTGGAATACGCGTGTTTTTAGTAGTCTTGGGGGTCTAAAAAGTATTTCAAGCAAAATTGCTATGTATGATGGAAGGAAGATGATTTCATTTTTTTGACATCCCCCCCCCAAATAAGGGGGGGGGGGGTCGACCCGCAAAACTACCCCCCTGGCTACGCCACTGTCGTGTATGACGGCTCAGATGCAGTGAAATACAGTGAACTCACAAAACAATCAACATGCAGGACAGGTTACAATTTAGTAATCGAGAGTTCAGGGAGGCAAGTAGGCCTATTAAACTATTAGCAAAGCAATATAAGCTTGAGACAAGAAACAAATCATAAATAACAAACTATGATGAATATGATTATAGTCTCCTCCAATGCTAAACTACCATAGCAGTAACGCATTGCACCAGCAAATTAGCGTGTTGTCATAAAATGGCTATGTCAGCTATGTCTCTACTAAAATCGCTTTGTAACTTTCTGAAAAGTAATTTCAGTAAAATTAACTGGAGCAATCTGATCCAGTAGAAGTATTCTAATCATTTGTTACTTGACAAGGTAATTTTTATATTTCCAACTTCTGAAAAAATACAGAAAATAAATTCTATTGACATTAGCTCAAACTACTGAACCAATTGCCTTAAAATTTTCGGCGCTCCTGAAGTATGCGCACCAAGATGTCGCATAACCTGAACTCTAACCTGGTACACAACGTGAGTTCAGGTTGTGCGCCATCTTGGTGCGCATACTTCAGGAGGTCCAAATTTTCATTAGGTAAAGTTTGTATTTTTTCGCTAGAAGGCTATTACTTTTATTTATTTCAAAAATTACTGAGGATTCTATAAGATTCGTTTTGTGTGTGCGATGACGTCATCAAAATTAAAAATTACGCCTTCGCGTCAGAGATCTTGTGGTCCGACGAAGTCGTGAACACTAGATATCGGTAAGCTACTGTGATAGATCGTATACCTGTGCTACTCCGTGTACATCCATTTGAGCATAACTCCCTTGTTTACCTTTATAATATTATCTCGTTCAAGCATCTTGTGGCCACTGACACGTACGGATTCGAAGTAGGAAGTAAACAAGGAGAAAAGACTTGCAGTTCAGTGCACATAGCATAGACTTAGCCAAGGGGAGGGGGCATTTTACTCTATTGTTGGACGATTTACTGAAAACTGACTTTTCCGACTTGCTATCAATAATCCTTTACCAAATTAACCAACCGAGACAGACGAAATTGCGCGCTTATATGCCTTGGATAACTTCGACAGCGAAGAAAGTCTGTAGAGAGATTCTGCTTTATATCGGTTTTGGCGATTTTACGAGATATTGATATCATTGTCTAATTTCATCTAGCCTTGCACGGAGCAAAAGACACAAGTAAGCGTCGTAATATCTCACTATACAAAAAAAAATTGGAACCTCCTGGAGTATGCGCACCAAAATGGCGCACAACCTGAACTCAGGTTGTGTACAAGGTTAGGGTTCAGGTTGTGCGACATCTTGGTGCGCATACTTCGAGAGTACCAAAAATTGCCTCTCGCATGTTTTGGCTTGCTACGCTCTTGTACGCTAGCACTCTTTACATAAAAAAAACTTCGATTTTTTTTACAGGAGATGCATAAAGACATCGATTGGAAACTCGACAGTTCCATTTCCGCCCGTGCTTATCGCCCAGGAGACGATTGTTATAAGTTTTGCCTACGTAGTAAAGCGACTAGTGTATACATGACGTCATGTGGAAGTCCTGATTTGAGTGAGTTATTCAATAATACGTAAATATATGGCCCTTTTCCGATACAAGTTAGCGTAATGGCCCAGAGGTTATGGCTGACACGGGCAAATTAAGGCCCGCGAGCCAAATCCGGCACGTTGGGTAATTCAACCCGACGCGCCCGGTGCTCCCACAGCCAAACTAAACCCAAATTTTGATGTTTCAGCTAAAAATAGCTCAAAGAATTTGTTTAGATTTTGAATAAATCTCAATTTTCCAATTGTTTTATAAGACCCCAACCAGGAATAATACGTGCAAGAATAAAATATATTTCTGCTTCGGCCATTGGAATGGAATGAAGGTCGGCTGTGTTTTAATTGTGTCTGATGCTTCTACTATTTACAGTGTCAAGTTGCTGTTTTGAATAAATAACCCGGAATCTTGGTTCTTTTGATCTAACAACCACAGTAGCATAAATTAAACAGTAATCCCGAAGTATATAAACCAAGATGGCAGACACCGGAACGTAGTATGTGTACCAGGTTAGGGTTGGGGCCATAATTTTAAGTACAAATACTAGTCACTTGGCTCTAGCCAAGTCACTTGGCTCTAACCTGGTACACATACTACGTTTCGATGTCCACCATCTTGGTTCACATACTTCGGGAGTATCATTTAAACTGTGACACATTTCTCTCCTTTTTTCAGGCGCTACTGACAAAGAAAAATGTGTAAAATGTCGATATATAAAAAAGATTTGCGACCGAAGGTCGGTTTTTGCATAAAGAGAATACTGAGAGAAAGATTTTGTCCTGGTGAATCAATCTATTTCAAACCTGAATAACTAAATAAGTTTTTATTGCATGATTTACTCTAATAAACTACATTTATTATCTACAATTTTTTTTTACTGTTTTCGAGATGAATTTATGAAATTTGAACCTGAATTCAGGACGGCCCATGATAGAGAGAGAGAGAGATTTATTATTCGTCAACCAGAAAAACAAGCATTGCAACAATAAGAAATATATACAACAATATACGCAAAGTTATTCGGTATAGACTGGGGAAAGCGATACGAACATACGGTACAACCTGTGCTAGAGTCACTTTCTCTCAAATTATATGTCAGAAGGTGACATAAATCATTCAGTGTTTTTATTTCAAACGGGTGCTCATGCTATGAGTGCTATGAGTGTGAAAATTCGATGGCAACTCTTCCTGTAAATCCTAGTCATTAAAAAAAAAATATTAGCTAATTCTTAAAACATTTTTATGTCGCGCCTCAAAAATAACTAGCTAACAATAACCTACAAATAACTGATGGTAAGGCGAAAGCATGTTCTAGAATCTGTGAACTAACAGAATGAAGTTGAACTCTTAAAGATGCTTCACGTTAAAGATAATAAAGATACAAACACAACAGCCCTCTGCACTTTCTTAAATATGTAGGTACTCCAGTAGTATGTGTACCAGGTTAGGGTCAGGTCATAATTTTATTCTGATTTTCCTTATTTTAGTTCTATTACGACTTTGGGGACTGTTTGTGTTAGTCAAATGAATATACCCCCTGCCCATATGCTTCCGTCTCTACACAACATGATGTGAAGTAGGCAATCGAAATTAGTTACATCCCCATTGGTACACATACTCTCGTATCGCTGAAATGTAAATATCCAAAATAAGGCGGCAAGATTAAAATCTAACAAATATTTTTATTTTTAATTATCTTCACGTCTTTCAAAAAATTGACTACGCCCTCTTTGTGTGACGTGCCCCGCCGTTTGAAAACCCCTGTCCTGAAGGTTTTAAAATACACTGGAATCAGCAGCTGAGACCTTGTAAATACAGTCCCTACTATGACAGCACAACGCACAACTTCGCCACTCATTTCAATACAATAATTTTACATTTTATTTTAATCAATAAATATTCACATTTCTGATTTCTAAACAAAAATAAATCTTTTTCGACAAACTTTGTAAACGTGTCGACACATCAAACAATCTCGTTTTCGGGAAGAGCCTGAAATAAAATGTAATTTTTATTAATGTAAATTGGGTAGGACCTATGTTAGTAATATGGGAGAATTTTCAAATGGGGGATTCGGAAATTTCTAATTGCCAATTTTCAAACCACGAAAAATTGTCTATGTTTGATTTTTTCCCATTTCAAAAGGGGGGGGGGGGGGGGGGGGGGGGATTCCAACCAGTGGTGGAATTCAAATTTTTTGTCAGCTGGTTCTTGCACAAAAGTCATATTTTCAGCCGGTTCTGTTACAAACAGAACATCGACAGTAACCAGTAATGCTAACCGGTTCGCTGATCTCATAAAATTCCGTGAGACAGTTCTATATAACCGTGCAAACCCACCACTGGTTCAAACCCGCAAAACCACTCCCTGGCCACACCTCTTTTAGTTGAACGGGACTTTTTTCTTTGAGGAAATTTGTATAAAAATTCCCATGTCTGACGCTAACTACAAACATATGTGATCGCTCCTGAACTATGTGTACCAAGATGGCGCACAACGTGAACCCTAAACTAGTACACATACTATGTTCAGGTTGTGCGCCAACTTGGTGCACATACTTTGGGAGCTCCCATTGTGTTGCGATGATGAACCAATAAACAGCCCTTAGCATCAAAATTCTTGCATCAGGAATCTCTACACCAGCGGTTCCTAATCGGGGTCCACTAAGCATTTGCAGGGGTCACAATGCAAGATGAAAAATGAAGGATGAAATGGAAATGATAAACTGAGGGTCATATGGTCATATGTACAAAAGACTCTGGAAGGGGGCCACGAGACATGAAAGTTCGGGTTGGGTTAGGAATGCAGATTGCGCCGAAATTAAATTTTTTTTTTTAATTTCAAAACGTGGCGAGAGTGTTTTTCTTAAATTTCACATTTTTGCGTTTTCGGTGAAGGGCTTTGTACTAGAGCTCCAACAAAACTTGTGTACAAAGAACGTACTCAATTGCCAGTTGCCACATTTCAGTATAAATCTCCGTGTTCGTCTGCTTCTCAAGCAATATTCTAAGCAGTCTCTGATAACTGATGTTCTAAATATTCCTCTCTCGACAACAAACGTTTTTGTACCTCCTATCGTCAAGTCTATGTCTTCGTTCTCTGTCTGAAAGAAAATATGAGAAGTAATGAGCGTGATCGCAAGTTTATCTTAAAGATAGGTCAGGTAGTTTTTGTTATATAGTTTATGGCGCTAATAACTTCAAATCTGGTAGCCTTTTGCGCCATTGATCAGTTCGGATTGTGTGTACCAATATGGAGGTAACTAATTTTGTTTCACTATTTTGCATCAATTTGTGTAGAAAGACTTAAACCTATGAGCAGAAGGTATATTCACTTGGCTAACTAAGACAGTCCCCAAACTAGTAAGAGAACTAAAATAAGAAAAATCGGCATAAAATTATGGCCTAACCCTAACCTGGTACACATACTACGACAGTACCCATAATTGTGTGACAGTTTGGCCTCTCCTGGTTTCGTATATGAATAAGCTCAACAATTCGCACATTTCATCAAGAGTTAGCAACACACTTGCCTTTGCACCGTGGATTACCCTGTGTGGTTTCGCAAGGTCAAATACGTGTGAAATAATTATGTGTGAAGGGCTTATTGTGTATATTGCCGCACCTGCCATGGACTGACAACCGTCTTATCGGTTTTCTTCTTCCCATGGGAATGCCGGGGAAATTAGGAAAACAGAAAAGTTTACCTACCCTTGAAATTTCTGCGAGCATCTCAATCAACCAAGGCTCTTCTTCCTTATCGATATCCGGTTCCGGGAAAAGGTCAAGTAGGAAGTCATCGTCATACGGGCAATCGGTCTGAATGTAACAGAGTGCAAGCATAATTGGTATATATATTGCAGCGGTGTGGATTCACAAATAAGTTTGTCCGCTAAGTTTGTAACACCCTCAGAAAATTTAGTGTGCTGCAAAGCCACATAATAGGTTCGATATTATGATGATGACGCCATTAAAGAACTTTATTTCTCAGCAAATATGAACGGATTTGAACAAATAGAACACAAAGCAACACGTCCGATTTTAACAGCAGTCAGACAAAAAAGAGAGAATCAGTTTGATCCAATATTTTCATAACATCATACATTCTCAACGCAAACCATTGATACATACATACCTTGGTTGCTTCAACGCTCAGACAATTCTTCACGACTTTATCCATTGAGATACAATATTTACCGGTTTCCGCCGACCAAGTTCGATTCTTTCTGAACAGAAATGAAAAACTGTGCTATTCTGTTAACACTGAAATGTAATGAAATAGATAACCAGAAAAAAGTAGGCCAATATTCGGTACTTCCGAACTATGTGAACTAAGATGGCGGACACCGGAACGTAGTATGTGTACCAGGTTATGGTTAGGCTATAATTTTTTTCCAATTTTTCCTATTTTAGTTCTATTACGAGTTCGGGGACTAGCCAAGTGACTCCCGTAGTATTTGTACCTGAAATTAAGGCCCAACTATAACCTGGCACACATACTACGTTCTGGTGTCCGCCATCTTGGTTCACATACTTTGGTAGTATCGAACATCCTAAGCCACTATACCTAACTAATCCAATCTAAGATAAACAGAATCACAAAAAGACCGAGAATTAGTGTTGGCGCAATAATGAGATAGAAGTTCTTGTCTTCTTCTCTTGTCTATTTGCTTAGTAGAGAATTTTCATATTTATTCCGAGGGAGAAGGAAACTCTATAAGACGGCTTAATCGTATGGAGTTCCACTGCCTCTCGTTTGGTCACCAGTATATATCGAGTATTGGAATATTTGTTTCAGACACTCTTTAATATGACTGTCGGACATATCCAGTTATTTATTCCAGATGTACGGACTCGATGGTAGCGGAAGTTATAACTGGCCAGCAAGGAGTCTAGCAATCCTCTTGCACATGACTATCCTCCACGGGATTCTAACCTGCGAACACAAGCAGGGTAATCAGAAGTCCAATCACAAATGTATTTCTAATTGCTCAACACGATGCGCCAGCCACTGAGTAAAAAAATCTTACTAACCTGCAATACGCAAAGTATGGTTTTCTATTTGCTTTGATGGGGATGTAATCGGGTTCATCACATTGAAAGGTACAGAACGACAACCAGTCTTGCTTCTCTGAGCAATTTCCTAATTTTGCACCAACCGGTAGTGGGCAGTGTACATCTGTAAAAAATATGGGAATATAGACAATGTGAATTAATTGATCCACTATGAAAATATGTTTGAGACAAAAAGAGCAGCTACTCCCGTAGTATATGTACCAGGTTAGGGTTAGGTCATAATTTTATTCCGATTTCCCTTATTTTAGTTCTATTACACGTCGGAGACTGTCTGTGTTAGCCAAGTGAATATACCCCCTGTCCATGGGCTTCAGTCCCTTTATACAACTTGATGTGAAGTAGGCGAAGAAATTTAGGTATCTCTATATCGGTACACATACTTATGAAGCGACAAATGAAATCTAAGTAAAAACGTCATATCTCGTTATTGGACACAAACTGACCGATCATGTGGGTCGTTTTGCTAATCAATGGTTGTTGTGGAAACATTTTTGGTAGATAAAAACAAATCGCTCTCCTTCGTAAATAATGGAACGATAAATTTGAAGTTTTTAGAGCATCAAGATGGAAGAAGCTGCTAGAATGCTATTACTCTGTTTCCAATTTTTTTTTGAGATTGTCTGGGACGTGATATTTAAGCCCAAAGTTTGCTGGTCCCTATAATTCTTGTACATACTTTGATGAGACAACAAGAGGACGTGACTCGGATGAATTTGAGATTTAGATACTTGAACCCAATATCGATTAAATTTTAATAATTGTACTCACTTGAAAATTCAACTTTAAATTTGTCTCTTTTTCTTGCTATAATTTTCAAGCTTTTCCAATCATTTAAGTTGAAATAAATTTTCTTCTGGTTTGGGTTGATCTGCTCTAACAGACGCCATGATTTCTTCGATTCTCTTTTATTTACGAAGATCTGAATGTAAGATTAGAAAATAAATATTAACGTTTGAGATGAGAGAGAGAGAGAGAGAAAGAAAAAAAATGTATGTGTGCGTTAGAGAGGGGAGGAAAGAGTACGGGTGTGTGTGTGTGTGTGAAAGAGTATAAAGTATGCATGTGTGCTGGGGGGTAGAAAGCGCGTTTTTGAGATAAGAAAACTAAAGTGACAAATTGTGGTTTACATGAGAGAGCATTGCGTTAGGCAAGAGGGAGGGATGCGAAGAATAAAATAGATCTGTAAAGATCAGGAAATTGAATTTTGAAGACTAGGTGTGAGAGGAATGTACGCAAGTGTGTGTGCATGCAGTCAAAAAAGTATGTGAGTGTCTTTATGTGCATGACATTAAAACTTTGCGCGCGCGGTGGTAAAAGAAATCGGAGCGTTAAACAGAAGAGTAGAGAGCAGGAGGGTGGGGTGGTATACAATGCTAAGGGGGTTACAGATGCGAAAATGGATGGGTGGAGGAATAGAATCTGTAACTGTACAAATAGCTCGTGTGTATATGCAAGCTAATAGAATTGATTTCCCTACACCACCGCCATCAAAGAGAGGTAGACAACCCCCTAAAATTCAAAACACTCCATAATTTAAAGATGTGACACGACATTTTAATTCCTAACAATATCCAGAAAAAGACTCATATAATCAGTCAAATACATAACACTTTTTTAGGTTACAAATATAGTTACCACTAATAACAGAATAATAACAAAACTAATAACAGACTAATACAGGATATCTACCACCCCCTTAAATTTGCAAATAACCAACAAAACAGACCTTAAAATATGTCGGTTATGCCCCGACCGGGAGATCTCAACTCATTATTGTTTTTATATGACAACTCTATACGTTTGTCATTCCAAACAAGGTACTGTCCAGGGCCGACTTCAAACAACTAATGGGCAGGGGCGTAGCCAGGAAGTATTTGAGCACCCTCCCCCCACCCCTCCCTTAACATATACAAAAAAAACAAATATTTTTTGTACCACACATAGCAATTTTTGCAGCTTGAAACGCGTTTCAGACACTCTTGAAAGACTCTGGAAAAGCTCGTTTTCTGACACTCCGACTATGATGGTGGACCATATATGCCTCATTCTAACCTCGATTTCTTTCTCAGAAATATCCAAATCCAACAGTTCCATTTTCGTCGTCCATCTTGGTTTTAGTTTTCTATATATCATGCACTCTTTGTCAGACACGGTTCCCACCATCTTTCATAGTTAGGCGATGCAGAAGAGTTTATATCGCCGGATATTCCACGGATTTCTCGTCAATCAGCTCAATGTAGCACGTGTTTACAATGTCTGCAATAAAATACATAATTTACAAAAGGAAAGCTTTAAAAAGCCCCAAGGCTTAACGACGACTTATTTAGAAGCATTTCGGCCCGATCAATGCTCTGCCTAAAGCTCTGGTTTGAAAGTGGCCACTGTTACTGTGAGGAGTATATTTTTTCTTAAAATAACCAAAATCCTTCACTTCTGGCATATTTTACACCTTGGGTGATGTGGTGGGCGTGTAATTTGACCCCGAGGTTTTAACATGCAATGCCAATATAGTTTAGTCCATGGTCCTAACCCAGTGGTTATCAAACGTTGGGGCACGCCCCACAAGGACGTCGTAGACAATTCTTTGAGAGGCTTGAAGCTAAACAAATATGAAAATATTTGTTAGATTTGATCTTGCCTGCCTAGTTTTGGATATTCACAGTCCATCCACGTATTTTCAACGTGTTTTTTAAATAAAACATACTTTCGCCTAACTATCTGTTCTTTGTAGCTCATTGATAGCTAGTTATTTTTTAGAGGAGGCGCGAGACTTGACAAATTCTAAAAGTGGGGCACGGCTTGAAAAGTTTGAGAACCCCTGCTCTACCCCTAAGGGTATCACACCAACGTACTACAGGATAGAAATATAAAGGTCTGGACAATGTATTGCTAGAATCATACCCATAACTTTGAGCTGGGGTGTATTAGTTCAGATATCAGCCATTGCATACGCATAAAGATGAGATTAGCCCTTACATAGTAAATTATGACTGACCACTACTCTCACCTAGCGTTTGCTGATAAGAGCCCTACAAAATAGTTGCACCTTAGGTATGAATTTTCTGACATACGGTCTTGCACATTATAAAAGCCTATGAATATATTAAAAATATGTTTGAAATCACATACCTGCTAACGATACAAATAAAAGAAAAACTGTCGAATTTTAAACTTCATGGCACACAATTACAATAACCGACCTGAGGTATACGCTGTAAACAATTATGAAAATGTATCAAAATAAATTTCTAAATTTAAAATAAATGTTTAAATTTTGCTTAAAATATACTAGTCTAAAATAAAATATACTAAAAATACTAGTCTACCCTCGTCAGCCTCACCCTGGCAAATTCATTGATCTCAAGAAAAATTCAAATCATAGCATTTCAATCATAGATTTATTTCGATAATTAGTTTTCGGTTTCGAAATATATGCGCTCATTCATTCCACAACAGTTTTCGTTGTAATTAAAGTTGACCTATTAGTTACGTGAAAGTTGCCGCATAGCTTTCTACTATGTTTTGTGTTGGCGGATCTGCATGTATGAAATGCAAGAATAGGTGGGTATTCTAATGCCTAATTCAAGAGTGTCTGCACACTAACACTAGCTTTTTATCCTCCTTCTTTGCTTTTGCATTCGTGAATCTGTTTGCGTATAAAGCAAGGATAAGAGAGGATTTACAGTTACATAAAGATGACTATTCTAAGTGATTGAGGAGTTCTGTTGTACACTGAAAGTTATGAAAACATTCTCAATTCATACAACATTTCAGAAAATCCCCGATCCCAAAAAAAACAACATTTTCGATTTCCTGAGTTATTTATTATATATAACATATTTATCCAAAAAGCAATAATTATGATTTTTTTTTCAACTAAATATTTTGACACATCCGACTCTTTTTATTTTTATTCATCCAAACCCCCCAAAACATACTTCCCCTCACACTCTTCCCTTGAAAACTGAACCATCTTTTACTGATCAGCCTAACCCTAAAAACCGTTTTTGACCCCAAGAAAAGAGTTTTGATTAAATTAAACATACCGTTTATAATTGCAAAGCAAAAATTTGTGTTTCGTTAAATAGGCCTAAGGGCTAATTGAGAGTGCGTTTCAAGGAGGCTGGTATTTTGAAAATAAACAAGGACTACTTTTCAGAAAGGTAGTTTAATTTACATTGAATTTATGTGTTAGATATTTAAAAAAAAATTATAAAGAGGGAGGGGGGGGGATTTTTCATAATGCGTTTTGCTTATTCGTAATGAACAAGGCTCTTTGCATGCAGCTACTGGCATGTAAAAATACCATCTTTAAAAAGGGTCAGAAATTTTTCATTTTGGCATATCTGCTCCACCCAATGTTATTACCCCCTGAAGAAGATAGCGGGCATGGGATTGGAACCTGCGATGTTAAGATTATCAGAACTATAAAGTCTTCAGCGCAAATTACCTGTAGAAGCATATATTTTATATCCGAAATAACTTCTGTTTTCGGTAAATATACTAACTTTGAAATGTTGGGGTATTTTTTGTATTTTTTAAAAGTTTTCCTTATCGAGATGGAACACCCGATATTCCGCATTTTTAAGCAGATGTTGTCGTTGGTTGGTTTCGATTCCGCTGATTAAATAAGTCTTGTTTATGAGTCGAATGTGTAAGTTAAATTAATATCGGGTAAATCATTGGTTCTCAATCTCAATTTCTTATGAACCATATTCAGCGTCAAAAGAAATCAACAAACCTTTATTAAATTTTTATAGGGTGCTCCCGAAGTATGCGAACCAAGATGGCGGACATCGGAACGTAACATGAGTAACAGGTTAGGGTTAGGCGATAATTTTTTTTCCAATTTACCTTATTTTAGTCCTATTATCAGTTCGAAGACTAGCCAAGAGCCTCCCGTAGTATTTATACCTAAAATTACGGCCTAACCCTAACCTAGTACACATATTACATTTCGATGTCCGCCATCTTGATTCGCATACTTTGGGAGCCCCTTTTATAGTAAATTAAACTATAGAATAGTGTTTCTTAACCTGATCGAACCCTAGGGTTTGGTGGAGCTGTTTCAGGGGTTCGACGAAGATCCTCCAGAATAATTTTAGCTTTTGGATTTCAAAAGTTGCAATTTTTGCCATGTCTATTTGTTGTCTTGTTGCAATTTATGTGGCCTTATACCCAACAAATTTGTCTATTGAAGGCGGTTTGGGGTTCGACGAAAGGGTACTCCTGAAGTATGCGCACCAATATGTCGCATAACCTAAACCCTAATCTGGTACACAACCTGGGTTCAGGTTGTGCGCCATCTTGGTGCGCATACTTCAGGAGGTCCAGATTCCAGGGTCACGTAGGGGTTCAGTAAACTTGCAAAGGTTAAGAATGAGGCTGGGCATTTTCAAATATCTGATGATTTCAGAATCGAATCGAATAATTTTTTCGAATCGAATCGAATCTCGAATACTTGAAAAGTATGAAATTGTATGTAACTTTCTTATTATTTTAGGTCCTCCAGACACATAAATTACTGGAAACATAGAATACATTCCTGACAATAAAGAAAAACACGTTTTCATCAATACCTCAATACAGAAAAGAGTCATATGTCAGAATTGTGTTGAAAAAATATGGCTTCAATGAAAAAAAAAATTGAGAAATTTGAATTTATGAATTTATGTGTTAGATATTTGAAAAATATATATAAAAGAGGGAGGGGGGGGATTTTTTACATATTGCGTTTTGCTTATTCGTAATGAACAAGGCTCTTTGCATGCAGCTACTGGCATGTAAAAATTACCATCTTTAAAAGGTTCAGAAATTTTTCATTTTGGCAATATCTGCTCCACCCAATGTATTACCCCCTGAAGAAGATAGCGGGCATGGGATTGGAACCTGCGATGTTAAGATTATCAGAACTATAAAGTCTTCAGCGCAAATTACCTGTAGAAGCATATATTTTATATCCAAAAGAACTTCTGTTTTCGGTAAATATACTAACTTTGAATTGTTGGGTGTTTTTTGGATTTTTTAAAAGTTTTCCTTATCGAGATGGAACACCCGATATTCCGCATTTTTAAGCAGATGTTGTCGTTGGTTGGTTTCGATACCGCTGATTAAATAAGTCTTGTTTATGAGTCGAATGTGTGAGTTGAATTAATATCGGGTAAATCATTAGTTCTCAATCTCAATTTCTTATGAACCATATTCAGCGTCAAAAGAAATCAACAAACCATTAATAAATTTTTATAGGGTGCTCCCGAAGTATGCGAACCAAGATGGCGGACATCGGAACGTAACATGAGTAACAGGTTAGGGTTAGGCGATAGTTTTTTTTTCAATTTACCTTATTTTAGTCCTATTATCAGTTCGAAGACTAGCCAAGAGCCTCCCGTAGTATTTATACCTAAAATTACGGCCTAACCCTAACCTAGTACACATATTACATTCCGATGTCCGCCATCTTGGTTCGCATACTTCGGGAGCCCCTTTTATAGTAAATTAAACTATAGAACAGTGTTTCTTAACCTGAGTTTGATCGAACCCTAGGGTTTGGTGGAGCTGTTTCAGGGGTTCGACGAAGATCCTCCAGAATAATTTTAGCTTTTGGATTTCAAAAGCTGCAATTTTTGCCTTGTCTATTTGTTCTCTTGTTGCAAGTTATGTGGCCTCATACCCAACAAATTTGTACTCCGTCTATTGAAAGCGGTTTGGGGTTCGACGAAAGGGTACTCCTGAAGTATGCGCACCAATATGTCGAATAACCTAAACCCTAACCTGGTACACAACCTGGGTTCAGGTTGTGCGCCATCTTGGTGCGCATACTTCAGGAGGTCCAGCTTCCAGTGTCACGTAGGGGTTCAGTGAACTCGCAAAGGTTAAGAACCACTGCTATAGAGTAAATGATGTCAATGGCCAAACTATTCCGCGTGTCTATTTATCAGCTTGTCAACCATGGTTGAATTTCAGTCATACATTTTTACTCGGGCCCCACTGTAGGCCCATTTAAAAACTTATGAGAAACACTGGGCTAACTAGCTTAATATCTTTCATGTACTTGGTTTTCATGAAGTCATGATACAGTTCAATTTGTTATGAAGTCAGTTCTCAATATATCATAACCAGGTCTGTTTTATTTAAATCATGGTTTAAATCATATTAAATTTTTGTTTACCTCATTTATTATACATGCAGAAGCCATCACAATACATAAATTCACTTTGCAATTTAAAAAAAATTGAGACTATATGACGACCCTGTATATCATAGGCGTGATTGCCTTATTGTTTAGGCTTGCTCTTTATCGGCATCGGATATTAATGAACTTGTTTCAATTAACCGTGCAGGCAAGGGCGTAGCCAAGGTGAGGTTGAATCCCCACTTTTGAAAGGTAAAAAAACAAACAATTTTCGGTACCCCTGAAGTATGCGCACCAAGGTGTCGCACAACCTGAACCCAATTTTTTGTAGCATGCAACGCATTTTAGATCGTTAAGTCAATTTGTAAACCCACGTTATCCGTTCTCCACCGGACCTGGGCACTTCGAATCGAATATTCGAATAGTAAATTATTCGAATCGGTTCAGAGCCAAATTTTGAATCGCCGCCATCTTGTTTCATTTTTCATTCCGCCAATGGTCGAGGTGAATTACACAATTTTTTTTATTGCAACCATATTTTTTCAATGCAATTCTGAAATATGACTATTTTCTGTAGTGAGTTAATAATAAATAAGTGTTTTTCATTGTGTGTGAACGTTCGTCAATCTGTCTTAGTGATGTATTCTATGTTTTCAGTAAATTATTTGTTGACAAGACCAATTACAATAAAAAAGTCGCATACAATTACATATCTCCCACTGACTCCCAAGTATTCGAGATTCAATTCGAAAAAAATATCCGATTCGATTCTGAAATTATCAGGTCTTCGAAACTGCCCAGCCTTACGGCTACAAACTGATACGGTCTAACTCGCCAATCAGAAATTTAAGAACCTGCGTATATAGGCAATGGCGAAATAAAAAATTTGTTTAATTATAGAATATATTAGATCCTGACATATCAGTATCTGCTTGCATAGAGCCTTGCTCAGAGTGGAAGTTTGCAAACGTCTCAGATAAAAACATACGGACTCACGGTCGCTCTCTGGTAACCCCCAGGTTTGTCCATGGGAATTGGATTCCTATGGAATATAAAGTTAACAAAGTCCGTAAATTTATTTGTTTTGCATGTCTCTTCGTACAATGTAGTTCTAGTTAGTAGACGCTAAACCTAATGTATTCCAATGGGGGATGGAATGGGACAGGCATAATTGATATGGGATGGGATGGGGATGGGACAGGAAAATATGTCCCTTGGACAAGTCTGGGTACCCGCCCCCCCCTCCCCCCAAAAAAATCCAATATATCTATTTTATTCATAGACAAGCTAGTGGACCAGTGATTACGGCTGCAAGTCCAGCTATATTCTAGTTACTATCTAGTACACAATTATTCCAATCTATGAAGAAATTGAAAATATGGAAAAACTTGAGGAATATCTTTTCAAAGACTTGTTCCTCTGACACAGGGGCAACCTACGGCTCGCGGAATGAAATAATCCGGCCGCGATGCTTCACTGAATTATAGCGAAAAAACAGCGGTTTTGATGGTGAATTAATTTTATAATCCACGCTCGAGGAGTAGATTATATATTTCACGTAACAGAATTTATTGTGAGACATGTGTTGGTTGAATCATATTATGACCTAACAATTTAGTGAACAGCTAGCTGCTCGTTTAACGAGCCTACAACTTAAATATATTTAGACAAATGGCAAAACGCAGAAAAGTTGATGCTGAGTGCAGGGGTTCAATAGAAAATATTCGAATAGAGCTTCCTGAAGTTGTAATGCAATGAGGAAATAAAATCCATATCCTATTTGAGAGATGTATCACTGCCTGATTTTTGTAAAAAGTAGCTTCTTGAAAGTAATTTCTATCCAAATTTGACAAATCATGCGGAAAAATTCATATCAATGTTTGGAAGTACATATACGTGCGAACAGTTATTTTCGAAAATGAACAAGCTAAAAACTCGGATTAGTGATTCCCATTCAGAAAATGTTCTGATCTTGGCTCCACCCAGTGTGCCGCCTGATGTTGAAGAGCTATCAAGCGTGGTGCAGCAATAAGCATCACATTATTTAGTAAGACGACTGAGTTGAGTTCACGAGTTGTCGTAGTCTTCGCGCGATGTTTAAAATCGAAAATTCCAACTTCTGATATGTGTGAAAAAATTGTGATTCATAGCCCATCTGTTCGATTTTCACCTTTCTAAATATATATATATATATGTGCGGCCAAGACTTACAACCCTTAGTTTTGGTCCTCGAGCGACAAAAGTTGCCGACCCCTGTTCTAATGTATCCAGAAGTCTCTAGCCAAAATGATATACGCTCATAAATGTATTGATGATTGCCAAGGGGTGCTACTATTAATTAGCATTAGCACTAACACACACTGTTAGAACACAATTAACCATCATATATTCCGTCTAGGATTTTCAACAAATCCGCTTTTAAGTCTCAGAACACCACTTTCTACGACTTCAATCACATCTATATTTTGTATAGCCCGGGGTTACACTGTGTTTTTTGCGGTGAAGTGATTTGTTTTGAACCTCAGGAATTGCTGGAATACATTGCAGCATCGATCAGAATGGATTATGTGATTTGCAATGATAGACGAGTGCTTAGTTATAGCTATAATTGTTCGGTTTACAGGTTTGAATCCCGTGTCCACGCAGTGTTCATGTAAACACTGGTCTATTACGGCTTGCTCCTCAATCGAAACACAAGTATTTGGTACGGTGAAATAAGTTGCCATTACCATTTCTTTCGTGGTTAGGTGGGCGCAATAGCCAAGTGTCTGGGAGCCCTATTTATTATAGCTATGTTAACTAGGTTTGTGAGTTCAAATTCTGTGGGTAATAATTAAGTGAGAAAGGATCGCTAGATATGTCGCAGAATGGTTTGCATTGTCGTCGGTTAATTACGGTTTTTTTCATCATCAAGATATACTAATTCGGAACAGCTATTTGATTATATATTTATTCCCAAAGAGGATATGGACTGGTAACCGGACGAGAAGCCGTGGTGCGCCATATGACTATGCCGTCTTTTTGCTTTGAAACGCTGGGAAGCAGAATGAAATATTTCCTTGTTTTAGGCAAGATAGTGGTTAGATGCGACTAGATGCTGCGGTTATGAGGTTTACAGATTCTTTTCTCCTTGATATCGCTCATTAAAAAAAACCGGAGCTTTGAATTACCAATGGTTGCTTGTTGTTCGCTGATCGTTTCCAGACTGAATATGCTTAATGTAATATAAAACTTTGGAGAATTATTGAAATGAAGATTCAGATACTATTAATCGTAACTCTATATTGCGCAGAAGGTGAGTGTAATATGTATCAAATGTTTTTACCCGAAAGTTTTTCCAACAACATGGTAACTTTCATCGGGTATTTCACACATTTGCTTCTCTACTCTCCATCAACGGTGCATCATCTACTTGTTTATTCAAGATTTATGACAAAAAGTCCGATTTGTAGAATCACCTATCACCTAACTAATGTCTTTCCAAATTGGCTACTATTCCCCGAAATATCCCAGTCTTTCAAGAAAGAATAGTCTTTCAAGAGAGAATAGTATCTCTTTACATGTCGTTAGACATCGGCGAATATCTGTAAAGAGGCCTTGTTTGGGGTGAAAGCGGCCAATACGCTTCGTATATAGAAAAATACTAGACACCGCAGATTCAAAATATTGGTTTCAAATCCCATTCCTTCACCCCATCCAGGTGTGATGGAATAGATATTCGATACCGGGCTGCGGTGATTTTGGTCTTTTCAAGAACCTCCAGAAATATGTGCACCAAGATGGCGCGCAACCTAAATTTGTAGTTGTACCAGATTAGGGTTCAGTTTGTGCGCCATCTTAGTACACATGCTTCGGGAGCGCCCTTTTCAAAATAAGAGCTTTTTATAAAGTCAGTAACGACTTGCACATAGTCTTTTTTTTTTTGTGTCAAGGAACTTGCCATCAATTTTTTATTCTCCCAGTCTCAGCTCAACTATGCCACTACCGGATGCCATTCTCAAGCGGGATCGTGTTCTACCCACTAAATGAAGGACAGACAAAAGGACACGTGGCCCCTGAGGGTTGGAGAAAAAATGAGACCGATATATGTATGATGTACATGCCGTTAGAGTCGGATAAAACGATCAAATTGATCTTTAGACACGTGGATGTCGGAGAAAATAAAATTTTGGTAAGTTTTGAAATAAACTGACTGTTATTTTTACCCTTCGGTTGAGAGAATTTACTCAAAGCTGGCAAGGTCAAGATATTCAGATTTAGATATTCATTCCGCAAAATCAATTGTATTAGCAATGAATACTGATGCTATTTTTGATACTGAGTAGTAATTCTCATTTTGATTATTAAAGTGTCTATCTTTGCAAAAATAATCACGTAGTTTGTCTCTTCCCTGAGAAAGTTAAGGGCCGCAGAATTTTTTGTGCAAAAAAAAGAGGGCCACGACAGAAAAAAAGGGTTGAGAACCACTGGTCTAACGCATCAACAAATTGACCCCTATTTTCACGTCAAATTTCACATTCAGATCGAGACGTCACAAACGAAGAACAACGCAACTTGGGAGACACTCCGTACTATCACAGGCTATGAGCGAGAAGTTGTGATTGAAACTTCCGATATTAACGCTTTGAGAATATCAACGAAGAAAAAGGCTGGGCGATTCATGCTGTTTTATCAGGGTAATGACTAGTTGTGAGGTTTGAGGGTTCGCATTGGTTTGGGCGAATAGTATCTTGTATTGATAACAGCCATTTACATATCGTTAGATGGGACACTATTTCGAGCGTAGCGCGTGAATGGACATCGCATAAGAAACGTTGCTAACGCAGTCAATTTTATATCAAGTCCGACGGTTTGGCGCATCGTGATAAGCATTAGGAATACGCTCGCCACCGCACCTCTGATTACCAGATGCCTTTTGAGAACCGTGTTCACATATTAAAGGTCATTGGACGCTTCCGTAGTATGTGTACCAGGATGACGGACACCTAAACATAGTATGTGTACCAGGTTAGGGTTAGGCCATAATTTTACTCCAATTTTCCTTGTTTTAGTTCTATTACGAGTTCGGAGACTAGCCAAGTGACTCCCGTAGTATTTGTACCTGAAATTATGGCATAACGCTAACCTGGTACACATACTACGTTCCGGTGTCCGCCATCTTGGTGCACATACTACGGGAGTACCGGTCATTGCTCTGTAAATATCTTGTCCAGAGCCTTGTTTCGAGTGAAAATGGAAACAGCATTATGGCTCATCTGAGTTACTTCTTGAATATCACGTAGTAGAACACGTCATACTTACAATGACGTCATCTCTCACATTCAGAACGTTTTTGTGAAGAGCCAGATCCGAAGATAGTAATCAAGAAGAGATGTTCCAGATCATTCGAGCTGTACTCCATCTGTAGTTTTGTGTGTAGGGTTCCCTACTACCCGGCAATGAGCGCAAATGCAAAAGATTTCTTTACGACTTGCATGTAAGTAGAATATTTCATCGCAAAAATGCTGTGGCGTACTCTTGGCGCCATGGGAAAGTCCCCATGGTGCCATGTTCAAAATGCCATGGTAATAATGGTGCCATATTTTGTTTTGTAATTAGTGAAATGCCAGAGCTTCCATTTGACATCATTAAAACGTCTTTATGGTAGTCTTGAAGCTATAAAATGTATTTATGGCGCCATAGTTTGTTTTTAAGATGTCACGGGGTTATCTTGGCGCCAAATTTATGAAACGGTGCCACGTTTTATATTTTAATTTCCAACGTGATCAGCATAATCACAAACCCATAATTGCAATGAATTCTTGTCTACGCGTCGAAAACTCATAAAAAGTAGAATTAACTGCGATTAATTAAAAAAATACAAAAAATAATTTTTCAAACTATTTTGCATTTTCAATGTTCATGTATAAAATATATTATAAAATATTTCTTTCAATAAATTGCTACTTTTTACTCGGTGATATTAATTAATTACTACTTGTTCACAGTAAAAATTACAGTTTTTTTAGGTATTTTAATTCCGGTCAATTACTATGCGATATTTTATACAGGCAGGATAAAACGTGGTCGCGTGGAATGACAGAGGCCTGTTCTACTTATGACGAAGTGATTCGTAACTGTCTCGTTCTGAAGAATGTAAGTAATAAGCTCTATTCCAGAGGTCGGCAACCTTTTGTCGCTCGCGGGCCAAAATGAGGGTTGCAAGTCATTGGCGGGGCGCACATATTTTTAGAAAGTTAAAAACCGAACGGATGGTACTTTTTATAATCAAGCAGTGATACATCTCTAGAATAAAATATAGGTTTATTTCCTCATTACATCTCAAAAAATTCCATTCGAATATTTTCGGTGCCATTGAACCCTTTGCACTTAGCATCAACTTTTCTGCGTTTTGTTGCCATTTGTCCTATTATAATTAAATTATAGGCTCATTAAACGAGTACTTGTGAATTTTATACTGGTTAGATTATAATATAATTTAGTCTACACGTGTCTCAAAATAAATTCTGTTACGTAAAGAATATGATCGTCAAAACAGTCGTTTTGTTACTATAATTCAGTGAAGCGTCGCGGGCCGGATTATATTTACTCCGCTGGCCTGATCTGCCGTAGGTTGCCGACCCTTCCTTTATTCATATAAGGTGTTGCGCTTTTTCTCTGAACAAAGCACTGTAGCAGCAGTCACTGATGTAAAGCGGCAGCCCGCTCAATTCTTATTGAAAACAAACTGATAATACATTTTCAGGACTTATGCGAATACACCGTTGAAGAAATAGCAGAAATAGTTCCCGAGGACGACAACATACCTCTGATGCACGACAGCTTTGATAATTTGATATTTGAGGCCAGAGTTCAATTTCTATCGACCAATGTACCGGTAATATTTATTCTCCATTCCTTCGTTGTACTTTATGATAGGATAGGATTTACATATTTATTCCGAAGGAAAAGGAAGACGAATACGATGGCCTAGTTATATGGCAAACCACGGAATCACGTCCACTTATCATTCCATGTCGGGTATGGGATTAGTTAGCCAGTTATTCGTTTTAGGTGCACTGACTTGGTGGTAGAGAAAGCCGTTACAGACTAGCGGTTACGTGAATCATCCCACGGCGGTGAGGAGTCCAGCAATCCTCTCGCACATAACTATCCAAGCATGGGATTCGAACCTGCGAATCCAGGCAGAGTAATCAGAGGTGCGGTGGCGAGCTAACGCTCAGTACGATAAGCCACGCTGCCGGTCTCGTTATTAGAAGCTTTTATGCAGTCACTCTGCACAAGCAGCATTGGTGGGGAGTTAGAATCGGAGTAGACTTTCTAATTCTGTGATGTGTATTGTTCTCTAGCAGTGGCGTATCCAGGAATTTCCAACAGGATTGAGGGTTATGAAATTTTCCAATTGCTCATTCCTAATTACTAATCCGGCCGGAGGCCGAAAAGCGTGAGTTAAATTTCTGATTCCGTATTCAGTAGCGAAGTCGAGGTGTAATTTTCTGATTCCATATTCAGTAGTGGAGTTGAAATTTTGTAAACCCGGATCTGGAATCGCGAGACGTTTTTCAAATTGCTTTAAAGCCGGATTTAAAATACACCTCACCCCATATTCGCATGGTTAACTTGGAACATATTTTTTTTCAGCACGATTCGGAAGGGCTTGCAAACATGCCAGCATTCGATAATTGTCATGTTCACTGTCTGAAGACTAGATCAACAGATGCGTTCAAGTTTGAGTGCAAATCGGACGCTTTGAGTAAGTTATTTATATTGAGATTTATTTTTTCGTAAGTATCCATGCATCTCTATTAGTACCAGGATCTTAGCTAGGGTGATGGGAATCCTTCTTGGTAGATCGGGCGGCAAAAATAACAAGTAATCCTAAGCGCGCGTTGCACAAAGATAATGTATTGAAATATTTAATAAAGATATTGATAGAAATATAGATGATATGTAGCTGAGCGTTGATTGGGCACTCGAATTGAATTTTGAATCGTCCTGCTTCGAACAATGTTATCGTTAGATGTCTCTAGCGTGCCTCAAACAAAAAGCGGCGAAAATTCTAGATTTTAGACCGATGGATTGCGATTGCACTAACATAACTTTTGAAGCGCTTTATTGGACCTAAATTTGATTTCGAAATGCTGAGCAAAAATGAGGCACTTCAGAAATATGTGTGTGTACCTATATGGGGGTAATTGGGATAATTTTTTTTGCCTAATTCACATCAAGTTATATAAACGGACTGAAACCTATGGGCAGGAGGTATATTCACTTGGCAAACACTGACAGTCCACAAACTCATAAAAGAACTAAAATAAGGAAAATTGGAATAAAATTATACCCTAACCCTAACCTGGTATACATACTACGGAAGTACCGATAATAAAACAGTTGGTAAGCTATGTACAATGTCGCCAAAGGCGTCGTCGATCGGCGTGTACAGGCGGTTTACGCACCGTTATAATTATACACAGTTATTATAGCTCTTAGCATTCCAGGGATCTTTTGTACGAAACCCTCTGCCAAAGGAACACTCCCGCCACCGCTCCAAATAAAAAAAGGGCTCCCGAAGTATGCGAACCAAGATGGCGGACATCGGAATGTAATATGTGTACTAGGTTAGAGTTAGGCCATAATTTTAGGTATAACTACTACGGGAGGCTCTTGGCTAGTCTTCGAACTGATAATAGGACTAAAATAAGGAAAATTGGAAAAAAATTATCGCCTAACCCTAACCTGTTACCCATGTCCGATGTCCGCCATCTTGGTTCGCATACTTCGGGAGCACCAAAAAAAATTAGTATTTATTTAGTTAGAGTTAGAGTGAGGGTGAAGGCTAAGAATGCAGATTGCGCAGGAAATTAATCCTAACCCTAAGAGGATAATTACTAATTTGGGTATTCCTGGAGTATGCGCACCAAGATGTCGCACAACCTGAACCCTAACCTGGTACACAACCTGAGTTCAGGTTGTGCGCCATCTTGGTGCGCATATTTCATGAGGTCCCTAATTTGTTATTTTGAAACGAGACAGTTTTTTTTCTCAAGTCTCACATTTCTGCATTAGTGCTGGGGGCTTCGTACGAATGATATCATTTCAGCAGTCGTCCTTAACTTGGGCTTTGAGATGCGTCAGTGCGAGTGATCCGCTAACCTGCTATTTACACGTCAGCTTTTTGTTGAAGTTTTTTTGTTGTTGGGTGGCTTATCAGGCTAGGTACGCACCATTAGATCTTAGCCTTATTTTGTTTGGTTGTGCAAAGACTTGTGCGGAGTGAAAGCGCATAAATATGTCATGCACATATATAGATAGATGTTGTTTATATCCTTTCCTATTCCAAACCCTTTATTTTTTTTATAATTATAAGAAATACAAAGCACTTTGTAAAATAGTATTTCGTTCTGAACTTTAGAAATAAGGCCACTCAAATTTTCTTTGCCGAGGCTAAATTAATTCCGCTAAATTATTCTATTTTTACTTTCCAGCAAATGATCAGAAAAAGGATTGTATTTTATGCCGACATTCTGAAGACGAATGCAAAAACCATACTTTGTACACTTGAAGCGTGGAGGAAGTTAAAAAAAAACTTTTTGTGCGTAAACTGTAAGGTGTTTCCCCCGGGGATTTTAGAATAAACTATTTCATTTTTCCTGAAATTCTTTTTTGATCATAAAAACCAATTGCCTTCTGTAGAGTGCCAAACTAGCGGATGAAATGCCTACGCAAAATAATAACTTTGTTTGCGTGTGGTATTTCTCCCAGGAATTTTATAATAGACTATTTCAAGTTTTTTCTCACTATAAAACGTCTAACATTTTAGAGCAATAAATTACAAAATAAATCGGCTTCGATAACAGAATTGACTAAATAATGAATTTATGCTTGTGCGCAACTTTTCAATGAGCCCTACCTACCAAACTCCCATCACATTAAAAAAAATTGCGTCACACAGTCACATGTTGTAGTAACACTTTCAATTTAACACATATTTAGGGAGTTCTCCATCCCTCCTCCCAAAGCCATTGAACATTTTGTTCCAACATTTCTCTTTTTTTTTTAAATCTTTGATTACTCACCACCCAAGGTGGTCCGTTTTATGTGTCACAAACCCCAGGTCATTAACCTCGCGTGCAAAAGGTTATCTAAGTTCACGCAATCATTTTATCGCATAATTTTTCAGTAATTAATGTGACAGCTACAATAAATCAAGCCTATATTGTGTGCTCAGTACTACGAGGCGCTCGGTGATAAAAATGCTTTGTGGTGAGGCCATATCATCAAGGATAAATTACTAGAAATCGTTTCCGTTCTCATTTATATGACGTTTCTAGCGTGCAGTGACCTACCCATGCATCTGGAACAAATAACTGGTTAACTAATCCCATACCCGACATGGACTGGTAACCGGTCGATAGGCCGTGGTTAGCCATATGATCAAGCCGTCCTATCAACTTTCCTATTATATTGAGCCCTGCTTATAAAGCAATGACATTCATTCATATAAAAAGTCATTTTTTCTTGCCAAAACACCCTTGCATTATACGCTTACATACTGACCCAACAAGTTCGAATCATACAAAAGTATCGGATAGTTAGCCACTCGGAAATACATTTGTGACAGTGTGCAGCAAGACTCTTAAATCACATAGAGAGAGAGAGAGAGAGAGAGAGAGAGAGAGATATTTATTGTTTTGTCAACGAGAAAACAAACGACAAACGAAAAAATATATACAATATACACAAAGTTAGTTAGAATAGTTATTACTTATCGATTTTAATCGGTAAGTATGTGGATAGGTTATTGTCTGTTTGTCTGTCTGTTTGTCTGTTAGATGCACGCGATATCTCACGAAAGCGAAATCGAATCTGCTGACGATTTTTCATGTTCATTCATTATATGTCGTACCAGGAGTCTATTGATTTTGGATGAATTGTGTCGTATAATTAGCGAGTCATTAATTAATTAGTGATGGGACACAAAGTGTCACTATGGAGTAAGAGCGCTGTTTTGGGGATCCCCTAACTTTCGATCGATAAGTCTGAGGTCTCTGACCGATATTCTCGTCTTTACTCTTGCTACATTTTTCAATATGCGCATATGTACACATCAGTACCGAGCCATAAGTTAAGAATAAGGAGTTAGTCACACATAAATATATTTGTGTTAGTGTGCAGCAAAACTCTTGAGTCACTTAGAAAAGTAATTTTCACTGTTGCTGCAGCATCTTTGCATTATAAACATGGGCTCAATAACACAAATGCACAGAAGAAGCATTAGTTCTCGCGTGATCACCACATTCCAATAATAATTAGCTGAAGTTTTTTAAAAGCATTTGCGGCAACGTAAAGTTCGTTTTGTTGTTCCGTGCGAGGGGGTTACTGCAGATACAATTTAACGAGGTCAGTGTACATAAAACATAAAAATTTGTGATTCGAATAGCGATAGTTATGTGAAAACGCATAAATCATGTTTGCAATATTGGACAGATATGAAGGCGTGTACTAAACTTTCTAAAATCTAAAACGATTGTGATTTTGCACTGTTTTAGCATTTCAATGGTAGTCTCTAACTTTTCTTAGAAATAACTTTTTTTTACTTTTGAGTGAGTCGCCTAGCTTTATGCAGTTATACTTGTTAGAGGATATGTCGCACATCCGTGTCTTAGGCCAGTAAGATATTGAGCATGTAGTCTCCGTAATACTGTTAAATTAGTATGCAGATACAGTCACAATTTTAAGACAAATAAACATGCATACATACATTTTCAGTAGATCTCGGTACTCCTGAAGTATGTGAACCAAGATAGCGGACACCGGCACGTAGAATGCATTATGATTACACAATTCATGCACAAAAAAGCAAAAACACCCTGTGAAATAACCTTATCAAGCAATGAAACTAGGAAAAACGGGGAGTATCTATGTAGAGTGGAAAGTAGAATTAGTTTTTCGCCTAGCATATTTGCCCAACTTCTTTGTGGTCTTTTTAAGAGGTCGATAGCTCTCGAGTAGAAACCGCTGCCTTAATATCTATGCTTATACCCGATTAGTTCAACTGATTCCTGGGCCATTGCTCAACAATTCAATTTCGAATCCAGCTTAGAATTCTAGATAGCTTAAACCGAACTAGATCGCCATGAAGACTTCTACCTATATACTCTGCTGTATCCTGACTGTTACGACTATTGGGATGACGTTCACAACCGGAATCGAGTCAAGTAAGTTTTCCATCATTTTTGTGACGTAATAAATGACGTAATGATAATGTCATGTTTAAAAATACAAACGAATTTCGAGTTTCTAATATTCATTTCTTAAACATTTTCTAGGTAGGCGAATGACATTGTAAGTGACAATAATTAATTTTTAATTTATTAGTGGAAACAAAGTAATTCACGGCTTGGCATATTCAGTACCTAATCATTTTGTGGAGTGAGTGACGTAATATTTGACCTAATAATAATATTGTTATGAAGGGTAGAAATGAATAGGTTTTTCATTGGCGTAGTTAAGGATAATGGGATTTCGAAAAAAAAAATAAAAAATTCGGAGCTGTTGTACGTCTGATTGGCATTCGCATTTTATCCGACCAAACTTTCGCATAAATATTAACCTAATATGGATATCATTTAATTTTCTACCAATAAAATCCAGGTACATGAAACTGTAAACAGCATTAGCGTTTTGATTGCGTATTCGTGTTATTCCCATACGCAACATGGACCGGTAACTGGCCCAGAAGCCGCTTTATACTAGAAAGCAATTTTTTAAGTAAATTGCCACAACGCAAATTTTCACAAGGATTCGCCACAACGCAAATTTTCACAATGATTCGACACATCATGAATTTTCACAAGGATTCGACACATCGCAAATTTCCATAATGAATTCAATCTATCCTGAGGCTAATACGGAAATTCTATCCTAATAAGTGCATGATGTATTGATATCTAGGCGTTCAGAATAATTTTTAGGTTTAATTGGAAACTTTGACTCCGGCACTTTAACTTTTTTCTATTTCAACTTTGACTTCATATCTTTATTTTGTCGATAATGAAAAATTTCTGTTCGAGAAATAGCTTTGACTATGGGATCCAAATTGACTAAGTTGGCTGAATAAAACAAAACTAAGAAATAATCGATCGTCTCAAAACAGCCGCCTTCCAGTTAGTGACACCTCGTTTGAAGCCTTTCTCAGACATAAACAATGCCATGACGACAAAAATACCGTGGTTTATCTCTAGTGCAGGGGTCGGCAACCTTTTTGTCGCTCGCAGGCCAAAGTTAAGGGTTGCAAGTCATTGGTGGGCCGCACATATTTTTAGAAAGTTGAAAACCGAACGGATGATACTTTTTCTAATAAAAATCAAGCAGTGATACATCTCTCGAATAGAATATAGGTTCATTTCCTCATTACATCTCAAAAAATTCCATTTGAATATTTTCAGCGCCATTGAAACCTTTGCACTTAACATCAACTTTTCTCGTTTTGTTGCCATTTGTCTAATCATAATTAAATTATATGCTTATTAAACGAGTAATTGTGAAGTATATACTTGTTAGGTTACAATATGATTCAGTCTAAAGAATATAATCGTCAAAACGGCTGTTTTGTTGCCGACCCCTGCTTTAGTGTGTGCAATTTTACTACAATAGAGTAGTTTGAAGTATTTTTTTCTATCACATTTGAGTGACATATTTTCTAAAGTTAAGTACGAAATTTATTTTGCAAAGTGCTTTGTATTTCTTATAATAATATTAAAAAATTTCACTAATTACACCCAACTTGTTTAACAGAGGCCAACCAGCTCTGGAAAGAACAAATGTCAAGAATGGACAAGATTATATCTGAATATAAGGTGCAGTGAATTTATATTTTTCTTGAAAATATTTAAAAGATTAGAGTAAACTCTTTTCTGAAAAGTTAAATGTATAAAAACTAATTTCTGAAAAATATTCGAATTACATAAAAAATAAAAAAATTGACTGTGGAAAGCCGAGCATAATATACTTTATGTCATAACGCCTAATTTATATTCAAGCAGTTGTGCTGGATGCGGTGATTTTACAATGGTTAAAGTGAGATCAGACTTCCCAAGTAAAATTCCATGCCCTTGGACATAAGCTTGAACGAGGATTAGTAAAAATCCATTTTCCAACAAAGTGACATTTTATATATTTGATTTTACTGCAGCGATATTTTGATATACTTGAGTATATGACCTTGTTCTAAACTAGGGGTGTGCCACCTTCAATACAGGAGGGCCAGATACAAATAACTGGGTGAAACTACCTTTATTTAATTACCATAAGATTTCTATTGTTTCTGTCATATGTAGGCATTAAAATGTTTGCTATTTATCTTATGACATGCGTTGTTCGCTTCGAAGAAGCTAGCTCAGGGTGGTCAAAGGTTATCGGCTCCGCGGGCCACAAATTTGTTTTTTCATTGTTCGCGGGCCACAATAGTGCCAGGAATAGGTAAACAGTGCAATACAAAGCAAACACTTTTATTGTGCAAACACATAGCTATCAGACATAGCCATCACAGGCTAATAGATTTCGCATTCGATTTTTAGTTTTTTGTGATGACTATATTGTTAGCATATATTCCCGACCAAAAAGATAGAAAGCCAGATAATGATTTAGACTGCCAAGCACATCATTTAACTTCGCCAGTTGCCTCAGCTAGCCATAACACTAGTCAATTCAGTGACATTAGTGATGCAACAATATGTCAAAAGATTTTTCTGATTAGTTTGATTACGAAACAACACGAAATGCGATTTATTGGTTACTCTCCGCATGTGACGCGGGCCACAGATAATGGAGCGGGTCTGTGCACATGTGGCCCGCGGGCCTGGTTTTGGACCACCCTGAGCTAGCTGTTACAGCACTGTTAAGTATTGGAATTACTCGCGCGTAACAAATTAAACTAAATTAAAAACTCGTCCTTCTGGTCGCACAACATTCAAATCGGCTTCGGCATTTCTCCGCGCGCCGCCCAATTTTTCCCTGTTGGCCGCATTTGGCCCGCGAGCCGCAGGTTGCGCACCCCCGTTTTAAAGTAAACATGAATGAATAAATTTTGTTTCAGTTACCGAAGTCAGAGAATCAGAAAAACTCTCGAATGATTGGGCTTCCATTCTTCGACATCAATTTTGTAGACAACTTCAAAGATGAAACAACAGGTATGTAGATGAAAAATACTTTCGTACTTTTTTTTTGGTGTTGGGGGGTGGTACTAGATACCCACAAAAGTGAGAAAAAAATAATTGAGTGAACATCAGTGGAAAGCGTATTTCTTACGATTAACACGTTACGCCATAACTACCTGCCCGGGGCGTCTGCCTCTATGCAAGTTTGCTTTGACAGTAGTGATCACTAATATGCCGTGCTGCTTTGCTAGGGTAGCCACGGTGGGCAAATTGTCGATTATGAATTGCTATGGATTGTAAGAGATAGATCGGCCGTGTGTAGTTTCTAACAAACAGCAAAGTGTTTATCTTTTATTACCTTCATATCCGAGTAAATTTTCCGAATTTTCTAACAACAAAAAACAAAGCAGCTGCTTCTCAGATATATTGGAGTAGTTTTACGAATTTGAAAATAAGGCAAGGACACAGTTTTAACGTACTCGTCTTACAAAGTCTGACTTTGGTCAGACGAAACGTTACATAATACCTATTGTGGAAGTGTGAAGATGTACGGCTTTCAATCAGTCAAAAGGTCATACAAGATTGATATAAATGACCAAACGTGCCATGTTTCGTGAGATTCAATAGTTTAGGCAAACACGCCGAACAATGGTGGCATTTTCTGTTGTATATTAATTACAGGGGTTGAGGACTTTATACTATTAGGTCTGTCCTCATATCAGCAAAGTCAGTGATCATATGTACCTGATACTCGGAGTATCGTTGTAGGAAGCGGTCCTCTTTTTTTTCGTTCCAGTTTGCCACGCAAAAGAGAACCCGTTCTTACAATTTACACTCTCGCCACTGGTTATAAATCACGCGACCTCTCAAATTGATATAAATGACCAAACGTGTCATGTTGTGTAAAGTTTAATAGTTCAAGCAAACAACCGAACAAAGGCCGCCCCATGTTAGCAAACATGTAACTACATCAAAAGAAAATTTACTTTAAGCAAACTTTCCCAACTTTTCAAATTCACGGCTTATCAAGGAAAACATCTTCCAGAAGATATTCTTGGAATAGAATTACAACCACGAAACGTCCTATGACACATGCACATTCAATCAAATACAATATGCGAGCTTGTTTTTGTTCACATGAACAATCTTAAAACGCCCGTTCGATATTGCCAATCGTATTTTTTTGACGGTAATTTTACCAGATTTGATGATTCACGTCAATTCCTGAATTCGGGCAGGATTTTTTGAAAAATAAACTGAATACACCCCTCAACGATCGTAATACACAATTTGATCATAATATTATCGTCCCTGAACGCCATGCAACGTATAGAATTTACACTTTGTTAGCAAACATTTAACTACTTCAAAAGATAGATTACTTACCGCAGAGGTTCTCAAACTCGCTACGCACTTACTAATACACGCGTCACGTATCTGGCCCTCACTCGTTCATCTTTAAAAATAAAAAGGATTGTTAAATGTATAAAGAAATTAATCCTACGCCCTTTAAAAAGGTTCTAGGCAAGCATATATATGTATAGGTATAGGTACTAAATGCAGTACTATACAATTTTATAGGGACCTCCAGAAGTATGCGCACCAAGATGGCGCACAACCTGAAAATAGTATGTGTGTACTAGTTAGGATTCAGGCTGTGCGACATCTTGGTGCGCAAAATTCTGGAGCACCTTTATAGTCATAAATTAATTTTTCCATTAATTGTTACGTCTTAACCCCAATCAAAACTCTGTATTCGCAGACGCTAATTTGTAAGGAACTGAAAACTATTTTTGTATACGACCGTTCCGAATCCAGTTTTTCACACTCTTGTTGTAAGAATGGACACAAAAGTTTAGACCCGACAACTTCCTGACTAGTTGGCCACCGTGTCTTCAAGTAAAAGTGAAGGGTCTTCTTCATTTATCCAATGTTCCTCTTGAAAACGAAATGTACTAATGGATCGTTTTGTTATTGTGTTGTTGTTCTTGGTATTTTGTCTTTTTATCGTTAATCGAAAAAAATCGCTTTTCCTATTAACTACTGGACCAAATTGCTTTGAAATTTTCAATGGTTAAAATTTGTATTTTTCGCGAACAATGTATTACTTTAATTTATTTTGAAAATTATTGTGGGTTCTATGCGATTCGCTTTTCGTGCGATGACGTCATCAAAAATTGTGCACCTTGTGTGGGTTCTACTTTCGCGTTAGTCGTGAAGATTGCCGTACAACTGGTCTACCGTGACAAAATGCATACCCGTACTCCTTCGTTTTGGTTTTCGTGTCCATATATTCGAGCATTGCTCTCTTGTTTTTATTTTAGTTCACAGCCTGAGACCACAAGATATTGACATTGTTGGTGCAATGGGAGACTCCTTGACGGTGAGTGTGTCAGCCGTATTCGGTTGGGGGTACGAATTTTGCGTGAAAATTGGAGTATAGTGGTCGTAGCCACGACATGTTATGAACGTGTTTAAATTTTGAAAAATATAACACTTTAGAACAGTGGTTCTCAAACTTTCTAAGCCGCGCCCCCTTTTTGGAATTTGTCAAGTCTCGCGCCCCATCTCGAATAAATAGCTATTACAAATGTTAATACCTTCCCGACTGTGAGGCCCCATTTTTAAGGTGTATTTCAGAAAATTTTTAGTTGAGGAAACCTAACCTAGCATTAAATGTCTCAATGTATTGATAGGATAGAATTTACATATTTATCCCGGAGGAGATTAAATCTGATATGACGGCTTAATCATACGGCGAACCACGGCCTCTCGTTCGACACCACTTCCCCAGGATGTGATAAATTGAGTGGGTAAGGCCAGACCTGAACAATATCGGTCCTCCCAAAATAATAACAGCTCCTATATATCGTTATATATCAATGGCGCTTGTACAGGTTCTTGTTCAGACAAATGGCTTGAATAAGCGTCATGTATAAAAATAAGACTTATTGAACCTTTGCAATTATAAGGCTGCAAACGGTGCTGAAGGACAGACCGTCGCAGAGATTGGGATTGAATACAGAAGCATTTGTTTTAGCGCAGGAGGGAACGGAACTCTAGAGGAATCGATCACGGTACCAAGTAGGTGGAACTAGTTCATAGCTGTTTCTTTGGTCTGTGGATTCTTGAAGTCTGGAGGTGTTTCCTCTCGCTGAGTGTGTAATTCAGAATTCGGACGCTAGTAGTGAATGATTGAAAAAAGTCTTATTTGGAGGGAAATTCCGTGTAAAACGTTGCATAAATATAATGTACCCCTAACTTTGCTCAGAAATGTTTTCCCATTCACATATGAGTGCGCGTAATACACCGCCATACTCTGTATAGTTTCAGTGGTTCTTGGGATTTCAATGCATAAGCAGCCAATGATATGCACGCAACCACTATCATTTTAAAGACCTTTCAGCTCAACATTGCTTAGGCATTCATAGGTAAGTCCCACGGTCTTACCACTCTGCCAGGTTTTTTATGCTTTTTAAATATCTCATAAATCAACTTTTATTTTTTTTTCCCGAAAGGTGTGAAACCCTTAAAAATTGGCATATAGCATCTAGCAACAATGTAATATCAGAAAATAATTTAATGAATTCACGTATAGTTCGTTTTCATTTTCAGACATTCTGAAGAAGTTCAACGCAAGATTAGACGGATACTCCTATCTGAACGGACCCAGAGTCAACCAATATCCATACGGTTTCAATGTGGCTGTTCCAGGCGCCCGGGCAAGGTGAGATTAGATAGTAGCATTATTGCAATGTTCATTGGGTTCATCTATTTCGTTGAAAATTGCTAAACGTGAGAAGGAACACCACGGGCGACAAAAATTTCAATAGCCTAAATGATCCAGTGATCTAATATTCAACACAACGTGGGACAATAGGTAATTTTGAACGAATGTTTTGCCAAGGCTAAAAACCGCCTCCATATGCGTGCACTGGACAATTGTAAAAAAATTGTTAATGACAAAGATGAAAACGTCTTTTTCGTTTTTAAATGTTCTCTGTTAAAAATTATCTCTAAAAAATTAATAGCCAGTTTTTGATGGGCTATTCTTGTGATATTTCTTGTGTACGGAAACGATTATCGCGGCGCTTTCATGTGTGGTACATGTGGGACGAGGGGGAAAAGTAGAACACGAACTTTTTTACACAGTCCAAATATTTAAAATATTCCGCCTTACTTTACAGAGATATGTACGGCCAAGCGGTTCGTCTTGTTGATCTTCTCAAAACGGATGATGTAAGATTTCCATTCTTTTATAAGAAGTAGGCCTACGAATCACTCAGCAAAATTCTCATCGTTGTTTAGAAAAATTGTCTTTTTTCGCTGCAACTTATTGACCAATCGTCTTTAAATATCAAGGAAGGAAGGCTTATACTTTTTATTCCCATTTTTCTGAGAGCTTTGAGGGGCATACAAATTTCAATTTGATTTGAAAAATTCATAAGCACACCTTCACCACATCCGCACAAGTCTTTATATTCTTGATATCCAGGACCTGTGACACCAACAATGTTAGGTCAAATGAATTGGCGAATTGCGGCCCACCTAAGTGTTTAGTTTAATTAGTATAATTTTTCATATTGACTCAGGCCCAGTATTCAAGTCTGTTATCTATAAATGGCCCACTCAGAAAAGTAATTGTCCACCGCTGTACCCCACCACTACCAGTATCGCGACTAGGAGTATGTGTAAAACTTTAACACGGGAACTTTGAAAGAAACACCTAATTATTCAAATTCCAATTTTTTACGTCTTTAACCGCTCCAAACAAGGCTAAATACAAGAACTGTAAGAGTCAACTATGTTTTGGGGAAACCAGAATCTTTTCGGTTCGTCATTGTCTACACCAGTGCTTCCCAACCTTTTTCAGTTCGTGACACACGTTTATTGCCATTTTTTCTGTGCGAACCACAATGAGATGTTAATATATGAGAAAAGAATGTATCATCATGCAATTTACTATTAATGCAAAACTTGATCTTGCATATTGAATATTATTATATCAAATCTAAATTACAACAAAGTATAATTGTTACGTAATGATAATGACACAATTTCCCGATCTAATCGAAAACTGTATGTAACATTTGGAACTTCACGACCGCTTTGAACAGCCAACTGGTTGAGAGCACTGGTCTACAGTACACGATTACACATCCTGAATGAGATTGTGGGCATGGAATTTTACCACAGATGTATAGTAACAGTCGAGCTCAACTCTCTAAGTCATCTTTAAGCCATCGTAATCACTTTCTTCCTATTTCTTATCAGAGATCAAATTACGAAGATGACTGGAAACTCGTGACGCTCTTTATTGGCGGGAACGACTTATGCGCAATCGGTCGAGATCCTGATGGAGCGTCGACTGAAACTTATGTTGCAGAGATTAGGAGAGCTCTGGATTTGCTACATGAAAATGTAAGTAGGGGTTATAGGGTTAATTCACTGGCGCGTGGAAAGACTCACTTCTGAGCAACGTCGCAGAAACTCACTCGGACGTAGGGTAGACTTTTCTGAGAAAACTCACAAGCTCTCACTCAGAAGTAAAAGAGACTCAACTCTAAGTAAAGTTACGCTCATTCAGGAAGTAAGGGAGACTCATCCCTGACCAAAGTTATTGGCACTTACTTAGAAGTGAAGAAGACTCAATTCTGGCACTCACTCAGAACGGAAAGTGACTCATATCTGAGTATAATGACAAGCTTTCACTGAAAAGTAAATTAGACTCATCTCTGAGTCTTATCGGCTTTTCTCTCCCCCGGGTTAAATATGTAACATCTTATCAGTCACCACTTATTCAACAGGTGCCAAGGCTGTTCATCAGCATTGTCGACATACTGGAAATATATCTGCTGCCTCAAGTGGGTACGGGTTACGGTAGCACACCACAATGCAGAGCTATGCAATCATCTTTCTGTAATTACGTCGTTGTGACGGCGAAAAATAACGAAACCGAACAAGAGAGGCTAATAGCAATTAATAAGCAATACCAGGTGAGTTAAATTTGTCAAGAATTGATAGCTTTGAGATCTCTATGACTAAGTGTAAGAGGGAGAGGAGGTGGTCCAAGTGACATCAAATCGATTAAAAAGCAATATTAGAGGAGTGATTATTTTGTATGATTTGTGCGAAGTTCAAAAAAGCCTGGAATCTTTCCGGATAAGCTTGTGGGCGTCAGGCTTGAAACTGAAATCTTGAACCTGCTATGTTGATATAGTTTACCTACTTATGACATGGGCAAACGACGACCCGCGGGCCAAATCCGACCCGTTGGGTAATTCAATATTCAACATTTGAAGTTTTAGTTAAAGAGTAGCTCAAGGAATTTGTTGCGATTGCGATTAAATTTAGTTTTGACACGAGGCTTACTGTTCTCCACTTTTGCTTTTGTAACACTGTGAATATTGTTCATAAAATGTAATTTTTTACGTCACAATTACATGGCACACCACTACATCAGTCTAGGTGGGCAAAATTAATTGCCCCTGGTTCATAAACCTATACTGGACCAACGTTTCCCAAGATATTGAATGAAGTTTTTGGTAAAAAAAGATTATGTCATAGAATGTAATTTCTTAGAAATTGAACCGGCTGTTTGTTTTAAATTTTATGATTGCTTTTTTGTTTTGCAGATCCAACTACAAGAACTGATCGACTCTGGAATCTACGATACAAGAGATGACTTTACTGTAGTTATTCAACCTTTCCTGAGAGATACCGTACTCCCGTATACCGATGTAAGTATTTGTTTTGAAATAAGACTTTTGTTTACCGGGAGCAAATGAAGTCGATAAGACGGCATAGTCTCTTCTATGGTTACCATTCCACATTGGATATCGAAATTATAGCCAGTTCACTATTCGAGATGTATAGGCTACAATGTGATGTGTGCGCAACAGTCTTCGTGGTCAGTGGCCAGGTTTTATTGTATAATGGCGTGATACAACGCTTACTCGTGCCTTTTGCTCCGACTCCTGATATCTAACTATATCTCAAAGGTATCCTTTTTATTGGAAGGAGGGGGTACATTGCCCCTCAGCCACTCCTGACTACGCCTATGTCCTATTTACTTCTGAGTGAGTGCCCGTAACTCTGCTCAAAATGAGTTGTCTCTATTACTTCTGAGTGAGTGAGTGCGCAATACTGTGCATTGAGCAAGTTCTTTTACATGCCTATTTTATTGTTCTGTAGGACGGTGAAGTGGACGCTACGTACTTCGCCCCAGACTGCTTTCATTTTAGTGACATTGGACATTCCATGAGTGCTATCAATCTATGGAATAATATGGTGAGTACGGTGTTACAGGGTACACCAGTCTTTCCCAACCTAGGGTCTCGCCTAAAAAAAGGTAGCCTGAGAAGCTTCTTGAATAGCTTACTGGCTGGATGAGACGAGTTTTGCCACTGTCGTAAGATGAGTTATGATTGTTAGTACCGGACCAAGGTGTAAGGGGTTGGCATTTAATGGGAGGCCACAATTCTTTACCTCTCAGATTCCATTTGCTAAAACTCAATTTTTCTTCAGCTGGAACCGGTCGGATCCAAGTCTACAGTTTGGAGCATCACCGATTTGAAAGTTCCGACAGAGGTAAGAGGCCTAATATCCGAAATGAAAATGTTCGAACGGTATGAAACTGTCCGAAACTAAACAAAAGTGTCCGAAACGACACGAGACTGTCCGAGACGAAAAGAAACTGTCCGAAACTAAATAAAAGTGTACGTAACGAAAGTGTCCGAAACCTATGAGAATAATAGATATTGAATAATCGCAAAAAAAAACGAATGTCATGACCAACCATTGAAATTCAGAAGCTATTGAAACTATGTAGAATTACAACGTTGCATCGAACAGAAAAACAGCCAAGGATTAGTAAATTTTAATAATTGTACTAAAATACTTATTTATTAAATTTCAGGAGCACCCGTACCTTTTCACAAGCAAGAATAGTCTTCCACCGACGCCAGCTCCACCCCCGTATGAAGAAGTAACGGAAGAAGTCCCAGTGTGGCTTATATGTGTTATTGCTGTGCTCTTCGTTGTCGTATTGGGCCAATTTGTAGTGTTGTTTTCCATGCGACGCTCTTTTAAAAACAATAAACACGTACTAGCGTGAATAAATAGACTCATAAGGGTGCATTATGGGACGTACCAATCTTTTCTGTTGACCAGGACGAGCCTCTGATAATAATGCCCCTTGTACCTAACTTCGAAAATAATTCGAGAATAAATAAATTATTATAGATGTTGCTGTACATGAGAATAAATAAAATAAAGATCAAGTAAGAATGTGAAATGTATGTATTATTATTTTTTAATCATCAAACAAAGCAACACACTCACACGTATAAAATCAAAATCATTTATCTGCTGTCCCTACAACGTGTTGCCCGGGGCAACTGCCCTCATAGCCGGCTTCCGGATGCATTCGAACATTATACCACACGCTTTAAAGTTAACCCCAAGGGGCTAAACCCCCAAAAAAATGATTTGAAATAATGATAAAAACATATATTGTTGACCTTCAAACATTTCAACTTTTTATTGAAATGTTGGGTACTCCCGAAGTGTGTGAACCAAGATGGCTGACACCGGAACGTAGTATGTGATGCAGGTTAGGGTTAGGCCATAATTTCAGGTACAAATACTACGGGATTCACTTGGCTAGTCTCCAAACTCGTAATAGAACTAAAATAAGGGAAATTCGAATAGAATTATGGCCTAACCCTAATCTGGTAGACATACTACGTTCCGGTTTTCGCCATCTTGGTTCACATACTTCGGAAGTATCAAATATTTTGTTCAATAGGTCTTTAAACTTAGATTAGAAAACCATTTCAGAACGCATCTTTTTCTACGTAGTCTTTTCAATCAATTTTTTTTCAATTTCCATTTTTGCTTATTTCGAAACAGATTTTGGTCATTTAAAATAAATCCTACGCGGAAAATTAGTAGGTTTATGCTCTCTTGACTTCATTCTCCACAAAAGCTAATGTTTGAATTTTCTCTTATTTTTCCGCATGGGATCGATTTTTCCCCTGTTCAATGGGATGGTTTTATACTGGATGTACCTTTGTATTGTTGGAAAAATACTATTATCTTAATCTTCGTCTTCGAAATGAATTGTACAATAAATTAAATTTGACGTGTATTTTGTGTTAATCTTGAAAGTGAACACCAATACAGGGAAATTAAAGGGAACACTGTGTTACATTTAATGCGGAAATATAGAGTAAGATATAAAAAATAAATGTTCTTTTCGTATTATTTAAATAATAGGAGTCGTGTATAGACTTAAGCATAAATAGACTGAGATGGAGATGTTAGGAGACCACCTAACGTGTTTAGGAGACCATTTTTCTAAACCCAAATATTTTAGTGTCTTCAAAGCAGAACCGCGATAAATAGCAATTAGAGGAGCCAGACATCAAAGAACTGATTCATTTTTATGAATAATCTTATTAACGAAAAAAAGTACATAAAAGGGAATTTATGTATTGGGCAAAGGTATATTTTCGATTTAGCCATTTTTCAATGTCGGCATTTATAGCGGAAGTGGCAAATCGTTTTGGCTTGGAAAGCCCTCATCCGTGAGGTGTATCTTGTATTTTGCCTGGCGCAGCTTTATTTTTGGAAACAATGTCTTCAGTAGTATATACTGCTCAAAAGGAAAACCATTGTTTTTACATGATTTTCGACACAGCATCAAGAAAACAATATTGCTGGCCACGTAAATATGTTATTCGGGCCGTACCGTGGACCACATGTTGATTATTTCTGTACCAGACCAACACCTTGTGAATACCTGTGAGGTTCTGAAGATGGTGTCTTAACACTACATATTTTACGTGTAACGGGAAAACAGTTTTTATTCTTATAATAGTTTAAAGGGAAAGAGAGACCTGAAATATGTGAAGGGTGAAACATATAGGCGGCGGTGTGGCTCAACGGGCTAAGCGTTAGGAATACGCTCGCCACCGAACCTCTAATTACTCTGCGTGGGTTCGCAGGTTGATCCCCATGTAGGGATGGTTTATGTGACGAGAGGATTGCTGGACTCCTCCGCCGTCGTTGGGTGGTTCACGTAACCGCTGGTCGCGTTACGGCTTCTCCCACCACCAAGTCCATGCTTCCGAAAACAAAACAATATAACTAATCCCATACCGAACTTGGAATGGTAAACCGGACGAGAGGCCGTGGTTCGCCATATGGATAAGCCGTCTTATCGCTTTCCTCTCCCGGGATAAATATGTAAATCCTATCCTATCCCAAAATGGTTTGGAACTATTACACTAGAGCAGGGCTACTCAACTGGCGGACCGCGGTCCGAATCCGGACCTTTCGACCATTCAATTTGAACCGCGTCTGGTTGTTTATTTTGGCAGCATAAGCATCGTTTGGTAGTTTACATAGCTATACAGTTTGTCGTACCAATATGCGACATTCGTGTCTATATTTGCGAGTTATCATTTGACGTTCGTTAATTTACCGAAAAAAATATTCTGTAATGTCCGGACCCCAGTAATTTCGAAGTTTTCTAAACGGACCTTTGGGGGAAATAGTTTAGTAGTCCTGTACTGGGGTACATGTTATCGACCAGTGAGCTGTGGCCGACTGCTGGCCACAGAGACATTTTTAGGTGGACTGCACAACTATCAAATATTGAAGAGTCATTGATTGATGAATTAGGTAGTTTTGATTGAAGTAGAAATGAATGATGATGCTGCTTTTTCTACTGAGTGGTAATTTACAATTAATATTTCATAGTGGAAGTGTCTATCTATCTTTGCGGAAAGAATTTTCTTTTTTCCCTTGCATGAGAAAGTTATTGGGCCACAGAATTTTTGTGCAACAAAAGTGGGCCACGAAAGAAAAAAGTTCGAGATCCATTTTACTATAATTTAGTACAGTATTCTAGTAACTAGTAGGCCATCGCCATTGAACAACTGTGAGATTGTAGTAAAAATACCGCGCGGACCAAGCAGCAGACAATGCGCCAGCTAATTCTGTTTGAACCCTCTCGTCACCAAATAGCGTGACACAGCGTTCTCGAATGACATAATTCCCATTAAACAAGCATTTTACGATGCATTAACAATGTTTGTTTTGTGTAACATACAGCATTCTTGTGGTTTTATGGCATCACAATGCGATATGATTTATGATCTCATAATGCTTGCAAAGTTGCTGATGACAAAGTAGTCTGACCAGCACAAGATTGACTGTTTATCTGTTTCTGTGGCTCGGCCAAGGATAAATTGATTCTTTTTTAAATATCTTGGATAATTTCTATAGTGATGATAACTAGAACTAGAGTAATCCCCTTTAAAAAAATAATGAGGGAATAAACTTGCATCCTAAAAGATCAATTTAAAATTTAGGAATTTTGCATAAGATTAACCAGGTCGTATTGCTAGCCTTATTATTGACGATGTCCCAAGTCTTTTGCGCAACACTATTTTAATCGCAGTAATGTATTCATATTATACGAGCCAAAAGTTGGTTAACAGTTATCAAAATATAAAAAAAGATATAAATCTTATATTTGGACAAGCTTACACGGTAGTAATTGCTTGCTACTCTTAGGAAAGGGTTCTTAAAAAACAATGCAGAATGACAAAATAATGAGTTCGTTCTTTTTGCTAAATGCACTTTAGGCATAGGCCGTAATTATTTAATTAAATTCAGAATTTAATCAAATCAGAATCATTCCGAATTGCGGATGGGAAAATTAAAAGACAAAAAATAGCACAATTAGGAAGAATAAGGGGAAAAAATGTGGGCGAAATAACGCGAAATAATCTCTAACACGCAGAAATACTATATATGTATAGATGGGCCCCAGTCCTGACCTATTATCGGTGAATATCATGGGATAAACAGCGAAAGTTAGTGAATAACGAAGCGTTTTAGGCGTTTAATATGTTTCCTTGTTTTTATGGTCATGGAGTTTTATGGTTATGGATCTAAAAATCAAGAGACGACCTGACCAGACATATTTTTCACACAGGATTAAAAAAATATTAGAACATGCATATTGATGGGATTTTGCCATTATAATATCGACTTATAATAACTAATTAGGAAACAAAAATACAGGGAATGAAGGAGCGCTTCCGACTTCAAAGACATCTTCCCCGATTGAATTTACTTTAAGGATGGGGGGATATCGAGAAATCCCAACGTCCCCTCAGTCGAACTTAGTAAGGGAGAGAGAGAGAGAGAGAGAGAAAGGAGAGATGTCACCAACCTGACCCAATAAAATCTTTTAATTATGATTATAAAAAATAATTATAACATATGTATATAATCAATGGGACTCGTTCTGGCCACTATCACCTAATAATAAGAGAGTAAGAGAGAGGTCGCCCACCTAACCGAACATAACCCCTCGGAATGGCATCGTCATGCTCGCGTGGTAAAATATAACAAAAGGAAAACTAATATTTGTTTTTCTCGGATTTCTGTCAAACGGCCTTGCTAGCCGTAATTTATCTTTGTAGTGTAACAATTTATTGAAATTGATGCTGTTACTCAATAATATGATATCAGAATATACAGCGTGTTCATGTAGTCCTGTAATAGATAAAAGAACTTCGATGGGTACTCCTGTATTATGTGAACCAAGATGGCGAACACCGGAACGTAGTATGTGTACCACGTTAGGGTTAGGCCATAATTTCAGGTACAAATACTATGGGAGTCACTTGGCTAGTTCATAGAACTAAAATACGAAAAATTGGAATATATTTATAGCCTGACCCTAACCTGGTACACATATTACGTTCCGGTGTCCGCCATCTTGATTCGTATACTACAGGAATTCCCATTTGATGTGTTTATTGTAACTAATGTTGGGAATTTTAAGATAATTTAAACGGAGTCGTCTAGATATCTTCGTACCGCAGGTGTAAATAATATCGTTTTCAAACCACTATAAGTTCGTCACGTATCCAGAAAGTAATAAATGAGGCAGCCATTAATGAACGGGAAAGTTTTGCCAGAAGGGTCGCCAGAGGAGGGGAGGCACGAGTGAGGATCGGACATCCCTCTCCCCCGATTCGAAATGTAAACAAAAAAGCGTTTTCTGTATTTTATATAACAATTTTTTCGGTATTTAGCTGGCGCTTTAAGAATACGCACTGTGTGCGAACACCTAAAAACAGCAAATGCATTAATATCAAATTTCCATTTTTTTCTTAGAAAATTTAATATTAATACCAGATAGCCATTAGATTTTAAAGATGAAATACTTGATTGTATCCGTATGCTTCTTTGTTGCTGTTGCAGAACTCGCCTCCGGAACTGGATCAGGTAAGAGCAGCTTTAGGAATGGAATTTAATCACTATGACTGGTTCTAGAGCAGGGTTCCTTTAATTGGGGTTGGTGGACTTCTAGGGCTCATTGGTAGAAAAGCAGAAGTTTAATTGTACGAAAATGAGGAAAGGGGTTCCATGGAAAAATTATCAAAAGAACTTGAATATTAGTATAGTTATGTATAGCATATTTTCTCAGAGTTCTCCGTGAGAAACCTAGGGGCTCTGCGAGCTATTCGTTTACTTCTTAAAATACTTGCTTGACTAATTTTGTCTGTTCTGTTCAAAGAAGCAATAATGGTTTTGATTTTAAATTTGAATAATAACGGGTAACGCAGGCTCAGAATAAAATAGATAGCGACATAATGTAACAAAAAAAAATTTAAATTGACTAAATTGTGATATCACATTTGTAACTCTCACAGGTGCTAAAGAATTATGGCAAAAGCAAATGCAAACGTTGGACGAATTAATCGCGAATAACAAAGTAAGTTTTAATGCATGTTGTCATTTTATTGTCGGAGTGAAACACTCCTCGTCAATAGCGACTGAGAAAATGAAACAAAACGTAATCTATTTCCCAGTAGCAATTATACGTGAGCTAAGCCTATATGGTCCGCGGTCTGCTACAGACAATTCATTGCGAATTAGTTTCTGTTCAAGCAGTCGCTGCTAGATAAGAATCTACTGTATTATCTTTATATGTTATCTATAATATTTCCGAATCGCCACCATCCACTCTAGTTCATTACACTTTGGGTGAGGTGAAGGGCAAGAATTACAACTAAATAGTTTTACCTTCAACTCCAGCAAGTCAAACGCCAAAAGTTATAAGTTGTTTTCATGACAATGTGCAATAAATTAAAATGGTGTTGTTCTGCTAGGTTGTGTACTTATTTTATATCTGGCTTTTTAGAATGAGATAGAATTTATATATTTATCCCGGCAAAGAAGAAAGCCGATAACACGGCAAGGTATTTGTTTTCGACAGCATATATTTGGATGATATCTGGCTATTTCGAATAGCACCAAGTACTGATTCACGATTCAGTGTATTGTATTGCACACACGACGCTCGACGAACATAGAAATTTCTGGTCAACTTAAGGATGACCTTTTATCCTGACTGATAGTTGTCACATATTACAACAGGCGTTGTTTTTTCTTCCAAAAAGGTGTATTTTTAAATACCAGAAATCGCTTGTACTGGGCCTTGTTCGAAGGGATGAAAAAAAATCTAAAAATAAATAAATGGCCTAATCAAGCGTTGTTAAGCGTTCTGTCTTGGTATTATGAAAACGACCAGGTTTTACTTTGCTTTTATTACAGATTGAAGCACGGGATTCACCGAACACTAGAAAAATTGGTTTACCGTTTTTTGACATTGCTTTTGAAGATGAAATTCCGGTCGATAAAACAGGTACGTGATGTTAGGCGTTGCCTAAAGTTAACAGTGGGTGTGCATGAAACTATCGCCTTAGACCGCTTGACCGCAATGATAATAATTATATATATTCAATATCACATTCTGCAGAATATGGCCCTGGTATATACCGAATCTTTGTCGCATGAATTCCCTCAAATTTTGGATCAGGAACTATACCAATTTGTACAGGGTCTATATCTGGTACGCTCTTAAATATCAGTGATCCACTAGGACCAGCATTGGTAATAATGTATATGTATTTGATTTCGCTGGTGGGTAGGAAAACAGGCGGCTCTAATTTCCCTGGAATAAACAAGACTGACCTACTGACCTGCAGCTGACCAACTTACGTTTACTTTTCTCAGTCCACACACTTCGGCCACAGGACATCGACATAGTTGGAGCGATGGGCGATTCGATTACGGTGAGCCAGGTTTATATTTACTTCTAAAAATACCTATTCTTTCATACCGTTTTATGTTCTTCATCCCGAACAAGGCAATTTGCAACCTGTAGTAGTAATTACATATTTGTCCCGGAAAGAGGAAAGCCGATAAGATGGCCCACAAAGTTTGAGAACCATTGCGTACCACGATGTGCCAATAATCGCTTAAAAGAGTAGAAACTTTCCAATACTTACACGATTTTCACATTTCCAGGCAGCCAACGGTGCAGGGGCCGACACCGTCGCAGGATTGGCGATTGAATGGGTCGGGATATGTTACAGCATTGGAGGGGACGACTCACTGGAGCAGTCGATCACTTTGCCAAGTAAGAATTTTCAAAATTAAAGTAAAGGTATCCACTGAGACACTAACGATAAAAATTTGATAAAATTGCAAAGGTAATTTATCGATGGCATATATTGTTTTGGCCATCACAGATGTATTGAATGAAACAAAAACAACAAACCTGGTTAAGATATATTGAGAACTGACTTCATAACAAAATCGAAATTGTAAATGGACTTCATGCGCGCCCTCTATATTTGTTATATACAAGTTCTCAAAGTAAGACCCCAAACCCTTAAACAGTGTTCTGTTCCAAAGATTTTCACAAAAACGCAAAAGTCGCTTCGCAAGCCTTGTCCGAATGACAGATATTGAGTTATATGCGTGGGTCATATTTTCTGCCCAACCTCATATCATAGCAATTCATGGCCATCGCATCGTCGATTTATATTAGGTATGAAGTTGCTTGATCATTCGTTTGAAGCGAACATAAAGAACTAAATCTATTGGTCAGTTTGCTAAATTCTTGGGGTTATCCTTGTAGTGGTGATTGGAGTTGGTATTATTTAAGGGCTCACCTCCATATGGCATTCGGTACAATTCTTTGGCGGTAATTTCTTGGCCGTATATTTCATTATTGCTCACTTATTCAGATATATTGAAAAAATTCAATCCAAGACTCGACGGCTATTCTGTAGGCAACGGACCTCTGGTAAGAAAGTATCCGTATGGATTCAACGTCGCTATTCCTGGAGCAAGAGCGGAGTAAGTATACTTTTATGGTATATATATAACGAGCAAACAAGAGCAACAATCTTAACCAAGACACTGAACTGGTCCTCAAATTCGTTAGACGCAACATTCTATGAAAACTGAGTGCAGGTAACCGTGGCGTGTGGGACAATATTTGTCTATTATCGTAGTTAACCACCGTAACCGAAACATAAGAACACACAATGCTATACACCCACTGATTCCAATCGATACCGTCCTATACACAGATAGGAACGAATGCAATGAAACAAATGCGGCCCATTGCCGCACGGCTATCATCATTGATTACAATATAAACAAAGTCGCAATAATGAGATGTAAACAAAACAGCGCCGAGTGCAATTAAAACCAGAGATTACGGCATCTCTCTCGGACCATAACAAATTTATTACGTCACATTCTGTTTTGATATGACCTCACATGCTGTAATATGACGTCATTTCTTTTCAGCGACATGTTGGGCCAAGCAGAAGTTCTGATAGATCTACTCAAGACAGATAACGTGAGTTTTTTTCATCATATTACTTGACTCTGCATAAATCTTGGATCATACGTACAAAGCTCCCGCCAAACAAAAACCAACAAAAAGTATATTTAAACATAAATGCCTTAACTTACTCAATATCCAACAGATTTACTCAAGCACTAACTCATATTGTGCGCCTAAAGCGTTATTTAATTTCCAATTGCATATACTGAAGCCTTATACATATATGGTAGTGTTTTTAGCGCGAACTCACACAGTTTGTTGTTCCAACAGAGATCAAATTACCACGATGACTGGAAAATGATCACTTTATTCATCGGTGGGAATGACCTCTGTGCAATTGGACGTGACCCGGAAGGGACGACCCCGGAAGTTTACGTTGCGGAGATCAAGAAAGCGTTGGACCTGCTGCATTCAGAGGTAAGAACTAGAGTCTCTCAAATCCGAGAGTTTTTCTAATTAAATGGATATTGTTTAAATATAATTAAATAGTTTAATGCATGCGTATGCAACAGGCGGCCTGCGGGCCACAACTCGACCGGCCAAAGCATTTAGTGTCGCCCTAAATAAAATCCTAATCCGACAGTTTATTTTTTCACGTGGACAAAAAGGCAATATGATAGTTGTTCTTTTCGCTGCGTTAAATCTTTCGCCGTTTTATCCGGTGCATTTGTTACTGTAAGGCGTAACGATAGTGGCATTTTATTATCCTTGCTTTCCCGCTAAATTTTTCGTCTGGCACGGCTAGATGTCTCAGGTTGGTTATATGGCCCTACATATGTCTAATATATTTATTTCACATTTTTAATTGGCATATTCGGAGATAACTGAAACAATCATAAAATCAAATATAGAAACTATTGCACAGGGGCTCCTAGATCCTCTGGAAAGTTTCATTAGGGTGACGCCCCACCGAAAAGGTTGTAAGCCACTCGACTAGCAGAGTCCTAGTTAAACTTTTGTTTTTCTTTGCTTATAAGGGAATCTGCGTCTAATTTTTTTTAATCGCGGGGGTACGGAAAAGTAACTGAAATTTGAAGGGAGTTTTACGGAAAACCGCATGCAAACTTCAAAATTGCACTTCGATTCAATTAAAAAACCCAGTATTTCGCAGATCAAATATTTTTGCCGTTTTGTTTCAGGTGATACAAAAGGCAACCTTTACATTTAATTAGCATGTATTCTCTAAAATAGACAGTTTTGTTGCTTTAGTCGAACCAAACTCTCCTATTTTATGTTTTACAGGTGGTGTAAAATACTAGAAATATCACCATTTCGCAATTTTTATTCACTAATCTCTTTTAACAGGTACCTCGCATGTTTGTGAACCTCGTCGACATATTAGACATCTACCTGCTACCGTACGTTGGATATGGCTATGGGAGCACACCTCAATGCCGGGCGTTGCAAAGTAGTTTCTGTGGTTATGTCGTCGATACCATGAACGATACCGTACAAAAGGATTATTTGAGGGGTATTAACAGACAATATCAAGTGAGTATATATATGTATTACTGATATTGAGAAATGTTGAAGGCTCTCGTGAACATATTGGCATTTGAGCATTTCTCTGTTGTATATTTATTGAGTAGTAAACACTAGTTATTTACCATTTCAGATGCAACTTCAAGCACTGATCGATTCTGGTATCTACGACACGAGAGATGACTTCACTGTTATTGTTCAGCCTTTCCTGAGAGACGCCGTTCTACCTTATACGGAGGTGGGTTCATATAATTACGATAAAAACCTTATGCTATTTTCTAAATCAGCTTTTCTCCGCCAATCTAATTTAAATTTCCCTGTAATTAGAAATGTCAGGAAGGTTTTTTAATTTTCTCTTAGTTTTATGTTTTGCCTATTTCATTTTAATAAAAAAGAAAGAGTTTTGATCCGTATTGTTTAATGACTTCGGAAACCGACATTTTCAACAAATTCGATGCCTTCAGCAGAGCTATGGATCCGCAGTTTGGCAAATTTTCACTGATGTCGAATTTCGGGATAATCGGAGTCAAATTTTTTTGATCCGGATTCGACAGTCGGAGCCGTTTTTAAATCTATAGCCCTTATTTTCAGGCCTTACTTTACTGGTACTAATGCAAGCCATTCGTGCATTGCTCTTTTGCTTTAAATAAGTGTTTCATTTTTACAGTACGGTGAAGTTGACGCGACGTACTTCGCGCCAGACTGCTTTCATTTCAGCGACATCGGACATGCTATGAGTGCCATCAACCTATGGAATAATATGGTAAGTAAGAGGTTAAGAGTCTTGGTAATAATACCAAGGTTTCCATTTGACAGTTTTGGAATCCAAATTTGAAGTAAAATTCTTCCGATCAAGAAATTAGTAACCGAGTCAAATTTGGCTGTTACCCGAAGTCGGAAGCTGGTGTTGGAGTTAAATTCCGTTTCACCTTTTATCCAAATTCGAAAACAAATTCGAGCCGACAAAGTCAAATTTGATTTTTAATCGTAATTGAAATATGTAGTAGTAGGATCCGGAGTCTTATTTGGAATCGGGTTCCACCTTGATTTTGACTCTAAGTTCAAGTGCAATTTCTTTTATACCCCGAGTACTTATTCGGGGCCGGAGTCAATAATTGTCCATCCGGATTCCCTGATTCCATAGTCGAGTATCGAATGAATCGAGAATCGGATAGACAATAGACAATAAGTTTATTTCGTCGTGCAAGAAATCACAACACAAATTCGAAATGGGAAAGTAATTATGCGTTACAGTAACGGATTTCATTGCAATTGACTGAAAGTCGCGAAGAACCAGAGATGGTCATCATAAGTCTGCGACACCAAGATTAAAAACGAGTTAATAAAAATTGAAATGAATGAAAGCAATAAGCACAAAGAGAAACTTATTCAAAAATTAACCAACAAGATAGATATGAATCATCATATATGATTTGGAAGAGAATGTAAAAATAAAAGTCGGGGAAAATTCAGGATCCAGATTTTATTGCAAAAGCGCTCTCCTCAAAAAGTCTAACATTTATGTTTATTTCAGCTTGAACCCGTAGGTCAGAAAACTACAGTTTGGAGCATCACTGATTTGAAAGTTCCTACAAAGGTAAATGTTGCTAATGTTTTCATTTGTGCTTTATTATTCAACGGTTCTTGAGTTAGAGGGAATACAGTAATACGGGATTCTTTATTAAAAAAACTTGAATACTTTCGTAAACCTCAATTGCGCGCACTCCATTAGACGAGTACAATTAAAAAAAAATGATGTAACTACTATTAGAAACGCTGTCTTAGCAGCCACTGACTAATGGCAATGTTTTGCGGGAATTTTTGGCGCTTCTCACATTTTAATTCACGAAGTATCCGACTTCCAATCTTTCTTTATATGATATTACTCCCTTGGTATATTTCGAAATTCTTCATATATACAACTTCGCTATGCATTTAAATTAATTGAAAAACGCGAGCTTTGCACGGAATAAACCTTTTTCTCCGTACATAAACTTTTGTTATTTTTTTGTTATATTCCAGGAACACCCGTATATCTTTACATATAAAAACAGCGGACCGACAATACCGACAACTACTAAAGCGCCCGAAGTAAACGCAACCTCTGTGCCGGTGTGGGTCATCGTACTTGCTGCAATATTGCTGGTAGTCTTAGCAGGTATGTGGATCTTGCACTTGCAAAACAATCGAACCGGTTGTCTGTATGTAGGGATTCTTTTAAAACGCTTGTTTTGTTTAAAATAGCTGTATCATTTAATTTATTTGTATAAGTTGAGGTAAAAATAAAACAAGAAAAACGGATTAAAAACTTGCCAATTGCTTTCTATTTGCAATAAACTCTTCCAAACGTCACAAATATCGATGACCTGTTTATTCCCCGCCTTCTCAAGCTGCATGTAGCGGTATGCGTCTGCAAACGCGTTTGTCTGTCTCATTGTAAGACAGTCTAATAGCCATCTTAATTGCCCGTTCACGTCGTTCATTTCAGACAACATCTTGTAAAGCAGACACAGATATAAGTTGGTATTTTGTAAGAATGCTTAAATTTCAATATAGGCCGAAGAGCCTGCTTATGAAAGTGCGTGTCAAGCCTTATCAAACCAAGCAAACTTAATTTATACTGAAACAATCTGTGTGAATTACATTTCAGGCGAAGCATTCATGCTGGTCTACCTCTTGAGAAAGAAGTCTTCGAAAGGAGAAAAAAGTCAGACTATGTCCGAAAAGGGAGGACATGTCAACGAAGGAGCATACGTTGAAAAAATGTAAACTTACAAAACTCTGACCGGGTACTGATAGAGAGGACGTTTAAAACATTATATGAAAAAAAAACGTGAATCTCACACGCATTTCACTGTAATTGTCAGTTGTATAATTGATCGAGGCTATGCAAATAATGACACCGCGCCTTCATCAGACAATAAATAATTTTTATTCCAAGAATTCAGTTTTGGGGAATCAAGTACATCATAGCTGTTTTTCCAATTGCTTTGATCCGAATTGTTCCCGACAATCGTAAACACTGACTCATTTTCAATATCCGCATCACCTTCCCTGCCCAATCATTACATTTACCACTCAGTAATAAATCACGTATATACGATTTTGTTCATGTACTTTTCAATAAAATAAAAGCAAATGTGCAAGATTTTGATTGGATGAAATTGGAATGCGATAACAAGCACTAAGGCTATAAATTATATTATTTAGCAATTAGGGCACCGCTATCCGGGCAAAGGTTTAGCCGGAGTAAGAGCAGTACTTCCAAATTCCTCATATTTTATCTCAAGTTGGGAGTAGGACTTGAAATTTTTGTATTCTTGAAATTTGGAGATGCACTCGGAATGCGGACGATTTTGGGTCTCTAACTTGTATTATATTGACTCATATCTGTATTTACAGTGCTCAAAATCAAACTCGAATTAGCTATTGTACTTTAAATTTGTACTTTTCGTAGTTTGGAAAGTTACCCGGACCATAATACTTCACAGCTTTTCATTTTAGGGGGATATTTCAAAATTTAGGAGGTGATAGATGTTTTGCTATTAGGGGTGAAACTATAGGTTAGTTATAGAAATGTGTTATGTATGCGCTTACGTATGCGCCACTTTCTGGACGCTAAATACAATTATATTCAAATTAGGAGTTTAAAGTGTGATGTCACACCTCAAAATTAGATGAAGGGGGGATTTTTAGTTTCAAGGGATTTTAGTTTTAGGTCATCCTTCTATAGGTGGAGTAATCACTGACACGGACTTTCTAAAAGCTAGGGTTTAGGTTGTCGGGTTTGAATTCTGATTCAAATTTTAGTCTACTTGGAATTACGTCACATCGCAACTAGAATTTTACCTAGTAGGGAGAGAAAGTTCAAAAAACGTATCAAACCACCAAAAACACGTTAACACCTGCAAAATCGTTGGACGTTTAAAAACTGTCTAACTCTAAAACCACCAAAAAACACGCTGACGATTTTCAGAATGACTCGGCGTTGGGACAAATGAAACATTTTTCCGACAAGTCCGCTCCGCAAACTATATATTTATATTTCGATATTTCTTGAAAATTAAATTCAAAGAGAATATAGTTTTGAAGTTTTTTTTTAAAGAAGAAAGGTTTATATGTTGCTCAACATTCACAATTCGATAAAAGAAACATTATTCCATATATATTGACAGAAAAGCCGATTTTAATTCGAGTTGTAGCTGTGATAACTAGTCATTACGGCTTTTTATAGAAAAGTGATATAGTATGGGTATATAAAAACCTTTAGATAATAAAATCAGAATAAGAGCACAAGCGTATGCGTCATCAGTGAAATGGCAATTAACGTCATAAATGACCATGACGTCACGCTAAATGCGTCATCTTCTCCAGCTTGACCTTTTTCATGTTCCGCGTTACCTTCAGTTGGAAGGATTGTTTCTTTAGTTACTGAATTTATAACAAATTTGGGTGACATCGTTTGTTTGTTTGGTAATTTTATGGCGTCATCATTAGTGGTGACTTCACTTTCATCCATTCCTCCATCGCTGATAGTAGTGCCACCGTATGCTTCATAATAATCACAGTCTCTTTCGTCGTCGCCATGAATACAATCGATGACGTCATCGCATACTTTTTGATCCCGAATGCATGTACTGTTCAGGCAGAAGTACATGTCGTGGGTCTCAAATTCACTGTAAAGAAATAAAAATGTCAAGGCAATAGGCAATAAATTGCATCTCAGATCAGGTTTTGGGTGGGATTTATCTACGATCTTTATCTCGTATATGGGGCCATTCCGCTTACAGTGTATTAGATAGCGATTTGAAATTTTAGATTATCAAAATATAGAAAGATTGAAAAGCTCGAAGGTTTGAGAGTTGGCACATCGACATGTGACCGGAAGAAAAGCGTGGTTTGACAGTTAGGTATATTGTATTTTCTCACTCTGGGATAAATGAGAAAAAATCCTATGATCTGTACATACTTTATACTTGAAGAAGCGCAGTCTATTTCATCGCTGCAATCTCCACAGTCATCAACATCGTCGCAAACTTGATCTTTCATGATGCATTTTTCATTCTCACACTCGAAGCTGGAACAAAGAATTATAAAATTGTCATTTCAGTAAAAATGTTATCCTCAAACCAACATTTTGCAGAAATTATTTATCTGAAATGGTTCCATTACATTTGAACCCACGTACATTTGAACCCATGGCAATTGCACCTGTATGCTATTGCACCTATGGAATTTTTTTTGTATTTTGGATAGTTGAACCCACACTAACCCTAACCCATGGGTTTTAGCACCCGCATATAGATTGAACCCGTGGATATACACATGGGTTCAAATGTACGTGGGTTCAAATGTACGGTCACCATCTGAAATATCGCGTCTCGTAGGATTCGGTGGAAATAATAATAGTAAGAGCCTATTTATTGCCTCATTCATCTCTAAGAACTGAAAATTTGAGATCGATTGGTAGTTGGTACATAAGTTGTGGAGAGATGCGATTTGTATAACAAACGAATAATACAAACAAAAACACTTTAAACGACAGATCAGTACTTTCGAAGTATGTGAACCAAGATGGCGGACACCGGAACGTATTATGTGTACCAGGTCAGGCCAATTCATCCTTATTTTACTTCTATTACGAGTTCGGGGATTAGCCAAGTGACTCCCGTAGTATTTGTACTTACAATTATGGCCGCATCCTAACCTGGTACATATACTACGTTTTGGTGTCCGCCATCTTGGTTCACATACTTCGGGAGTATCGACAGATCTACAGTGGAAGGACAGTGGGTTCCCAAACTCATTCGTTAAATACCTTCCTACCCATATTTTTGAACTTCCAATCTTTAGGGCATCGATGCAGTGTTATGCGCAAGACGCACTCCCGTTTTTGTACAGCTCAAGTAGCTTATGATGTGTTCATGAATAAGTATTACAGTAAAAATAAAAAACTAACGAATATTAGTGATGCTGCAGAGCACAATTGCTCCGCCGAAGCGCGGGGGAATCTCTCCTGGTTAGGAAACGTTGCGTTGAGTTAATTACTGAAATAGATTTAGCACAAACCTATCCGCACAGTAGCATTCGTCGCTTCGAAATCCATCATTGCAATCGTCTTTACCATCACAGAGAAACTCTTGCGCCACCATGCGTCCGTTTCGACATTTGAAATCTTCGGAACATTCGGGAGCACCGGGGGCCTTGAAAGATAAAAGTGTATTTTGAAATGAGTTTAACGTATTTAAACAAGTGAGGAATTCTTAAATAAATGGACACGGAAGTTTAATGACTAACAATGCCAAATATAAGGAAGCCCCTTACTAAACGTGAGATATCAGTGGTACATGTCATTGTTCGGAACGAAAGGTGAAATGAGCATCTTTTTTAACAATAATATGGTCATTGTAACGTCAGTCGAATTGCGGCATAATGTTAAAAAGTTGTATCGAAGATGTGATTAGCAATATTAGGGGTAAAATGTTGTCTCCCGTTCAACCTTAGGAAAATTACAAAAGAAATAATCATCTAAAACTTTGAAATTCTTTTAACAATAGCAATTCCAACAATAGAAATTTACAATATTCGCCAGGAAACCAGGCGACAAAGTGCCTGTCTTTCGCCTCGCGTTGTTGCACATTCCGCATATGACCTGGGGTAGAACAATCACTGTAGTTTTTTGTGGAGTCAGTTGGGTCATGGACATTAAAGTGCATTAACTGTACCGTCGTGAAATATTATTGGATTGAGAAAAAAAAAAATTTATGAATTCATAAATTAAATATGGCGTCATTAAATAATGACATCATCTGATTACCTCATCAGAATTATCGCCACAGTCATCGTATCCATCACAGATTGAAGTATTATCTACGCATTTCTTTGTGACGTCACAGATGAAAGTTCCCGCGCAACCGCACTCGTCAGAGCGGAACCCATCATTACAATCGTCTCCTCCGTCACAGAGTAGGTCGGACACAATACATCTAGTATGACCTGAGAGAGATAGGAGAAAATTTTATATTAAAAGGCATATTTTTAGTGGCATTTATTGATAGCAGTGGTACCAAGAGGGTCGCTAGTTTGCGGAGTCGGAGCAGAAGTCATATACATGTATTCCCCGGAGTCAACATTTTGTTCTTCCCGGCTTAGGAGCTGAACCAGCTTATGAACATCAGAGTCACGAACCGTAGTTTGCTTATTCATGGTCAGGGATTGCGAGACATGTGGAACTTTACTCGGACTTATGACAAATACGCGTCACCGGGTTCATTTTAGTTTTTCCTTTCTCGACAGGCAAGTATGTTTCGATGTGCCAAAGCGTCTCAGATCGTTACATTTTCAATTAATTTAAAAATTCACTATACCTTGATATTCTTTGCATTTAAATGTGTCGTCACAATCACACTCATCGCTTCTATATCCATCCATACAATCATCTATTCCGTTACATAATAATGACGTCATAATTATTTTCCCGCCAACGCAAGAAAAATTCGAATACTTTGATGTTGTGATATCGCTCTCAGGGATATCGGTCGATACATCAAAAATTGCCCCAAAGTCAGTAGTTACTTCAGGCAATGCTTTTATTGTCGTTTGCTCAGCTTTTTTCCTTGTTTCTTCCGTGGGCATTACAATGGCTGGTTGGGTAGTATTTTGAAATACAATGTTGACGTTAGGTGTGACGTCATTAGTACTACCTTCCGTAACTTCTGCCCGTGTCGTCATGTAGTTGGTTGTCGGTGAAACGATTGTTTCGTCACTATTGTCTTTGCAATCGTCGATTCCGTTTCCTTCAAAACATAATAGATTTTGGATGTTGAATTATGAATAGTGGTGATCTTATCAAAAACAAGAGAGCGATGCACGAATATATGGACACGAATACTAAAACGAAAAAGTATGGGTGTGCAATCTGTCACAATAGACTACCTACAGGTACCGCAGTCTTCACGATTTCGTCTGACCACAAAACGCGAACGCGGAACCTCCACAAGGTTCGTGATTTTTGATGAAGTCATCACACACAAAAAACTAATCCCATATTGTTCACAGAAATTTTTGAATGTGATAGCCTTCTAGCCATGAATACAGTCTTTAACCACTGGAAATTTCAAAGCAAATAGACTAGTAGTTAATGAGAAACAATATAAACAACAACAACAACATAATAACAAACCGATCCATATGTACATTTTGTGTCCAATAATTCAGACATTCAAGGGCATTCAAAATGAAAATATAGTCGATATATATAAGTATTGAAATATTGATTTTTTTGGGAATAGTAATTAGTTTGAATAATAATTTTAATTTAAAAATATATCTTTTAGGCTTAAAATTGGGAAGCAACAAACAGACGGAGAATATATATAGTAAATGCCCCACCCTCTAATTATCATAATCCAACATTTGAAAAACAGAATTAAGAAAACATTCATTCTTCTATAACAAGATAATACCACATTTAGAAATTCTATGAACTTATTTGGGGCAAAATCGCTCCTGATAACGTGTTGTTTAATTTTTTTTAAACATTTCGACCTCTGAACCAGGGTTATGCTACGTGTCAATTAATCACTGCTCCGAATTATGTCGTCATACACGCGCCGGACCAGGAGGCGCGCATGGTGTTTCGTGGCTTCACAGCCGTGACTGTGAATTTGCGTTCATGATCTGGTTTTTCATGATCAGTAAGCGATAGGTCTTAGGTTGGATCTAGTTTAGTGAGATTAGACCTCAGCGTAAAACAGGAAACAAGAAAATGGGAACTATACGAAGCATCAGCACTTGTCCGTTAGGATGACACTATCCCGATGAGTGCCGGAAGATGAAATACAGTGAACACTCGTTTTCCACAGATAGCAGTCTATGTTGTATCTGATCTAGTTTTGTGGAATTATACCTTTTACGTAACACGGGAAACAAGAAGGCCTAAAATAGCAGTGCCGGCACTTGCCAGTTAGGATGGATTGAATACACGCATGGATTACATGAGTGACGTTCGAAGGATTCCTGTTTCCGGAGGATTTGGGAACGTACTGACGCAGACCAGTTCAGGTTAGTCATTATTATCAATATATCTCTGTTACAATGTAACTAGGCGTGTTCATTATTACACGACTATACCCTTATTTGTACTCGTTTACGCATGTTTATATTGTACTGCCGTCTACACGGTAGAGCGGTAGGTAAGGCGAGAAGGCAGTTCGTGAAGACAGCTACCCAATAAGCCCGCCAAGTGGTGATATAAACTTTTTTTGAACGTTGGGTTGGAAGATAATATATAATTTTATCGCAAGCGGATAACATCAATTCTACAGAGCTGATGCATGGATTTTTAACCGAAATAACATAATCTAGCTTATCCCAAACTAGTATAAATAGAATAAATAAAACCCAAAATAAGTAGTGAGGTATACTGTTTGGTGACGAAGTGGTATAGCTAAATTTCTTACTGAATTAAAATCATTTCAGCAAAATTTTAGCTTTTTGCACACTATTGTCGGGTTAGAATTAAAGTGTCGCAGGTTCAGTCAAATATTGAATACTAAATGATATATATATGATTTGACACATCTCCGTCATAAGTACTGGTATATTTTTAAATCTTCTAGTGCACGAGTGTTGCTTGCGAGTTTTCTATCAATATTCTTTCAACTGAGGTGACGCTACTTTGAGCAGACTTCTGTATATAAGATAATAATTACCTGTTAGATCACGATTTATACACATGCCATTGTTACATAGAAATGTATGTTCACATCCACATTCGTCACTTGTGTCTTCACAATCATTCTTGCCATTACACAATTGGTTGTTCAAAACGCACCTGTGATGTGATAATATGCATGTTAGCCAAATGTTGTTATTTTTGGTTGCTAAATTATATGAACACGCTCGTCTTTGCTCAGTGCCTCAAAAATGTCGTGTCCCACTTGTTTTCTTTTCAGAAAACTCGTCCCAATTTGCTACACTTGCTTACTGTTATAAGTTGGGGTAGATATATATTGTGCGGCAAATTTTCAAATTAATCATATGAAATAGATTCTATGTTGTATTCTGGGTTAGATTAAATATAATACAATTGGGACAAGTGTGAGACTGAGTAGGAGGAATGGGACACGCAATTATTTACAACTTTACAAATAAACTTCGCCCGTGAATTTTATTTTCTCGGGTTCATGTATACCAGGGGTCGCCAACCCCTGGCACGCGTGCCAATTGTGGCACGCCAAGCGATTTGAGCCATATTCAAATATTTAATTTCGTAGTGCGACAAACATTCTACAATTGAACAAAAATAACAAATCGACAAATTCATTGAAAAAACATGCATTATTTAACTGCAATCGACGAGAGGCCGAAATCTGTACCCAAAATCGGTGTAGATAAGCGTGTCATCATCCCCCCCTCCTTTCAAATTTTTGGAAAAAATCGCAAATACCGCGTGCGATTGCATTTTGCTAAAATTCCTGATTGTTTTTATCAGCGTGACGTGTTATTTAGGCCGTAAACACTTTTAGTTGGTGTCTATTCTCCCCGAATCACAACAATTATTTCACGACAGCGATAATAATTACTTTATTTTTGCCCAGAATTGAAATTTGCTGAGAGTTATTATACAATCAATCGAAACTAAATACAATCAGCCATTAAGCATGTTTATCTCATATTTTTACATCAAAAGATTGAGTGGTATTTCAGACTAATTATGTTTATATTTTGACGCAAGAAGACGTAACCGCGAGTTACGTTGGACACAAAATTATATCAATATAGAAGAAAGTTTTAGATTCTCCTAGCTGTCAAGAAATGAATATTTTACTGGAGAGAAAAGTTGGTATACGCTGAAAAACTCGGCCTTTTTAACGAGCGCGTAATCACGGCGAATGTTTTATGAGGGAATGGAAATTTTCGGTTTTGAAACACCCCCTTTTCGAAACGCCCGACTGATTTTCATCATTCCACCGTGAGCTACATGTAACCCTAACAAAAACGATGAAATAAAGATGTTTCGTAGTATGTGCATCAAGATGGCGGACACCGGAACGTAGAATGGGTACCAGGTTTGGGTTAGGGCATTATTTTATTCCAATTTTCCTTATTTCAGTTCTATTACGAGTTTGGGGACTAGCCAAATGACTCCTGTAGTATTTGTACCTGAAATTATGGCCTAACCCTAACCTGGTACACATACTACGTCCCGGTGTCCGCCATCATAGTGCACAAACTACGGGAGTACCAAAATAAATTTTATCTTCTTCAGTACTTATCGCGATTTCATTGTTTCTGGCTACAAAACTAATCGCGAGTGGCCTTAATTAATACCTATTACTTAAGTCGTCCAAAGACAGGTCGGATGTAGAAATGCAGTATGCCAAAATCTCTCGTAAGCTAGTTTTCATACACATAAAATGTTTGGCACGCGAGGGTGCTCATTATTCATAAACTGGCACGCCGAGTTCAAAAGGTTGCCGACCCCTGATGTATACTGTTTATTAATTTATTCTTTTCAGTATGATTGTCGCGACCTGTTTTTCTCTTGTGTGGGTGAATAGACACAAACGCTGATTACAGCGTTTGCTATGAACATTTCTCTAGATTTTGCCCATTTCCAATCTTTCGCCCTTGCATGTGTTTTTTATTCGTGTTCGGTGTTGTAGACAAGAGATCGAATAAAATTGTATTGTCGTGTATTGAATTTGTGAGACAACTTCTTTTGTAGCATCAACAGAATACGGATGTCGCTGCTCGATAACCAGTAATAGTGTCTCGCCTCCCTTCACCCTGAACTTGTTACTTATCGATTTTAATAGGTAAGTATGTTGATAGGTATTTGTCTGTCTGTGTGTTTGTCTGTCTGTCTGTTAGATGCATGCGATATCTCACGAAAGCGAGATTGAATCTGTTCCAGATTTTGCATGTGCATTTATTATATGTTGAACCAGAAGCCTATTGATTTTGGATGAATTATGTCGTATAATTAGCGAGTTATTAATTAATTAGTGATAGGACACAAGGTGCCACTATGGAGTAAGAGCGCTGTTTTGGGGGATCCCCTAACTTTCGATCGATAAGTCTTCGGTCTCGGATCGATATTCTTGTTTTTGTATTGTTTATTTATTAGGGTGGAATTTAGTATGGTGGAAAAATAAATCATTGATTACTGACTCGGATTCGAATTCCATAAATGCATGTGCAAAAAGTTTTTCTGGATTCATTAGGGGTTTTTGGAAAATGCTGTTTAGTTACGCTCACTACTCTGAAAAGCGTCCAAAACGTGTTAGCCATTTAAATTTTTGACATTGTTTGGGGATCAGACCATGGAAGTGCATATTTCAAGTAGACGAAAGTTTGCGAAAAACTTGAAAATAAACTATCTTATATTTCGTTATTGCTCAGATTGTGGCCTTACTCTTTGAAGTTTAGTAAAATGTCGTCACAACTAACGCATAAATTAATACATATTTTTGTAATGTAATGTACACCATATATCAGTGGTTCCCAAACTTTTTCATATCGTTACCCATAAATTGGATTATCATTAACTCAATTCCCCTTTTCATAAAAATACAGTAGTCATACCGTTATCACTTTTTCTTCAACCAAAAATGGCGATAACCCCAACACTTTAAGATGCTAGACCTGCGCTAGCTCACATTTTAGTCTACAATCTATACGGCGAAGTATTGGTATCATGTCCCTACGAACCGCTTGACTAGGCTTATCTACTAAATGCGAGCATTGCATGCCCAGCTTTTACGCAGTCTAGTCAGGGTCGGGAATTACAACAGAAAATGTTAAAACAGTGAACGTCTGGAATTCCCCCTAAAGTAAGACAAATTAGTTCTTTGAGGGGAATTACCCTCAGTTTGGAAACCACTGCTCTATATCATGCTACTTCAATACCTTCCATTATTACAAGTGAAACTATCATGGCAAACGCATTCGTCCGAGGAATCTCCACAGTCGTCTCGACCATCGCATTTCTTGGAGGTTTCGACTCTGTTACCATTGTCACACCTAAACAAATGAATTAAATAAATTCAATTCCAGCTTATGCACAGTTTTATCCCTAGGTTTATTACTCCCACTAGCAACCTAATTACTCATATAGATATAAAACGTTAAGCAATTCTTATTAGCAAGACAATGTGGTGACATTTATTTGTAATGATATTTAGATTTCACTGTAGACTTCACGTTTCACGTTCATCAAATTTGAAAAAATAATAGAATATAGCAATTTTTCATCAATTCTTGTGCAGAACACCAAAAGGGAAAAATTATTTATAAGACGTTTTACACTAAATTCTTTCAAGACCTATTTTTTCTCAATCTATGATTCGTATGTCTACAAGTACAAGATGTCGGCCCATAGACTAGATAAGCATCACTTGGCTATGATAAAGTTTAGTGCGTTGCATTTAACTATATTTACACCGCAATATAAAAGTTTCCGGTGTGATTTCTATGACCTTACCCAGGATGCAATAAATTAGACAGACAATGCCGAAGATTGTCTCATTACTGGTTGATCCTTACGTATCAGTGGCCGCTTGCTATAGAGCCTTGTTAGAAGTGAAAGTGTCACAAGGCCCCAAATAAAACTGTTTTCTTGCGCTTCTTGTTCCCTATGTCTATGCCACAAAGACGTAATTAAATTCGCTCATATACATTAAAAAAAAAAACGTTCAGCCAAGGTAACTATTCTCCACTTGGGCTGTGAGAAAAGAGAGAGTTTTTCATTAAACGATCGGAACTTCTGCTCATAACGCGAATCGCAAGGAGCCGGTCATAGGTCATACTATGTTGCTAAGGGTAGAGAAGCGTTTTTGCACCCTGGGCAGATAAATTACGTGCACAACGCCGAAACAGTAAGATTCCGATTTTTTCCAAAATAGTTGATCTTGATGTAGTTGTGGCCGCTTGTACATAGCCTTGTTTTGGGCTAATACGTGAAAATCCACCAGAAATTTGTTTACGCCCTGTTTACATGAAATACCAAGATTGTATTATTCACCTGAAACCATCGCAGGAGAGCTCGTCTGTGCCATCCCCGCAATCGTCGTTTTCATCGCAAATTTTGAACGAATCGATGCACCTAAAAAGTTATATGCATGTGAGATATTGTTGATGTGCTTTTCTTTGAGATGAAATTGAAGAATACCAAATGTAAGCATTGAAATTATAAACTGGTTACTTATTTGTATATTTCCAACTATAATTCCCTCTAGGAAAGCTAGGGTTGCTAATACAGGTTACAAACCATAAACGAAACTCACAAATTTGTTGGTTACTTCTACGAACATAAATTAAAATTAGTTTAACACAACTTCTTTTTTTCTGTATGACCATTTCTAAAAGTTTTAGTAATTCAAGACACTTTGAAGTGCCAAGAAATCTGAGAATATAAATATTTGTAGCGCAGAAAATACCGATTGAACCGAGTCTTTCCATGGCAGGTCAAGGTTAATACGATCGGAAAAACAACCACAAAATTTCAAATAACTGAAGTTATAGAGAGGCATAAATACTTCTCCCAGTTCAATGTCTGAAAACTTTTTTTGAGGGACAAGTTTTTGAGTTTTTTTTATGTTAGGTCCAGTATCAATATTCGTACATGGCATCGCTACAAAACTCACATGCCGTTTCCACACGTAAAAGAATTTGTGCAGTTGCATTCGTCTGAGTGGTATTTGTCATAACAGTCGTCCAACCCATCGCAGACAAGCTTCTGGGAAATCTGCAAAATAGTGGTAGATGATAGATTTATTCAAGAAAAAAAGTTTGTACATAGAAAGATTAGTCCCTAACTGATAAAGTGACTTATATTTATTGGTTTTCCGTGACGTTGGAAAAGGTATAAAACATGAGCCAATATCTACAGTAATTTGTGGATTCATGGTATGTTTCGGTTATAATGGCTATTAATATTCTATCCAATATTCGAAGTCTTTATAGAATGTTGGTTTGATCGAATGTTTTTGATTAGGATATATATAAAACGTAGGCATATGACTCCAGTATTCACAGAAAGTTGGAAAGTTTGTGTGTAACGTTTTATAGCGAAAGATAACTCATCGTATATTTAATGGAAGGTTTTCAAGATCCGTGTATAAATGATAGAGCTAGTTGCGACCAGTTGCATTTGCAAAATGTTTTGGGTTTTAGAACCAATTTATCCAAATATAATCAGTATCCCAAATTCAGATCATTTGCATGCATGTTGTTTCATTGAATATCAGCAATCAATTCATTCTTAAATCCTGTTCAAATTTAATTAGTGTATGGAGCAGTGGTTTCCAAACCACGGCCAGCAAGTGAATTACGGCCCTCGTAACAATTTAATATGGCCCGCCGAACTTAAGGGAAATAGTTTGACACCTTATGTTTTTTCTGGATACCGCAAAATGATACGCCCATATCACAGTTTAAGCATGTGTATATTCGTAGCAATTCAATTATACCGGTATCTCTAATATACGTACAGATACCGGCTCCTTGCAGACGCTCCCCTCTCCTGGCCCGCGAATATTCTTCCACCCCTAATTTGGCCCCCGGTCAATCAACTGTGGGAACCACTGATACAGAGAGTTAGACTAAGTTGTAATATATTGGGTAGGCATTGCCGAATCGAAAGAAATGTCGCTGCTTACATGTCGGTACCTTCGTATGGAAAGCCTTGTTCAGTGTGAGAAAGCATATATTTCATGTGAGTTGATTGTTGATAAGTGAACTGGATTTAAGTCGAAAGGACAAATTATTAGCTTGCATAGAGTGTCAACACAAAAAATACAGAAAGATTGTGAATTTCCAATCTAGCACACCGTTGTTTCTTTCGAAAGCATTATTTGGGGTAACAATACTAAGTAATATATAGACTTGTTAAAAGAATTACAAATAAAAACTTCCGGATAAAACAATATAAATTAATACCTTCACACCATTTGAACATTGAAACATCGTACAATTCGCCTCCTCTTCGCTTTCATCTGATCCGTCTGCACAGTCGAAGAAACTGTCACAGACAAATCTAAAACAAAAACTTCAATTTTTAGCGAAATGGTAAGCCCAGTGTATTTTAAAAAAGAAACTATCCTTGGACCTCTTAAAGTATGCGCACCAAGATGGCGCACAACCTGAACTCAGGTTGTGTACCAGGTTAGCGTTCAGGTTATGCGATATCTTGTTGCACATACTTCAGGAGCACCCTATCCTTTCTATGTGTCCAGGCGATGTAAGAATTCCGTGTGTTATAGTTTTGAATTCAATGATGAGCTTTTTAGAACTTTGTAAGCATATTTTGTAGCGTTTGATACGTGTTTGGCGTTTCGGGCACAGCCGATTTGATTATTACCAAACTACACCGGAAATTATTCAAATGAATCGGGATTTAAAAATATTGTACAATTCGAAACCTTCATAAGGTTATATGAGCAAAGTGGCGATATTCTTTTAAGAGTTAAAATGTTTGAATATGAAATAAGATGACGTCAAAATACAAAACGTCCCAATGCGAAAATATGACTCAGTAATACCATTCGAAGTAGGTAAATTTCACCATAACTCCCACCATCGAAAGTCCGGTGGTGAATAGAGTGCTGCTGATTTATGCGACGCTTGTTCAAGGCATCGATCGGAACATGTCTCTGCAAAATCTGCCACTGGTATGCAAGGAGCGACCATGAAAGAATCGGAAAATTCCCGGATTGGCATTGCCAATACAATTTATTACACCATGCACGAAGCGATGTGTACGGGTTTTGAGCGCAAAATTTGTGATGCTAACATAGTTAAGTAAAGCCTCAACCATTAGACTTGCCTGGAACTAATTTTTCTTCCGTCGTTGCAATTAAAAAATACGCAAGAATCCGATTCATCGCTTTGGTCAGCACAATCGATAATTTCATCACATTGTTGGGACTCCGGGATGCATTTCAGCCCATCGTGACAACGAAACTCGTACGATTTGCATTCCTGTAACAAATATACAATAAATTTGGGAGAATATGAAAGACAAACTGTTTTTGTATGTTAGTGTTTTAACAAAAATTGACCTCTTTGTTCAATTTTACCATGACCTATTCTGAGAATTCTGACCTATGTAAAAATTAAATTATTCCTATTCTGGCCGGTCATGTACCGGTAACTCCCGCCAAAAATTGAAATTACACCTTTAATTTGGCAAAATTCATTCTCGATCTAACCTGGGAAATGGCGGAAACAAAACATATGCGTTTAAAATAATTTAATAAATATAGAAAATTAATCAACCCGTAAGAGTGCCTATCAAACAAAGAAAGTTAGGTCCAAAGGAATTTTCCAACAATTTCAGCAAAAATTCTTTTCTAAATAGCCGTTTTCTTAATTGTATTGACCTGAACTGCGCGGCCTGTATTGTCCCTCGCACCGATTGGCATTATTGGTGCATAAGTCTATGTTTTAAATATATGCGGCAGTGGTTCTCAACCTTTTTTTAGTTTGCAAACCGGTAAAATTTCAAAATTAATTTGACGGACCTGTGAACCTTAAAAATCGACCAAAATGTCAAAAAGACAAAACTTAATTAAACTAGTGCAATTACGACAAAAGTACGCGATTCAATAGCAGACAATTCAATTTAAAGAGAAATTTGCTGCTATCATTCTTGATATCAAACGTGTTGGTTCGCGTTTCCCATGAAGTTTCTGAGAGCGTTGACTTTCACACGAATTCTCTGATTGGTCTTGACACTGTCAAATTACGAAACGTGCGAGTTTCTCAGTAAGTTTAACTTTAACGAGGCAAATACTATGTCTATGTCATCTCAAAGTCCTCCATTAGGATGTTTTCCGTTGTGGGATATATTAATTAAGGTATAATACTGGAATATATATTTGCCGAAACGGCAGAAAAGTTGGCGCCGATCGGCAGCAGAGCACCATTAATATATAGTCCCAGTGTCTCCTAGCACTCCAGTGATCGCCCGTAACTTTGCTTAGAGATGAGTCACCTTTATTTCTGCGTGACTGCGAGTAAATTACTAAAATATCCTCAAAAAACTTTATACCACCTAAGTCCTAAACGACCTATTTATTCATCGATGCGCACACATTGTCACACACAGTGCAATCATTTATTTAATATATCTGAAACTGAAGCTTCGACCATAAAGTAGTCGGTTCGATTGGAAAGTTAGATACAGTGTTAAATCACTTTTTTATTCACGTAGAAGTATTTGAGATATTAATAGGTCATAATTGAGACATAGCACGCACTACAAATTCAATAGTGCGTATTGGCTTGGTTAGGACAGAAATGCTAGCGTCCACCGTGCCCTTATATAATTTTGAATTTAGTTTTAGACAATTTGTCGACGTTCCTAAGTATACCCACCAAGCTTGTAGCTCGTTCAGTCCTAATTCCGTTATTTTCTGTTTCGCAATTGACGAAAATCGCTGTAAAAAAAAAATAATTTTCATTCGGCATCAAAAATGATAAGAGAAGTAATATACAAAGTCGTGGTATATTTTAGTACGGATTCCTATGCTATTTGGGCACTAACAGAAACGCTGTTCAATAAGTGAGGTAGTTTGGTTATTCATAAAAAATTGATTTTCTATATATAGAGCTTAGACTTGGAACGTTTCCGCATGACTAAGAAAAATCGAACAAGAGCCAATAGTAGCACTATTCACTGTATACAGTATTAGAAGACTAAGAGTATAGATTGCTGGATGAAAGATAGTCGCTCAACATAAACTACTCTATTAATTAGCTATAGAGTAGGAGTACCGCTTCATGATACTCCCCAATCCTGGCCATAAACCTTCGATTTGACAATAAATCAATTGGACTCTAGCTCTATGCTCCATTTCCGTAGTTATTCGTGAGTTTGTTTAACTTTTACTTATGAGTTAGTACGCGTGAAGTTGCTTTAGGAAAATTTATTGAAAATCTGAGAAAGTAATTTGAACTTACCATAAAGCAGAACAATGATGAACGATGTAGAAATATAGCTATTCCCTAGATTCAACATCATTTTTATTGATACCTATATACTATTATTAGTTTGAAAATAAAAACAAATAAAAATTTGGACTTGAGGGCAATAAAGACCTTATAATAAATTTCTTCTCGTAGATAAGGTTTTCGTAGTTAGTTGTAAAGGGGCACTGATACGCCATGAAAATTAAATGACTTGTGATAGAATTTTCCATATTTATATTGGGAAAAACCGATAATACGAATTAATCGGTGTTGGGGAGGCTCTAAATCAGAAGTGGGCAAGGTTTTTGGACAAGGGTCCACCTAGAATGACGGACCATGTAAGTTTGAAGTAGAAAGTTTTTGAGTCTCCTTTATTTCTGATTGAGTGAGCGTGATCTTTCTCTGAGCAAATTCTCTTAGAAATAAAAAATTATAATCATATCTTCTACTCGTATTTCACGACTTGGTAAATACTGACCCAACACAAGCTTGAAATCTCAGTCTCCAACTTGAGTTTTCATGTAACACTACCTGCCAATATATCTGATCTCCATTTTTTTCGAAATTATTTCCATCGCTCATTCTGCCGGATTTTGGGCTGAAATTACTTTTAGGGGATAATTTGAGACGGGAATCATTGGTTCCATGCGAACTTTCTCACCGTGATCATTCCGCTATTACCGAGCTATCTTAACATTGCTTTAGGAACCTGCACATATCTTTTTTATAAAACTAAAGCTCAAATTTTGAGTGTGTTACGTTACTTTTCAGGTGTTTTCTTTGTCAAGGTGCTATATAAACTGCACACCCAAAAACCACATTTAAAACTGCCTTGTTTTAATACAAGTCAGAATGTTCCTACTTCGGAAAAATTTTCTACGCTTAGATGGATAATACTCGTTTCCGATAACCTTCTTATTTGAATAAAATTATTCTAAGACACCTCCACTATACAACCCTACGTATTTCCGCTAATTCAATCGGCGACGACACCCGCGCAAAACATGTCTTCAACTGAATGGGAAATATTACAATGACGTCATCCTCGAGTTTTGATTTCTGGTAACCGCAGTTAACATGTGGTACTTTTTCAACGCTGTCTTGCGAATCTTACGAATTACACACAGGATTTTTAAAATATATATAATGGTTTTTGAGTAATCCAATTTTTCTTGCTACTTTGTGATCACACGTAAAAGCATGGGTTTCAAGATACTGTATGTTTCAAATATAAAAGTAAAAGAGAATTATCTTTTAATGTAATGAAATACCGACGGATGAACAAATTTATTGTTTTTATCCGAATATTTCTGTAAGCGAACCTGTAAATCCCCCGTACTGACCATTATGTTTTGCCAAGAAGAAATAAACGTTGATGTGTACCACTTGCGATTTTTTTCTACAACGTTTTATTTTCTTCGAACAAGACTTTATACAAGCAGCCTCTTGAAAGCAGAGACAACCATTATTAGGATAACCGAAATCTTTTCCAATTTAATTTAATGCACATAGAAGTGGTAGAGATGGCCGAAATCGAATATCCGGTTATTCTGAATAAATTCAAAAAAATATGTTTGAATATGGAATATTGAGTACATTCTAAATTTGAGGCAACTTTTTCTGGAAAATTACATAAATCACTATATCTTTATGCTGATTATATCTAAACGACATAAGTATAACTGTATTGCATTTTCTGTGTTTTTGTGCGCGCACTGTCACCCAATAATTTTCATAATCTATACTTTGAAAATAATTTTCTAAACAAACTTTCTGGGAATACGAAGAAGATTGCATACGGCCAAATTAAGTTTCCAATCATTTTAATATTAATCTATTACTTCTTATTTCACTTATTTTATTTAAGCAATTTTAAAAGTAGCAATATAGATATGTCCCAACACTTGAAAAAAATACAAATGAAAACTGGTTTTAAATATATTAGAAATCGATTCAGAAGCTCCTAAATATAACAATATCCCGCAATGTTTCTTGTGCTTCATGATTGATCAGGACATTTGGATAAAATTGTGAAAAATCAACGATCAAATATATATGTATGTTGCTGTCAAGAGAATTCGATATTTATATATCATTTTTCTGGTCTATATTAGAAATCGTGCATTGCTTTGTAAGTAACAATATACACGAACATCAAATGACCAACTAGATGTCGACAAAATTTCAGTCAAAAGGGAAGATTGTGCCGAATATCATATCCAGGTGTGCCCGTATAATACAAAGACTTTGCGGGCTTAGTAGGACTTCAAGAAAATTTAAAAAAAGTAATAGTTTTTAATGGTATTTCATTTTGTGTAGTGGAAATTTGAAATCTATTGGCTGCAGAAAATAGCTTGTTTTAAAATAAGAACAGCGTATTTGAAAAACAAATTATACAAAACGTCTTGTCGAATAATGGGGTAAAATACACTTATTACAGAATCAAAGTCGGCAGTATCGTCCTCCCTTTTATGAAAATATGTAAATGGCGTGAAGGCAACGAGCGCTCTGACATTTGAAGCAATGTTTCATTCTGCGCTTTCCTGAAATTGCATAAAAGATGTTTATTCGTAGGGAAACATGAAATCAGAAACAATTAGTTAGAATATTTAGCGCTCCCGTAGTATTCGTACCAAGATGGCACACAACCTGCTAACCCTAACCTGGTACACATACTATGTTCAGGTTGTGTGCCATCTTGGTACGGATACTACGGGAACACCGAATATTTTTGTGAATATCATTTTCTTTTCTCTACATTTATAATATTTATACATTTCTTCTCGATTTTTATCTTTTTTTTGAACAATGTTGAACAATAATATCCAACCATTTTGGTATCGCTATCTTTTTATTCAGCTGAATTTATGAATTTTGACGCAATGACGAACACAATAAATATATATATTCATCCGGCGACTATGTTATAGGACTGCCATATATGTAATTGTGACTTTTGTATTTTGATCGGTACTCCAGACACATGAATCAATGAAAACTTAAAGTCCATAACTCCATATAAAATTGAGGGATTCACCTTTGGCAGACAAAAAAGATGGCGGCGATGCGAAATTATCGTCCGAATCAATATTGTCCACAAGGGACAACATGAGATAATGGATGGATGAGCGTTATGCATTCAAATTTTGTAACCATACTGACTGATTTCCCTTCGAAACTGGAGTGATTGTAACTGTCAAATTAACAAAATTATTCCTCTTACGTTCTGCGTCTGAAAATTTATATCTCTTCTGTAGATTTCTTGAAAGCGGTTCGCATTGATAATAAAATTTTCGGGTTGACCTTCGGATCTGACATAATTTTTTGGAACAACGGTACATTGCTCCATCAACAGATTTCCCCGTCTGAAATATGTTAATATTATGAAAAATGGCCAAAAAATATTTTTTCAAATACGATGTTTTATACGTCTTTCCCTCCGAACAAAGGTCTTTACAAGCATCTATTTTGAGGTGAGGGGCTACTATTAATTGAAAGAATCGGAAATCCCAAATAGTATTTTTCACGTGGTTTTTATATTCCTTTCCCCCAAGATAAGATAAGGCTTGAGTGAAAGTCTTAAAATTTAAGTTATTCGCCTTGTAGTCATGAATATTCGCGGTAATCAGTTGAATTTAACTCAACTACGAATTAAATTGCTTACCAATAACGGCGTTATATTTTCCATTTCTTCAAAAAAGGCTTCTTTAAACTGCTCCGTTTCTTCACGAGTAAATAGACAAGAGCTCTGAAATAAGAAATGGTATTTATAAATGTTGAAACAGCGAATCATTGGGAAGACTGGTGTAAATGAATGCATCAGGTAATGTTTCAGACGGTCGCTCTAGATTCGGTTAGTTCTACACAATTATTAATTTTCAAGTTTACTTATCCATACTCGATGATTGGTATCGGTGTTTAAGGCAAACGTATATGATAAGTAACAAATGAAATCGATCAATCTCTGCAAACCCTCATTACTTGAGTATGTCAGTTATATTACTACCAGTTCTGAAGAGTTAAATTTTCATTACATTTTCTTGGACAGAAACCTCAATTTACCAGTAAATATAGTTTAAGTTGATTGAAGTGGCCGACTATTGCTATTTTTCATCGGCTTTTGTGCGAATGAATCCGAATGCAATGATCGCAAGGATACTATGTCAAAAATCAAAACGCCCATGTTGAGTAATCGATTAAAGTATATTAAAACTAACTATTTTAACTTGAATCAAAACGTCTATATTAAGTGGTCCCAAATCCCACTTACACTATTAAGATTTCATTCTATTACAGAGTTGTTGTGAACTGTTTGTTCCGCAAGACCTTGGAACCACTCAACACTACTAAAAATTATCCCATTGTTAATCTTACGTTATCTGGGTTGTCTTCACAAACGTGTAAGACATCCGGATCCGGAGTGCATTCCGGAATTTGACTCCATTCGCTATCGTCACATGTCATCGTTTCGTTCCCAAGAAGAACATAAGGATGCTCACATTTAACCTTGCACCCGTTCACGCGACCGGTCTCTGGATCTGGGAATAATTTTTACGAAATTAATTGTGCTTTGTAGTGTATAATGCAGTATTCATAAAACGCTCATGATTCAAGCCTCCCAGACCCTACTTTTTAAAAAAAATACTTATTTTAGCTTTAAACGAGACATCAGTTCTTTCATTCGACACTTTTAATAATAAGAAGCCAGCAAACGAAAGCAAAATAATTACAGTAATTAAGTTAATTACAGTAAAATTACTTTATTGAAATCACCGCAAATAGTACATAATAAAATTAATGCTCATGGCCCTCCAGAGAACTGCTGCATGAGACGAGGGTCCAATTTATTAAACTCTAGCTTAGTGCATGGATGGGAACCAGCAACAGAACTGGTTGACCGATCGAAATAATTTCGGGGAACGAAAACAAAGAAGACCAAATCATGTTTTAATATGTATAAAATTAGCGATCGATTTGACACAGCATTTCGATGACCGGAAAGCTTTTGTTAATTCAGCATATCTTAGACAAATATATTTGTTTTCGAGTTTGACCAGAGTGGTTTGGAACAAAAGAAGCGCAAAATTATTTTTGCATTGTTCGCGGGCCACAATAGTGCCAAGGATAGGTAAACAGTGCAATACAAAACAAACACTTTTATTGTGCAAACACATAGTTATCAGGCATAGCCATTCTAAGCTAATAGAATCCGTATTCGTTTTTCAGTTTTCTATGATGCCTATATTGTTAGGTTATATTCTCGACCAAAAAGTTAGAAAGCCAGATAACAATTTAGACTGCCAAGCACATCATTCAACTTTGCTAGTTTTCCCAGCTAGCCATAACCCTATTTGATTCAATGACATTAGTGATAACAATATGTCAAAAGATTTTTCTGATTAATTTTATGACGAAACAACACGGAATGCGATTTTTTGAAAACTCTGCGAATGTGACGCGGGCCACAGATAATGAAGCGGCGGGCCATATGTGGCCCGCGGGCCTGGGTTTGGACCACCCTGATCTAAAACATCGAAAAACGTAGATATTCATTGATTACGTCGGATGTTTGCATAACTCCATCTTACCTTGTGTACACGTTGCATCAAGATTTTCTAGTTTCCTCATGTCACAATGGTAGGCGGGGTCCGGTTCACATGTGGGCGGAGCAGCAAATTCACCGTTGGAGCAAAACACTTTAGCCAATCCGTGAAGAGTGTAAGTATCGTCACAAGTCACCTGACAGCTTTCAGCCAATCCAGATTCATCTGAATTACATTCAACGGTCCCATGTTCAACTTCAAGCTTTGATTGATGACACTTTGTGCGAGGTATCACTGTATTGAGAAGATAGATTTTTAGTGTGTCAATGTTTTATTGTTAAGTCGTCTTCACACAGCCTTTAGTCTGCGACTCTTACATTTTTTCAAGATAGTATCACCACATAGTAAAGTGCATTGGGGGTTTGTTCGACTATTCATTGATTTTAGTTGAAAGGACTTTTTTGAACAAAGCGTTGCAAACAAACTTGATTTCATATACATGTCATCTAGTAACACATTTCATGAAGCGAAACATATCAAAACTTTCATTTCCCTCGCGTTTCATAGCAATGTGAACAATCACATTTAATCAAAAAAATATCTTTCAAATACCTTCAAACATAATAGTCTTGCGTAAATGGGTTAAAACGTTTTTTATTTGATTAAAGTTTTCCATGACTATTGCAACTTACTTCTATATTTGGCTTCGAACCCGCTGAAGCCGAAATCACCATTGCTGACAAAATTGACGGTAACTCTACCAGTTTTGGAAATAAATTTGAACGGCGTTTCCAAAGTACCTTCATAATAAACTTCTTGCTGACGATTTTTCGACCTACCATCTAATATCTGTGAAAGTTTAATCATCTTATTATACTGTTGCTATAGTAACAGTGTTGAGTGTAAGTCGCTAAACTGCGAGTCACTCTAGTTGAATCAATCACTAAGTTAAGTTAATAGCGAGACCGAGTCATACCATTTGAATGACACAGTCACACGAGTCACCTCGAGTTCTCGATAAACGGGAACTCGAGTCAAGTCAATACCTCGAGCCTCTCAAACACAATATTGCAGGGTTTGTAACCTTGAATACAGAGGACCAGATACCACTAACTAAGTCGTATCTTCGTTTAACACAGGCTTTTTAGTTATTGTTATTTTGATTATTATATTATGACATGTGTTATTCGATTCGCACAAGCTAGGTGTTAGGGAGGGCACTGTAACGTCACATGCAGAATAAATTGCACTCGTGTGCTCTGCAACGCAAAGGGATTCGAATTGCTGGCACAAACCAGTTAAAACTAAGTTAAAAACTCGTTTCGCGGGCCGCATAATATTCAAAATCGAAACTTCTCAGCGGGCCGCACAATTTTTTCTTGTGGGCCGCATTTAGCCCACGGGCCGCAAGTCGCACATCCCTGCTACATGTATATACCAGGGTGGTCCAGTCCCGGGCACGCGAACTTGGTTGTTCTGATAGCACTAGGCCTACTAACGCTGCAATTTATAAATTAGTCAAATAAAATAATTCATTGTAAAATGAATGTCAAAAGAAAGGTGACAGAGGAAAATAGAGAGTTTAATGCTAACTGGGAGAAAACGTAATTTTTCCCCTACCACAATGGTAAACTGTCTAGTGAGCTTTCAAGTAATTTCCGTTACTGAAAGTGATGCAGGAAAATGAAGCAGTAACCAAAAGCAAGAAACAAATAATTGCTTCGTTATTTGTTTGTTGCTTTACCTTCCGTGAAATAGAAAAACGCCACCCATGCAACATACCAATAGTCCGGTTAAAACGGTCAACTCTCATTCTTTAAAGTAAGTAAACTCGCGGTATTTTATTCACGTATGACGGTATGGGTTTTCTCAACTGTGGCTCAAAAGACCTTCTCAAAATTTTTAGCGGCCGTTCATTCTCTCAACTTTTTACCACCCTGGTATATGTCAATTTAACGAATTTAGTCAACAGCTTTACAAATTACCTGGACAAAATCAGTCTTTTCCTTGTCACCTTTATATTCCAGTTTAAATTTTGTGAAAGTAATTTCCACGTAGTGCCCAGATATTGCCTTGATGAAATATTCGCATTTTGCATTATCTGGATACGCTCTTGGGTGGCGAGGGCTTGAAAATGTTCCGGATTCCGATGTGAATTTTTCGTCCTTGCATGTGTATGCTTCTGCATATACTGAAAGCAAACAGAAAATATAAAGTCAAATATTGGCGACTTACAAGGTATCAGAGGGCCTCGTCATTCATTTCCTATTATTTCGTTTAAATGTGGATAGGTTAATATCAAATGAACTGTTTGTAAGAGATTTTTATTGCATTCATTTTAAAAATAGATCAATTTTATGGCAATAAACAAACTTTTCTGCAGCTCAGGCCCCTCAACAACCAACTCGAATTGAAAGACCAAGTGATTATGAAATATATATTACATCCGAAGCGCTTAGCACTAGTTGCACAGAGAATCTTTTTCAAAGCAACTGAAATCGCTCTTCAGATAGATTATTCGGAATTAAACTATTAGGTTTATCAAATTTTAATAAATTAACCATAATGAACTTACCTTCAAGTAAAATTATCAAAACATATACGGCAATGAAAGGTATCGCTTTCATGATTAAGAATATTCTTATTAACTCTGTATCTGTAAAAATATAAAGTTAGTATGATTCAATAACATAGTTGGGATTTTTGAACTGCGGGCTAACCATATGGTATTCAAATTCTAATAGTAAATTGCTAAACAGACATTTGTAATCATCGTACGGGCTCTTGAATTCTGCTATTTATTAAAAAAAATCGGAAATGTGGAATTCAAGTTTTTCCTCCCGAATCGGATCTAAAATCTTCGACTCGTTAAACTTCGTAGTAAATATATATATATATATATAATTGAAAGAAACTAGAAAAAATTATATAATTCGGGATTAGGAATGTTACAAAACTTTTTTCTAACGTTCCTTTCCCTATTGGTTCTTCTTAGTCCTGGTTTTACCGGTAAATATATACGACACCAGGAGGTTACTTTTTGACAAATTTGAAAATCGATTTTAGGGAAAATTAAAACCTGCGAGAAATAAGAAATTGCTATGTTGATTACGACTATATAAGTTTCGTTGGTATAAAGTTTCATCTTAGTCGACGCCAAACTTTCCCGTCACCTACAGCTATGATTGTTACTACATCACAAATAAATTATTTTATATAAAATCTAGCGAGTTTTTTGGTCTAATAGTATATATTATCTATATGTCATTTTTGTTCACGCAATACACCTCACAACAAAAAATTCCCAGTACCGCAGAGCAGTTTCGGTATATTCTATTACCCAGTCACTTCGCGATGACAAGCGAGAATTCCCCGTTTCGATAACCTGTTTTAGATAAGATTCAAGTTATGATGTACATTTGTCCACCTTGGGACACCCACATCATACTCATATATTGCCGTACTCATTTATAAACCACAAATGGCTAAAAATGTATTTTCCAAAATTGCTTTGTTTATGCAATACACCTCACAAAAAATTACTTCAAAAAATTCCTAATACCACGAAGCAGTTTCAGTATATTCTATTATCTAACCTTTTCAAGGTTTTTGCAGATAAGATTCAAATTTAGTTCATAATCAGATCGTTTGCCAACCGTGGGGATTTATATTTCACTTATATATAATGTCTTAGCTCCACATCACCTATGTCTATATTACCCATGCGTGGCCAGAAGTGTATTTTTTCTAGAATTGCTTCGATACAAATGTTATTAATAGGTTATGACGCTTTATCTTACTGCACCTGCACATCACCAACAGCTGCGATTGATAGTGCATCTTAATTGAACTATTTGTCATTTTTTATCGTAATTCTAGCGAGTTTTTCGATCAGATAGTTTTTCCTAAAAATATATTATCTATGGCATCTTTGTTTGCGCAATACACCTCACAAAAATTTTGCTTCCAAATATTACCCATTCCACAAAGACGTTTCGGGATATTTTTTAATCTTTTGCGCTGACAAGCGAAAATTCCCCTTTTCAGAAACATTTTTTTTAGATAAGAATCGAGTTTTTAAGTTCAGTTAAATATCCGATCACTTGCTAACCGTGGGGAACGTATATATCACGTTTATATTGCCTGAATTCTGCATAATCCACGCATGGCCAAAACTGTATTTTTATAGAAGAGCTTTGATACAAATTGATAAACAGTCTATGCCTTAAGGCTTAAGACGTTAAATGCCACGATTGTTGACACTAAATATACCCACCAAGAGCAAATAATACGTGCTTGGTGTAGTGAACCTTAGTTGTTCATTATAAATTCTTCATATTAAATTTATGTATGCTAACTCTTAACACAGCATGTATTTGAATAATTGTATTTTTGAAATAAGAATTTTGTGCAAGAATGTATGTTGGAAAGACAAATCAGGAAGTATATGTCATACACAATAAGATTACTAATCAAATTCTTCATATTAATCTCAAGGATGGAAAACACATTTTTGAAATTTGATGTATTTAAATTACTTAATTTAATTAATTAAACATTTGTGTGGAAATCGGACAGTATACATCATACATATTCAAATTCCTAATCATACAGTGATGGAATTCGAAATTCTAGGAACAGGCTCGCTTTATTATTGAATTCAGTAACAACATGTTCCCTCGTTTTAGGAACCCATGCCGAACATAAAGCTACAAAAAATAACGCCAGTTTCGCTGATTATAACGACAATCCTAGAATGTATTTTTACGAACCCTCTGAATCCCACTAGTGCCTGCATAGAATCGGGTGAAATAAATATGCGCATAACAAAAATCAAAACCTTCTCGGAAACTAAGAGTGAGATACAATAATGTACATAAAAGACAGTCTTAACTTTTATGTTTACCGTATGCATAGACAGAATATAATGGCAACGAGAGCCTTCTCGGTGACTACTAGTGAGCTATAAATTATACCTATATATAACAGATAACTGTATGTGTTTTGTTTATGCTCGTTGCCGATTTTTGTTCACATTATGCATAAGAAAAATATAATGATAGCAAGAAAATTCCCGGCACTTGAAAGTAACCTTAAACAAAACACATTACCTACCTGGATAAATCTTAAACTTTCCTACCCTAATACTCATGACCAATTTCAAATGAAGCTGTCTCTTCCTAGGTATAATTCAAACATAACGTAAATACGACGCACAATGAATAAAATGTACGACAGCGGGAAAACAATTATTACTGCGAAAAGTGAAGCTGGTTTATTTTTTAATTTATTTCAGAAGACCAGTCTTCTGCGAAATTAATTTCACGTTACAATGTCAAAATTCACTAATGTGCCATTCTTACTTTTCTTATCAAGAAAAAAAAAAATTACCCAGTGCCACATTTACTGTGTACATGGTTTTGTTTGGCTCAAGTGATTTTTAAATTCTTCAGAAGATTATGATGCTATAATGCCTCGGGATTAATAGCAATTATGACGAATCGATACTTGACTTTATTTTGTCACAAACAACTGCGATGACTAAGGCTTTCGTCATGTGCGGTTGCCAAATCACACGTAGGTATGAATGGATCGAGTGACCAAGTTCCAACGTAAACATTGTACTCGCTTAGCATACACATGTTGGGTAGCTGACCAACACAGCAAACCAGCTTTTTATATGAGCCAGTCAGATCCCCATGTAGTGGATATGATAACTCTCTACTTGAGAGGCTATTTGAAAACCGATTGGGTCGATGTATCCATCCTTACTCATTTACTCATAGTCTTACTGTCAAATGGCAGCTCACTCGCAAATTATGGATAAGGCTAATCAAAAGACGATTGGAGTCATATATTCACAGCTATTCCTAACTTGCTATTTAAAAGGCACGTCGATAACTCTCCACGGGTTTGCCATTTAAGTGATGATTAGGTTCCCATATTTCTAACCTACTGCTCATGAGCGTTGCAAGGAATTTTCAAAAAAAAAGGGGGGGGGGGCTTGAGGGCTTAAAAGCGTTTCGAGCTACGAAAAACTGCTATGTATAATACCAATCCAATGATACCATTAATCCAACCATGTTCGTAACCTGTCTATATAGCACCTCAATAGCCCGTTACGACATAGCTAGCGTCTCCGAATTTCAAAGACATCCGAGGGTGGGTTCTGACAGATTCAGTAATTAAAATAAATGATTTGTCGATCTGATATAATTGCAAAGGAGTATTTTTAAATAACTTTTTTCGAATATAGTTTTTCTGTATTTGTATTTTACAAACCATATTTACCGATGATATACAACCTAAATACAGATATTCGAAGTATCCCAAACGAACAATTATTCTGATAACCAGATTCCTGAATAAGTGTGGCTCTGCTCAGGACTTTGAGTTTAAAAATATCTCCAAAAAAAGTCATACCTTAAATAAATATTAATCAGTTAATAATGCAATTGATTACATTTCCTTACAATTGACTAAATAATCAAGTTACATCACGCCTCAACAAAATTGAAACGAAAAATTTGAACTTCCAAAAGCGTCTTCAAAATTAAAACCAGGTGTCAAAGTCATTTGTCAAGCATCTGTCAGTCGGGGTCGGGAACCTGGGATCTGATGAAAATGCTCCTTATATCTGACTTCAAAAATAGGTGCCCCCGAAGTATGCGAACCAAGATGGCGGACATCGGAACGTAACAGTGGTAACAGGTTAGGGTTAGGTGATAATTTTTTTCCAATTTTCCTCATTTTAGTCCTATTATCAGTTCGAAGACTAGCCAAGAGCCTCCCGTAGTATTCATACCTAAAATTATGGCCTAACCCTAACCTAGTACACATGTTACATTCCGATGTCCGCCATCTTGGTTCGCATACTTCGGGAGCCCCCAAAAATAATTATAGATGTTGGTATGCGTGAGAATAAATAATTTAAATGGAGTCAAATGACTGTGAAATGTTTGTATGTTTATTTGAATCGTCAAACTATTTAGCTATAACGTGCTGCTCGAGGCCGCTGCCGCATGACCCTCCTCTAGACCAGGGGTTCTCAAACTTTTTGTGTTGCGGAGCCCTTGAAAAAGTTAACTATTATTCACGGAGCCCCAAGATAAATGTTAAAATAGTTACTTTCCGAATAATATTCCTGAGTAAGTTAAAAGTACTGTACTTATTTTAAATGCTAGACCTCTTTTAATAGGGTTAATACAAGTCATAAATGAATCTAAATGTCAAAGATAAATTATATATACTAAAGCTGTAAATTTGACACTTGACAAACATGTTAATAAATTAGGGGTCGGATCTTTTTCCTTTAGACATTTTTAAAAGGCCGCTAATAACATACTCGATTGCATTTTGTTACGATCGCCGATTGTTTTCGTCAGCATGGCGGTGTTTATTCTCCCTAAATCATAAATTTCCCTCGACAACAATACATGTATTGTTCCACAATGACGACGAGTACTGCTTTTTTGGTCTCGTGGGGAATTATGAGTTTAATGTGAAAAACACGTTAGCATATCATAGTCATGGAGACGAAATGCTAAAAATAATAAAAAATAAAAAGGTAAATGGAAGATAACACTATAAGTTTTGTTTCAGCAGACTCACGTCAGATTAAAAACGCTTTCATAGACATTGTAAATCACAAAATTTGGTGTTATGTTGGGTTTTCTTCGGTTATTCGTCGTAGTAACTGCGAAACCGAAACACAGTCAATTGTGTGCGCGACGTTCCTATTTTTCCATTCAGAAACTACCGACGGAGCCGCATGCAATGAAATAAATTTTAATCTTTCGTTTTTGCCCCGACCTCATGATTTTTCAAACGGCGATATCTTGCTCGTGAGTGCGAAAAAACAAAATCAAGCTTGACAAATCCCAAGATCGCAAAAATACGATTGCAATTTGTATAGTTTATGTATTAGCCAATTCAGTATTTTGAAAAGTAATCGAATAGCTCGCGGAGCCCCTGATTTTTTTTCACGGAGCCCTGGGGCTCCGTACGGAGCACTTTGAGAACCTATGCTCTAGACAGGCGATTGCTTGCAAAAACAGTTCGATTGCATCATCAGCGCCATCTGGCGTAGAGCTATACGAAAATGACACTAGTTTCCTGCAAATATTTGTCAAACTTCCATCATCCTGAGGCTACGAAACTATTTCTTGTGCCTGGATATAAATTAAAAACCTGAGTGTCAAAATTTAAAAGAAAATATCACTCTCACTTTTAAGTACTGAAAATTTGCATGTAACTGTCAGTATATTAAAACATATATACATAAAGTGGATATTTGCTGAGCAAATGACGATGACGTGAAAATATTTTGATTTGGAAGTCGAGTAATACTAATTTGTAGAACAACCCAAAGTCTACCTCAGCTCAAAAACATGGATTTGAATTCAAATTATAGCCTAGCTCTTAAAAATATTCGTACAATTATTTACTGATTAGTTGGACAGAGAAACATAATCAACTGTAAAAAGTATATAATTAGAAGAGTTCTTGTGCTTTTTTTGTGCGTGTTTCTTAAATTTGTTTATACCACACACAAATTAAATGTCCGGAATATGATTCAGAGTTTGGAAATATCCTGAATTTTGCCTATTTGCCTTGTACACGTGTTTCCCTTTGTCGATATAACTCGGTGGAACTTATGCCTCCCCGTGACTCACTGCCCTTGTTGTACTGAGAAAGTTTTCCCGTTTTGTTTAAATGTTTTGAATAAAATTTATTGAAAAAGATTTACATTATTGTGCCGTTGGCAGGCAGACGGAATGATAATTTCTTGGTTATGGACAAACGCATAAACATTTATAATATAATTTATCTTATTTTTTATTTTATCATGCTCTTTAGTCTGAATGACGACGAATAAAAAACAACTCGAATGATTGATTCAAGTCAAAAACAAATGAATAACAGAATATCCATACCCGAATCATCATGCAAATATAAGATATAACAATGATCAATATTTAAACACAAATAAAATTACACTTATACGGGTATGTCATGTAAAAGTGTTCTAAGAAATTAAAAAATAAACGACAATATTTTGGGTGAAAATCGGGCATGTATGCTTGAATAAAAGTTAAAACCTTCCAGAGACTTCTTTCTTTCTTGAAAACAAAAATTGAAATTTATCGGACGATTAGTCAAAGGAAAAAGCGACTCAGTTCACAACAATGACTTAGCAAAACGATTCATGTGCATAATTTATGTCCAATAATCTGGAGAACGTGACATTAGTAACTGATGTTCCGTTTGTTTTGCGTCGAACTTTTGACCAATAATATTTAATTTTCGCGTTCCTCCGTTGCAGTAATAAACCTATAAATAGCACCCAGCGATATTCCAATATTCTTCTATCAGTATAATTTTTAGTTTTAGTTAAAAGCTGGGATTCTCGCTTAATTTGTCCATACTAAAATGTTTACGTTAAATCCGTGAGAACGAGTTGTAATCGAATCGTATATGATTTTGCATCACCAAGCAGCCAGCTTTAAAGCAAAATGAATAAAATTTGTTGAGGTAAATATTGAGGTTATGCTGTTTTAATGTTGAAGACAATGGGGACTGTAATTTCTTACTGATTTTCGAGACAGAGTCGAAGCCATTTTCGAATTGTCAAATATTCTAAGAGTCGGGAGATGAAGTCGAATTGTTTTTAATCGGTAAGCGGACCCCGGTTGCAATTTGTCAACACGGGGCCGGAGTCGAATTTTTGCATAACTCAAAATCGGGAGTCGAAAGGAACTTTTCCCAGCTCAACGTAGTTCATTCAATAAACTCTACGAAAATATGGTGGTTTCTTGATATAAAATAAAAAATGATTGGGCATTAATCTCTACGATAAGATGAAAATTGAACAAGATAAAAAAAAATTTGTTAATATAGATCAGAGGTGATGGAGGTTCGTTCCACTTGTCAGGTAGCGTCCTCGTAAATGCAGACGAAATTTAAAAATCACAAATAATGAACAGATCCTACTAGTTCACATTTACTTCGACATTTAGGCATCCAAGCACAGCATTCCTTCCTGAAACAAAACGAGATTGAGTTCTGTTGAGAATTTTTTGAAAATAATATTGTACACGATTAGTTAAGAGTGTTTTGCTAATTAGTTGAAATGAATATTTGATCGAATTTAAATTATTAGTATTGAAAATGATTTGAGCTGCTAGAAAAGCTATTGGTAGCATTTTTTTAAACTTTATACTTTCTTTGGGATTCGACATTTCACCCAAAACTTTTTATTGTGATTGACATCTGATTTTCGGAACTGTTGAAGCTATTAGCACACCGATGTATATGAAGAAACAATTGGGAGATGGCCATCCAGTTATACACTAAGATTGTTTTAAATAAGTTATTCATAGAAAGACCCCAAACGGCCAACTAAACTGTAACGGCCATTGACGCAATAAGAGTTCAATTCATAAGCTTATCTCAGAGATAGAGATGCCAATAAAAGGGTTGACATAGCACTTGGTTCACGCATCGCCAGGAAAACAATGGTATTAACGCCTCATTTAAAGACGTTAAAGTTTAACTTTGGACATTTCGAGTTCAAAGCCGGTCTCCAACATATTGCTAACGGCGTAATAAAGTTTGTAGGGCATTAGAAAATGATGAGGGTCAGGCGCTTCGAAACAAAGTGGCTCTTGTGAATGAGTTGCTGCTGCCTGATACTGTATTTAATAATTAGGGTTGGTTAGTTCCAAGAAAGCAAGATTATGGTCCAACAAATCTGGCAACCATCCTATTTTAAAATGTCAAGATTTTTTTGGCACAACATCGACATTTGAGCCATATGGGGAATGGCTACAAAAGATCTGACTTACTTTGGTAATGCCATTTTAAAGTTTCGTCGGTCAAATAATCCTGACAGTCGATTACATAGTATCTCGTCTCTTCTGATTTACTACAGAAAGGAGAACAGGCCTTGGGAAGTTTCGATATACTTGTTGTCGTCTTTGCTGCAGTTCCAATGCCAATAATTCCGGGTATCTTTGTGGCTCCTATAGTCACCTCCTTCGTAGAAATTGAATTAGGATCGACAACAGGTCCAACAGAATCCCCCTGAAAACAATTGCATGAACTTAATTCTTGAATATATTTTTTGTTATCAGGTGAATCAGAATATATATTTTTGTTATCAGGCTTATCCAAGCCCTCCGCTTCGCTATTCGATAGTCACTGATATTTAACGACATGTAAGGACCTTGTTTAGAAAGACCGGAAGAATTCCGCTCCGGTGTTGCCCGCCCATTTTTTTGCATCTTGAGGAGGGGCTATGAGATTCAAATCAGATATGTGCAATCTTCAATGCCAACAAGGTTGAGTTTGACGACCCTTAGCATATATTAGATCGATAATGCGGTACTATTTTCGGCGCTCCAGAAGTATGTGTCCCAATATGGAAGTAACTAATTTTGTTTGTCTACTTCACATCAAGTTGTGTAAAGAAACCTATGGGTTGGGGGTATATTCACTTGGCTAACACAGACAGTCCCAAACTCGTAATAGAACTAAATAAAAATCGAATAAAATTATCGCCTAATCTGGTACACATACTAAAGGAGTACTCTAATTTCTCGGTGTGGCTTTAGGTCACTCCCTCAAAAAAGCTATGGGATCTTAGTCATTTACCGTGTAGTTTTAGGCAGCTCCTTTTAACAAATAAAACAATTTTACCTCCCCGGAAAATTCGCCTGTGTCGAATTTAAACAGTTCTTCCATTTTTTCTAAGAGTTCTTCCGCGGTCCATTCACATTTACTCTGAAATGGAAATTTCAAGTTGAAACAAATTATTGCAGAAGTTGTGTGATTATAGCTTAGATCTATCTAATTATTCAAGATTTGTTGGGTCAAATGAGGGCCTAAACAAAAATATCTCAGTAGCAATGGCCATCTATGTATCTTGAACAACTGTAGCCTTATCGAATAATCGTCTTCTCGACCCAGCTTTATAATAGGAATATAGTTCAACCCACATATATCCAACATTTGACGACAAAGAATTTCAGTTTAACTTGCTTACGGGTTTCGCCTGTTGAGCTAGGGTGCGAGAGCTAATTAAATGAAGTCTAATTCTAACTCGATAGTTGAACCAAATTTAGCGTGATATTACTCAGCACGTACCTACAGATCATTTAAGCCAAATCTCATTGTTTTCAAAGTGAAACAAATCAACTTCATTTAATCAGGGATCATTTACATATATTTTCCTAACCGATAACTTCACTGATTAGAAGGGTTTAAAACATAAATTTTTTCATAGTTGTGTTTTATATATATGTAAAATAGCTTTAGTATTAACAAATTAGTATTAAATCGTTCACATATAACAAGATATTTGTTCATTGGACTACTTATCATCGATATCCGCTTCTTAATAACGCCTTTGGCAAAGCATTTCGAAGCCGAGTTTATATTACGAAACAAGGACGAAGCGTTAATAATAAATCACTTGTACTCAACTACGTGTTGTTTTCGTAAGTATGATTAACGAAAATCCAAATTTCAGTTTTGGAACAAATTTTAAATTTAGATATTTTTATCGGTAGATGTTCATAGTTGTTTAGAATCCCGGTTTCGTTGTTAATTCTATTTTTGTGTGATTATAGATCAAGAAAATAAGTTTTGAAGTGAGGACACAAATATGACGTGTAAGCTTGTTAAAATATACATAGTAATCTACATGTCTTCTATATTAATTTTAACCTGTTTTTTTTTCTCGCTAATCTGGTAAATATTTTGTCATATCTATCCCGAAAAACTGAGGATAATTATATGTGAATCACGGCCTCTAGTTACAATTGCAGTGTAAAAATAGTTATCAATATAAATGATGGAAATTCCACGAAGGAAAAAGCCTTAGCCGACCAGCGGCTTTGGATTACGTGTTACGACCATAAATAGCATAACATTATATGTTGCTACTTGAGCGTGAGGCCTACCGCAATATGTAGCCTACACCTGACGTCTACCACGTGAGGGATTATACAGCGATAGACGTTAAAGTGCTAACGGGAATGTAGACCTCGCGCCAAATTAGCGCTTATTATAATGAATCGAGCTTAAGGCTCAAGATATATTGACTAATAGTGCAGTGATAGTCGTATTCCACAACCCAGAACGTTCCGCTGGTCATATGTAAACCATTATACCTTTAAGGCTTATATTACAGATTCTATATAGTTTATGACATACCATGCTCTCTAGACATTCGTCAATCATGAGTTCGTCCGCAGATTTTAGTTTAGGAGTCGTAGGCTCAGTCGTCGAAGGAGGACGTGGTGTAGTGGTCGTCGTAGGCGTCGTCGCTTTTGTGGTAACTTTAGTAGTTTTGGGAGTGGTCGGTATGTAAGGGAATTTAATCACTGAAGGGATCGTTCTGGGGATACCGAACGTAAATTTGGGAATTTTGATTTTGATCTTTAGTTTATCGAGGAATCCGCCTTCTGTGCCTGAAAGTAACAAAAACAAAATTGAGTGACATTTGATCCAAAGCGAAAATGCGTTGGAGGGACAGGATGTTCAAAAAACGCCACACATCTGGCTAAACAAAACGGGTAATATTGCAAACAACCATTCCTATGGAAGACATCGTTATCAAATATTAATCGATGAGCCGTTATACCGATCGGGAAAATAAAAAACTCCTTAAAAAGTTTAAACGAAAACCGTCATTTAGTTTTTTATCTTAACAATGAGGAAGGGGTTGCAAGACACAGAATTGTGAATGATCTCCGAATTCTAGTCAAAGGTTTCGATCAATTTCAAATTATAACTTAAAAAATAATCTCTACAAGAAAAAGCCGTCACTCCCAGTTTTAAAAGACGTCTCATCTTTTTATAATATAACAAAATAAAATTTTTATGACAGTGTGATGTGTTACGGCCAAGGCTAAACAGCTGTACACTGGAGCTCCTGAATAAAATTAGATTTATCAGAGTCGCCGTCACTATTTTAAGAATCGGGAGTCGAAAACGATTGTAAATTTACAGTCCCGGTTGTGAACTTGTGTTACAAAATGCCTGTCTTCAGTTTTACGTATCTTGTACTGCTGGATACATATGGACGGAGCTTATGAAGTTGAAGTTCATAGCAAACCCTTATTCCACATAATACAAGTTTTACAGACTTCTTCTCTTTTAAATTAACATTATTTTTCGTTAAACTTACTTGTGACATAACAGAGCAAAAGTACGGCTAGAACTGACGTAAAAATCTTCATCCTGAACAGACTTTGTAACAAACTGATATTTATCAATGTAAAAAAGTTCGTGAGATATCTGTTATAACAAGAGAACAATGATCAATTAGAGAGAGAAATATGATACTGTAAAAGAACTCTGTTCATTCAAATACTCAAATCTAGTCACCCGAATCCATTTTATTTTTTTCCTAGCAGTTAAAATCAATCCTACATAAATTACTAGGAAAAGTTGAACTCAGTTTAACTTGGGGACGGGGAACAAGAGCCGGTTATTAAGTATCGGTGCCAAAGGATCTATTATCCAATTGAAAGTTTTGAAAAATTGGCTCGCTCCATATAATGGACTAAAAGGAATCCCTATTGCAGACGTGTTTTCTCTGTCACCAATATTTTTTTTAGTAAACCACGGACTTAGAGAGTTGAAATGAATTTAAATAATGCTTGAGCCTGCAGAGACAACATATAAAAACTCGAAAGCGATTGGTACAGTAGTCGAAAGCATGAGACATTTCGTCTCAGTAACAACGTGAACTGTATCATCAGCAACAGCAGCTAATAAATAAACCCAAGCCCACTTTCCAATAACAAAATCTATCAATCTGTTTATTCCTTTTTTTTTAGTCAGACGGGCCAGAATAAAGGATCGATCTGACAACGAAACATTCAATTGACTCCGAAAAAAAAACTCTAACTACATCCTTGATCTCGATAAAATATGCGAGAAAAACACTTTCGTGTACCATTATTAATTTACTAGTTATTATTGGTGAATTAAAAATACAAACGAACGAAGGATAGAAGTATAAATAGGGCTTCAATAGCAATTTTTTTTTTACCTCGGACGGCATTTTAAGTCAAGACAGCCCGAAATCAAACTCCTCTATATCCTACATTACTGGACAGAAACGTCTGCCTGCTTCCTATATAATACAACTATCGACAACTCCTTTATTTTACCTCGGGTCGGCGAATAATAAGTAAATGATGCACACAAGTAATCATTTCAAAAGTAAGCGATTTCGACGTTTAAGCGCGAATTTTTATAAAGCCTTGGGCGAGTTATATACTTTCTCCTTAACGTTGCTTACGACTAATGACGTTAACAAAACTCCACGCATCTTTAATTGCTGCGTCAGCGTTATCGAGAAAGTGTGTGTGTTACGTCATGATTTTTTCGGTGTTAAATTTAGTTCCGATGACTGATACTGATTCTCAATTTTCAGTATTACAGCAATAATTTTTGATCCAAATTAGAATTTGTCACGGGAAATAATGACCTATATTCTCTCTCTATATAGTACCATTATACAGACATCCAGAGCTTGATGCTTTTTTTAATTCAGTATTACAAAATTGGGTACTCCCGTAGTTGTGAACCAAGATGGCGGACACCGGAACGTAATATGTGTACCAGGTTAGGGTTAGGCAATAATTCAAGGTACAAATACTACGGGAGTCAATTGGCCAGTCCCCGAACTCGTAATAGAAATAAAAAAAGGAATAAAAGTATAGCCCAACCTGATACACATACTACGTTCTGGTGTCCGCCATCTTGGTTTGAATACCACAGAACTACCAAAAATTGTACTTTATATATAAATTAAAATATGCTACAGACGAAAATGCCCGTCTTTGTTGTATAAATATTTTCAAGTTTCTATGTACTGCTATGCTTTATTCAATTCTTTTTTTTTTGTCTCAGCCTAACTATCGCGCAGATTTTCGAATTCTAATCTGCATTGTAAGACTCGGATAGCAGTCCTTATACAAGAAAAATACAGTATATTTCTCCTCTTTCCGTTCACTACGCTCGGACTGCTTTTTGTTTAAATCTGTAGTCTTCACGCGTCAAGTTGCTTTTTGAAATAAACAAATCCGGAATTTTGGGTCTTCAGTTTCAACACACAATAACTTTTTTTTATTGAATACTAGTCTGTTAAACATGTTGCCCTGTTCTTCTTTTGATCAGTGGAACATATGTCTTAATGGCTGATTGTGTCACAGATAGGTTTTTATTCTGTGTATTAAAAGACTCAGATTCCGGATTTGTGGTTTATTATGAGGCAGCTCCACAGTTAAAAACACTCAAAACAGCATAAAACAGAGAACACAGGAAAACACGTCCGACATCCAACCCAGCCGAGCGAAGAAGAGAGATCGAAAGATAGTTTTTGCCTCACGTGTAGTGAGCGGTCGGAGTCCAAATCCGACAAAACAGCATTAAACAAGGGTCAACATAACAGTCTATTAATATAAAAATATATATACGGTATACACACAATATAAACACGGACACTTTAGTTCGCGACACTTGCATGACGCTTTTTTTTTCCGAGAAAAAGGCTTAAATGAGCGTTGTATAAAAATGGTTCCATTACATTTGAACCCACGTACATTTGAACCCATGACAATTGCACCTGTATGCTATTGCACCTATGGAATTTTTTTTGTTTCACGGATAGTTAAACCCATACTAACCCTAACCCATGGGTTTTAGCACCCGCATATAGATTGAACCCGTGGATATACGCATGGGTTCAAATGTACGGTCACCTATAAAAATATATATACGCAACTCTTGTAATGGATATTTTCTCCGAATTATTTCTATAACGTATTACAGTATTGCGAAAATACTGTTGCCTATTTCGAAAGTATTTTCGCGTGTTGTTGGCGTATAAGCCGGTTTATATATTCAAGTCAGAATATTTATTCACCTGCTGTTTCATAGTAGCCTACTAATAGATGATTTTACCCTGGCCTATTTTGCGGGGCTAATTTTTGAATACTGCAATTAAACTAAAACTCCGCAGAAGACAAAATTACCTTTTAATAAGTTGATTTTAAATCCTGATTTCAGAATCCGATCAAAAACTGGGAACAGCATAATCACGAAAAGGACCCTGTTTAAAATCTGTAGGGTGGTTCACGTATTCGCTGGTTGGTTACGACTTCCTCTACCATCAAATCTATGCATCTGAAAACAAATAACTGGCTAACCAATCCCATACCCAGCATGAACTTGCAACCGAATGAGTGGCCGTGGTTCGCGGTATGAGTCGATCGTTTTATTGGCTTTTATCTCTTCCGGGGTAATTATGTAAATCCCTTCCTGTCTTGGCGAAAGAAGATTTAAAGCGAATGAAAATGTTTCAATTGTTAAATCACCGTTAACTTATTGCCGATTGATCATTGTTGTGGAAATAAGCAAAAAAGTATATATTCGGGAAAGATCTATTATATTTCCACAGATTACGTACCGAATAATCTGAAATAATAAAAATAATTCTGTTCATGTCGTGTTGGCATCTGGCAACCCCGTTCTCACAATGGTTTGTGTATAATTGTTCGGTAATAGGCATCGAATCGTCACAATGACTAAATGTAAATGAAATTTAAGTTGCCAGTTGTGTTTCCAAAATCAAAAAGTAAAATAATTATATCATTCCATATTTGGTGTTTTATCAGATTTAGAAAACTTGCCAAAATACTAAATATACTGGATAAATCTAATTTTGTTTCTGGAGTTTGATCCGACAAAAATGCTGTAAATGTATCAGCGAATCTTACCGCTTACAAATGAACATGATATGGCAAGTCCAACAGTCTGTATTTGGAAGGAACCCAGTCTGTCTCTTAGTAAGCGTTAGATTTTGTAGGCCTAGTCATTGTGTTGTTACTGGCTGTAGTTGAGTTGTTATCAACAGACCAAAACAGGTAACATTTGATAGTCTATGCGTTTGGAACTATTTGCCGGATCAAACTACGGGGAACGTTGCAGGTACAGAACTAGTCAAAGTGTGTTGGTATCCTGGTATCGGTAAGTTAAAATATATTATTTTATATATATATATTTATTTTTAGTTCAGTGACTAAATTTTCCGAGTTTTCCGTATTCGGCGAAGTAGCTCAAACATTATTTTAAGACTCGTCGTCCATCAGGTTTCCAGCCTTTCATAATGCCCAACCATATTAACGTTCCATTTGTATGTGCGTTATTGCAGAAAAAAGCCGTTGCTACCAGAGGTTATGACGTGAACCACATTGTGACTGCCCAGCATTCCTCTTGCATGTCGCCATTGTACTGTCCCAAAGTTTCTTCAATGCGTTATTAATTGGTCAGATCAGAAGGAACCCCAATTTGAAAAATCCGAATATTCGAAAACACACGCACGTTATTTATCCTTTTGTATCTTGTACGGTATCGTAAAGTACTTCGAGTCCCGGTAACGTTATTAAGATCATAAATTGGTAGAACAAACAATTCTGAAGAGTTTAATATACATATTACGTCAATGATATTTATGCACTTTTGATAAGGACAATAAGTCATTGAGGTTGGCGGATCATGTCTAGTCTAACATGCTGGCAATATCGGTATCGAATCTGCAATTTTATTAAAATATTCGGTACTCGGTACGGAAGTCACTTGGCTAGTCCCCGAACTCGTATTAAAACTAAAATAAGGAAAATTGGAATAAAATTATGGTCTAACCTCACCTGGTACACATACTATGTTCAGGTGTCCGCCATCTTGATTCACATACTACGGGAGCGCTAAATATTCTAATGCAGTATATACCAAATATGTTATTCTAATCAGCTATTTTAAAACTGATATCGATATCTCAGTGTGCCATAAAGTGAAATTTTCAATAAAAGTACTAGTAATTTTATCTGGTTAGTGGTAGAGAAATATAGATATTTTATTATTTATAGTGTAGTCTGCTTAGCAATTTCCTGCAAAAAGGAAGGTTACATACAATTGACTCGAAAAACTAAATGTAGCTTATCTGGCGTTAGCAGTTACAGACTTTATAAGCATTGTAGCGAAATCAAACAATTCCTAACATTAGCTCTTGAGGGCAGAGCGACTACCATAGCGTTCGTACTTTTAGTAGGATTACGGTCAATGGTTTGACCATTACCTTTTCTGTTAATCGCCTTTTTAAACTGTATTGCGGAATAAAGCAAGAACAGTCTAGTACAGGCCTAACGATATCCATCCCATCATAGCGCCATTGCCAAGACAGACCAAAACAACAACTCGGAGAAAAATATTCCCTGGACATAGGT